TTTTCTTCCCATTTTTTAAGTTAGCTTTTTTCAGACCTAAATTCAGGCCCTGATCTGAAAGGAGTGGGCAGGGAAACATGACTGATAGCCTGCAGCCTGGCTGGAGGTTCCAGCCCTTTCATGATGCATTCATTAATCGTGGGAACTCCAAGAACTTTATAGACACATGCTATGCGCATAGAACTGCCAAAATAAAATCTGAAGAAAAAGAACTAAATATAAACATAAGAAGTTTAAAAGTGACAATGTGTATTTTCCCTAGCAATAGGGGGCAGTATATACCTAAATCATTGCAAGCTAGCATTATTTTTGTGTTGAGTAAGACCTTTCCAACGGATAGCCTTAAGGCTCAAAAATCCCTGGAAGTGCAAAATGACATGCACATCAGACTCCCTTTCACTATTGGCAACAAGTTATGAGGTAAATGTGAAAAACAGCAATGTTTATAAAAGTTGAAAGTTTAGTAGCCATTTGTTACAAATCAGTAAATGCATTTTATCCTCACAGATTCTCGTAGAAGAAAACATGGCGTCACCCTGAGACTTGGACCTGCTCCCATGTATTTCGATTTTTATGATCATATGTTACAAAGCCGCCAATATTTTTCAGCAACTCATTTAATTAATTTTCAACAACATTTTGATGGATATTTCTAGAGGTTAATGGTAAAAACTACACACTGTCTCTTTAATTTAAAAACTGAACTGAATAAAATGTTTCTCAAGCTAATAAAAAAATAAAGTATTTTCACTTATTTTTATTGGAGGACTTTTTTTTAGTAATCATCTCAGAATCGTAAATGTGTGTGGTGTGTGTACATAATGTTAACTCAGCTTTAATAATTTTCAATATATACAAAATCAGCTGATTTTAGAAGCATTATCAGTACATCGGTGTAGGCAAGAAACAGTTATCGGCCATAACATTGATATTAATATCGGATATTGGTATTGGTCCAAACATTTCATATCAGTGCTTCACTACTTGTAAACTTCACAAATCCAAACAGAAATGTGTTGGGTATCCTATAAATAGCAAGAGCTACCTTGATGTTTCTTTTTCTGGTAGATGATTTGGTTTTGCTCTCAAAATGTGTTAGCAGGATTTTGAGGGCCTAATTATTCACATATAAACTGCTCAGTTGAAGTAGGACCTATGAGTGCTTAATATGGTGGTGACTAGGGCTGAAAGATTAATTGCATATACAGTTGAATTGTGATGTAGCAAAAGGAGATTTTCTAATCGTAAAGGCTGTGATTTGACTGGCAGCGAGTGGTTAGCACAATGCTAATATACATGGAAGAACCCATAGGGATGCTAATGCTGATATTGCTCATTACATTCTTACAAATTACGAATTAGGAACGAGCCAAACGATTAAATTTGGAATAGGGCTGAATGATCTTATCCTTTTTGGACTGAAATTGCGATTTCAAACAGCACGATCACATGAACGTCAAAGCTGTGGTTTTAGCGGTTTTGACTGATCCAGGATCAGTTGTGTAACTTTTTTTTGCATCTGGGGGTTTTCCCCCATGTTATGGCAGCGGCAAAAGCCAGCGCGGGGGAGGGGGGTAGGGTGTACCGTCCAGAGCCGAGCCCAACTCCACAGCTGACAGAGCTGCATGTTCAGGTTATTTCCCTGTTTTATGTTCCCACACACAGCGCTACTAGAGCTGATAATAATGGCACTGTAGATAAGCCCGGGACAGAGAGAGAAAAAGTAGTTGAGTAAGGGAGAGGGAGAGACTCCTCCCACATCGGAGCAGGTTCAGGCTGATTTCTAAAGCTTGGTTTATGCTGGTAATGCAGGGAAAACTGTGCATTTTTGTTATTTAATACATTTAAAAGCGATTTCTACATACAGATTTCCTCCATGCATTTTTGGAGTAGAACATGTTTTACAAAGCTCCTCTCTAGATAAAAATCACAAGCACAAGTTGCTTCACAAACACATTAAAAAATAAAAAAGGATAATAATGGGAGAAAATATTAATAACTTAAACTGTTTTTCTTGTATGATTAAATAGTAAATATTAATGTGAATGATTTGTTGAACTAGATTAGAATCTAGACCATCTCTTCACTTAATCTACAGGATGACTTGGAAGGCTAGTGTTGGACCTTTGATTGCAGAAAATCGTGAATTGAACCAAAATCGCAATTTCTGCTAGAAAAATAAGGAATTAAAATCTTTTCCTAAAATCGTTCAGCCCTAATTTGGAGTCTAATAAAATGTAAAAACTGCCATTAATCAAATAAGAACTGACAGGTATTTTAGTAAAGCTTTGGGTGTGTCCGAATCCACGGGAAGGATGCTTGTAAGAGTGCATTTTGAGGTTGATGACGTCACAGCGCAGCGACGAGTACTGTCCGAATTCCAAGAATACTCATTCTCGTGTCCTCGCTCCGCCCAAATTTCGAGGACGGGTCTGTTGTATCCTCACAGAACAAGACTATCCCAGCATGCTTTGCACGCCAGCTGTGGATTTTCAACAGGAAGAGAAAATGGGGAGAGCTACAAAGTTTTAAACATAAGTTTGTTAAAAACAAGCCGTAGAAACCTAAAAAAGCTTAAAGAGGTTCAATTTAGACATTTTTTGTTTGTATATTTGTTTTTTAAATTACATTTTAGGCAGAAATCAGACAGAACGAGTTTGTATCGCGGGTCCCAGTTATTCCCCCGTGTGTGTGTGTGTGTGGAATTAAACTTGTCATTTGTTTTAAGGACAACAGAGCAAAGAAGCGTTTTTATTAAGCTTAGAGGTGAAGAGTGAAGCTGTTTACACACAACCACAGAATTTCTTCTGTGAAAAGTAGTTTTACATTCAGGGATTTACACAGCTGACACGTTTTAATGAAGTAAAAAGTGTTTGTGTGAAGAATATAATTTTTATCTTCTCATGTGGATAAATGTAAAAATGTGTTTATTGCCTTTTTGTCACCTGTGGTCTCTGATTTTCTCTGTAGCACTGCAGGTGTCCAGGGTCAGGAGAGGCTTTACCTGGTGGTCCTCCTGGGAGAGAGGCCTTCTACTGTCATCATGTCAATGTTATTTAGCTGTTTGATATTTGAACACATTTATTAAAACAAATACTAACTGATAACTCTTTCTGGTCATTGATTTCATCACCAGTTTTATTACTATAGATGTTTTTGAACATGTTACATGAACAGAAAATGAAAATACGGTAAGGAGACAAGACTATTTATAATATGTGTCAATTATTTACAGATCAGAACAAATATTGACCAGTTATGTACGGTTAAAGCAGGATTAACCTGAGTGACTCTTCCTGGATCATTTATTTAAACTGAGTGAGCAGGAAGTCTTTAACAGTGCAGCTGGATCTGCTGCAGGAGGATCCAGACGTGGATGGAGGGCTGGAGCAGACCCGTGGCTGGACGTTTCTGGTCAGAGGAACATCATACAGGACGGTCTGCAGAGAGAGCTTTGGGATACTTCCTCTCACTGTCCACTCCATCGTCCATCTACAGGGACTGCTGGGCTGGCTCAGACGACGGCTGTTACATCTCTAAGATGTATTCAGAAATATGAAATGAGGAGATGGTTTATAGATCCACTGGTATAACAATTGTGACTCTTCAGCAAATAAAACCACAGTGTTGTTTTTAATAGAGGTTCCTACATAAATGACTTGCCTGTTACCAGTAGTGGTGGTTTGCTGGTACCACCTCTAGGACAGAGCACCACTGACCTCCTTCACACACATCTTCCTCAGGCTAATCCTCCAGACCCACAACTTCACCAGCAGAGGCAGATGTGCAGCACAGTGCATGCTGACCTGTAATAGATTAAAAGAGTTTTTTTTTATTGAAAAATGTAAAATAAAACTATAACCTGCAGTACACTGGTTCTGTTCAGTTTAAAGAAAAGCAGCAGGGAATAGTTAAAGACTACAGATAATTTACATTTTTAATACAAATCTAATCATTATTAGGCTTAAGTTGAATAAACAAATGCACATTGAAAACACTTCAATGCTATTTTATTAAAAAGCCTGTTTTTTTAAACGTTTTACCCCCATTTGATGCAAAATAGTTATAAGGTCAAATTTACATTAGAAAACATCCTACTGCATTCAACATTTATAATGCATTTGGTTTATATTAATTACCTCCCTGTTAATACTCTAGAAATGTGTTCTGTACATTTAACAAGTTCATTCTGTAGCTTAAAACATACATGAAACGATCTAAAGTTAATGTGTAAGTCCTGAAAGCTTCTAGAACAAACAAAATTCTTTACCTGAAAACGTTTGTGAACAAACGCTGCTGATGGACATGAAGCTGCTGTAGCTCCTTAATATTCCTGCTCGATTTTCGCTAGCTTTAGCATTTTTCCTTTGCGTGTAGCTGCCGCCACGGCTGTGACGGGACCTACGGGCCACCGTAGAGGTTAAGGCTAGACTGTCCAAATTCAGAGCCGCTGGGTTCCGGTCTTAGCGGCCTTGCTAGACCGGCGAGGACCCGTACTCATACGCATCCTACCCGTGGATTCGGACACACCCTTTAACTCCACTGAGTTTTGGCTAGCATCTATGAATGTTACTGAACTACAGAAGCTCTGCATGGACAAGACGTCAAAAACTAAACACAAAATACTTCAATGAACGGGACACATTTCTTTCCAGCAAATACATTTTCACAGTTGATGCCAATACCAATGCTCCTTCAAGGAATGTGCTCCTGGCTGCAAAGCATTGTACCTCCAAATACAAAATGTTGTCTTTACTTGTGAGTGTTTATGTTTATGTAGACAAATAAACTTGTTAATACATGTAGATAAAATATGTAGATACATAAACTTGTTTATATTCAGTACAAATTATATAGATTTTTTTTTGTTTCAGTCAGTTGAAAAATATGAGAAAAGACCCTTGAGAAAATAATCGTGAATTAAATCGCAATTAGATTATTTTCCAAAATCGTTCAGCCCTAGTGGCGACACACACACAATTTAAATAAGAGCGGCTTACTTGGTGCTTTCCTTTTCGTCTTCGTCTGACCAATGTCTTGTAGTTCTGGTTCTTTTTGGTCAAGTAGTAGAACAGGACACAATCAGCAACGCACTGAAAATAAGAAAGGAAATAATCTGCATTTTTAAAATTTGTTTGCTTATTTCATTTGGAGCTTTAACAGTTTTCTAATTCGGTTTTCAAAATTTTACAGTTTACCTTCCTTTCCAGATAAGAGGCAATCAAGCCGAAGTTCTTGGGGTGCTGTATGAACCTGGAAAAAAATCTGTTATTTGTGGAGAACTAAATATTTAAAACAAGTCAGCACTGATTTTTTTAGATGCAAAGTCAGACAGACAATTCTGAAATGGTGGAAGGTGGAACTAGATCATCTTTGGTGGTCCCCTCTACTGCTCGTGTGCAGGACATGTCAGGATGCATAAAACAGAACATCTAGAAACTCAATGAAGATACAGTCAGGTCCATAAATATTGGGACATCGACACAATGCTAACATTTTTGGCTCTACACCACCGCAATGGATATCAAATTAAATGAACAAGATGTGCTTTAACTGCAGACTGTCAGCTTTTATTTGAGGGTATTTACATCCCAATCAGGTGAACGGTGTAGGAATTACAACAGTTTGCATAATAGTATCACTGAGGACCTGACTGTACCTCAGTGATACTAGTGTAGAGTCAAAAAAAATGAATCCTCCACCACGAGAGGGAACACCTCAATTGAGTCGTCTCTCACTGTGTATATTTCCGCTTCTTCTGATTTAGTTTGGCAACTCAAGAACATTTAATGCAAATGATCGCATAGCAAGAGCAATTAAACAGGAAGTGAACTCCTAGAGTTGAGGTTCCTTCAACTGAAGAAACGACAAGAATGGCAAATCGATGCCATAGTGACCCCATTTCTTCTTGAAAGGTCAGATAATGTTCTGTTTTTATGGTTGTTTGACAGTAACCATTGCGTCCAGCACTCTCCTGTATTCTGGAAACATGACTTAAAGGGGAGCCTGAAGAAAGAGGGTCAGAGCTTTGTAGGGATGGACAATATAATCGGCATCAATATCGGTATGGGCCGATGTTAGTCATCTTTTAACATATCGGTATCAGTTTGATAAATAAAACCGGGCCGATATTAACAACCGATATTTTTCCATCTTGCCTCCATTTGTTTGCCTGTTTCAGAGGGTGAGGGGGGTGATGTGTAATTGTTTAGTCATGTGAACAGTGAATTAAATCATCTCAGAAACGTAAATGTGTGTGGTGTGTACATAATAATGTAAATTCAGCTTTAATAATTTTCATTCTATGCAAAATCTGCTGATTTTAGAAGCATTAACATCAGTATATCGGTATCAGCAAACATCGGTTATATATATCGGCCATAACAGTGATATTAATATCGGATATCAGTATTGGCCCAAATATTTCATATCGGTGCATCACTAAAGCATTGCATTATTTAAAAAAACGTAGCTTGCTCGAACATTTTTTAGCAACTCTTACCCTACCTTTTAGTCCCAAAGTCCATCTGTTGACTCTTTTCCAATAGTATCAGGTACTAGGTTGCTGCCCCCTTTTCAGTATCTGCTTCAAAGTGGTTCCAAGTGTACTGAGCCAGGCAAAAAACGTGATGTCAGAGACTGTTGGTCACTGGGTGCTCCTGAGTCTTTTGCCTTGCTGCCAACAGCCTCTTATGGGTCACTTTTTATCGGAGACTGACAAAACGCCATGGACTAAGAAGAATGCTCAACATTGCTACCAAGCTCACCATAGTTGTGTTGTGCTTTTGTGCCGGGTACTGTTTTGTGTCACGCTACTTTCAGATCTCTGGGGTCTGTCCCACTATAAGCCCAACCACTAGAGCCCTTTCTCAGTTGAAATCGTGTAGAGCGGAATAGAATAGGGAGAGTCAAGCCGCACTGAGTAGGTGCTAGTGGAAAAGAGCCACATGCACTCAAATAACCCAAAGAACCAACTAACCAACCACAAAGAACACACCAACAACTCACTTCTCCTTAAAGATCTCCTTCTCGTGTTCGGTCCAAACATTCATAAACTGCCTGGCTTTGTACACCTTCATTGGGTCATCCATCAGGCCGTTCATGTTGATGAACTTCACCCGTCTCTGCTCAGAGTCGTACATCATGGGAGGGATGACTGATAGCTGCCTCATCTGTTTCTCATTGTTCTGAGGGACATTGCAAGAGATCAATGTCAGTTCTAAGGACAACTGTTTCCCCTACTTGGTAAGCAATCGTACAATTTACGGAAACAACTTCCAACATTTGTGATAAAGTACAAAAAAACATTTATTCTAGTAAAAAGAGACAAACTGTAACTCTACTACTTAGAACACGGATATTCTGGTGATTTTCGGTGTGCTGAAACAAGAGTCTGGAGGAGGTATTTCTAATGTTCCCTCCATCTTTACAGACTTTGAATCCTGGGTCAATATCAGAGATGCACAAAGTTACTACTGATGCACAATGTCCGCACATTGTCCTTCCCTACTGTTACTGCTTCACAATTAAAGATGTCTCTTGACCAGCAAATGAGATACTTTTACTAGTAAGATATATTGCACGCTTTATTTTTTTCTGTGCAGGGCAGAAGGAAGCTCATACTGACAGTCAGGATGTCACCTTTAAGGTTTCCTGCAGTTGGTACCTACCTCCTGCTCAGAAAGGCCATCGATGATTTCTGAAATCTCGTGCTCACTTCTTGCAATTGTTGCAGAAAGACCCGTCCCTCTTTGTCCAACTCTGTGGGAAACAAATATTCCAATTTAGAAAGAAAAATAAACGTTACAAATTTACTACAAACGTTAAAAAATATTATAAATAACACACAAAACATCTAACTTAAACCAAAATGTTATCTCTAATCCTTTCTTAAGGAGATTTTAAAAATACTTTGAACAAAACTTTGTGGCCAAAAGAAATGAATAAAACACTCGATGTCTGATTAGTTTTTGCTTCCTCCTCCAGTCAAGCAGCTTGCGTAAATAGCACGGGCACAAAAACACTTCCTTCAATGTTTCAAAATGCCAAAATGTGGCTTTCAAAATGAACAAGAAAAGCTTCTTATTGAATGAATAAAAGCATTATTTGTTATATTAACGGATTATTAAAATGTGCTGTAGCTGCAGCCGTCTGTGTCTTGATTAAACTTGAAAAGTGACAATGGCAAAATTTATGATGAATTCAATTTTGATCATTTCAATGTTTTTAGTGAAGAAAAAAAAACTCAAGTATAAAAATAAGTAAACCCAGCCTTGAGAAACTGATAAATGAAAAAGATTCGTATTTAGTCCCCGTTCATTTTTAGACTTTAGTCAGCATCTGCACTTCTTTATCTGTAGATTTGTCCTGGTGAAGAAATTGCCCCTGTTCGGTTACCTCTGGAAGCGCTCCTGCTGCTCTCTCTGTTTGCGGATTTCGGGGAATTGCCTTTCGTAGTACTCCCGTGTTCTGCTCTCCTTGGCTTTGCGTCTGGGGTTGTTCTCCATGCGTTCCACCTTCTTCTCCCAGGCCTCCATTAGCTGATCATAGCGCTGACAGATCTTCTGCTCCTGTTTATACAAAATCCATCAGAAAAAGATTGTCCAAATGCAGAGAAACAAGATAACCTAGCACTAGGAGAAACGGGACTAGGAGAAACGGGAGATCATGTTGATATTTTCATAAAAATACTCTTAATATGCGGTTTAAACAGAAATGTACTCTTTGTGCTACCATTACAGAACTCCGCTACATGCCATTTTGAGAAAACATTCTCAGATTATAACCTAAAGCAGGTAGCTTATCACACAAGCTTACTTTATAGAAGAGCGAATGTTCTACTAGGGACAGGAACTAACTGTATTTGTGTCTCCTGATCCATGTACAAGCTGTTCTGATGCATCTGGTATGTTTTCAAAAGCCCTCCAGAAGGCCCTTGTATTTTCACTACTGAAGCCCAATCTGTTATTGTTAAAAAGGTACAGCTTGTCCACCATGAAGGACAGAAAACCTGCAAAAGCAGCTAATGCCCAGAAGAGTAAGAGTTAAAGGTTTTGGTGGAGGTACAGGAGGACGGTGATGAGGACAAAACAAGCCTTATTTCCACTCTCTGCTGTGACTGACAAACAATTCACCTTCCTCTTGGCACAGGGCCATGTGCACTCTACCATTGTTCAGAGTCTAAAAGGTCCGTCTGACTCTGACGGAGCAGCTAGAGAGAGAGTTTAAACTCACTGAACCAAGGCAGCACAAACCCACAGCCTCCAGTTTAAACATTAGATGATTCTGCAATATTTAAATAACTGATAAGGAAGGCAAATGCTCGGCTAGCCATTTCCCAGAAATGTTGTTTGATGTAACAATATTTGTTATTCTACTGCACACAAAAGTTGTTACTCCCTCACACAAAACATGCAAACAAACAGGGGAAACCAAGGCGTCTCCTGTTCTGGAAATACATCCCAACTACCACAGTGGAGAGAAACAGTGGCAAATTAAATTCCCTGAAGACGACTAGATTTCGGTTAACTCTTTTAGCGGAGACCAGCTGTACTTGAGAGGTGAACGCCAATCGTTTGTGATTCGCGTTTAATAGTTTCCTTGGTTGAAAATGTCTCTAATGTGACACGATGCAGCCTTATGACGACTGGCTGTAATGTACGACTGAAGATCTCAGGTATAAAGCCCAGGTCACACTTTCAACTGTCGTAGACAAAAATTTTGTCGAGAATAGAAGCGTGACGAAAAACGGTGAACGTGATTTGCAGGTCTGTGGCCGACCAGTTCAGTGTCTATGACGTAGCTCTGCAATCGACCAATGAGCATACACCCAGGGAGTAACGCAAAAACCTAGCAAGGAGAGCATAATGCAAGTGCAGCATTAGCAACATTAGCAACAATGGAGACTATATGCAAGAACAGGTGGAGCACTCCTTTCTGGAGTTTGGTTCAGAGTAGGAGAAGACCGGTGTATCAGTCGCCTAATATAACGGACCGTATATTTACTGTTTTTTTAAATATATCTGCATCAGCCAATATTTGTCCTTAGTAAAGACGATTCAATGTCAGGTACATACTTGGGCAGTCCGCAGCTGCTGCTGATTTTAATTGAAGTATGTCTTTTTACGTTCACTAATTACATCTGCATAATAAACACTTTTCATTAACTTTATTTAGGTGTCTGACTTTAATACAGAGCCATGCACAAAGTTAAGATTTAACAGCCAGTTCAAAAACTGATTCAGCTTTGGGAATTTTAACTGATGTTATTAGTGACATTTTAGCATGAAAATAAGATGAAAAATGTCGACCGTGAAAATCGGCAGTACATATCGGCCATCGGGCGACCGTGTCTCCTACATATTGGCATCGGTAGTAGAAAAAACAATATCGGTCGACCTCTAGTTCAGAGTTTAATAAGAGAAATGTTCATGCTTTTTATCTTTCATCGTTGCTGTCTTGGGTACCTGTCGGCTTTTAGTGACCAAAGCTTTCCGGTGACTATATTGTTGTGAAGTTGGTGTGTCCTGCTAGGGCGAGACACCATGCAGTTTCACTTGATGAAATCTTGGTCATGTAGCGTGCCACCGTTCTGGAGCTTTCTCAGTGTAAGACAACGCAGTTCTTTGCAACAGCCGAAAAACGATTAGTATGAACCGGAATGAAAAAGTAGAACCAATGAGGGTAAGTGGGCCACACTATAAAAATGTCTGCAAGTTTTAACCAAAATACTAATGACTATATCCTTAAAATTCAAGGCTTGGTGTCTGGATGAACTAAAGGGGAAAATAATGGTGACAATTCTTTCCTTTTATGCACAACTAATGTTGTCCTGAATTTTACTTAGCAAGTTTTCTGTATAGAAATGATGCTAAAGTGAAAAGTTTTTTGATCGAAAAATGATGGATTGCCAACTCTGGTCAGGGGAGAGGTCCTTCCTCAGATGGGAGAGTTTAAAGATCTCAGGGTTTTGTTCGTGAGTGAAAGAGGGAAGAGAAAATTGACGAGTGAATCGAGACAACAACAACATCTGCAGAGATGCAGACCCTGAGTCGGTCAGTTTTGATAAAGAGGAAACTTAGATGTCAATGTACCATTTTTCCTCCCCATCCTCACCTATGGTTGCTAGCTTTGGGTAATAGGCACCATTTCCTCCATAGGGTGGCCGGGCTCAGTCATTCAGGAGAGACTCTGAGATGAGCCACTGCTTTTCCATGTTGAGAGGAGCCGGCAGTGATGGTTCAGGTATTTGGTCTGCCAGGGGAGGTGTTTTGGGCATTTCCTGCCAGCAGGAGGACCCCAGGTCAACCCAGGACACATTGGAGGAATTACATCTCCATGTGTAAGGGAGCACCTTGGGATCCCACCAGTGGAGCTGATGGAGGTTAATAGGGAGAGGACGGTTCGGGTCTCTCTCTGCTGAGGCAGCAACTCTCCAAGTCCAGATAAAAACAGACAGATGGAAAATTTTAATACATTTTAGCATGCTCCTTGTCTTTCTAATATAACAATTTCCTCTCCAACAGCGTGAAGCTCAACAAATGGCCAATTGTAAATTATCTGTATTTGATATAGCAATTTCTAGAGTCATAGAACCCCCCAAAGTGCTTTATAACACAATCAATCACCCACATGGTGATGAGCTTCATTGTAGCCCCAGCTGCCCTGACAGAAGCGAGGCTGCCGTACACAGGCACCACCGGTCCCTCCGACCACCACCAGCAGGCAATGTGTGGAAACAGCAACAGGCGGAGCGGGGATCAAGCCTACAACCTTTCGATTACTGTATGGACACAAAACTCCTCTGCCACCATCACCCTGCACCTGACTTGTATTCAAGTATCAGACATTAAGAGTGGTTCAATGATGAGGTGATTTCTGTGAGCAGAGGTCATTTGAGTACAGCAGTCATGTGAAGATGGTTTCACTGACTATTGGTAAAACAATGGCTAACACCTTCAGTTTGTGAATTGCTGGCACAAATACATCAATCGTACCACAAACAATTCCCACGTTGCTTTTCTGACACTCACCCTTTGTTTACGGGCGTGGTTTCTCCTTTTAAAGAACAGAATTAGCTTCTTCCTCATGACTTGATTTCTGAAAGAGAACAATAAAAATCCTGTTAACTAATGGTTTTATATACTTGCACAGCATCAAAACTATGTGAAAAAGTATTTGTCCCCCTTAGATTTCTTCTGTTCCTGCTTCAGATTAGCAAACAAAAGTTAATATCAAAGATAAGCAGAGTAAATTTTAATTTTTAAAATAATTTTTTTCATTTATTAAGAAAAAAGGTTCTTTGTGAAAACCAACTAAAAGGAGATTACAGCCAGTTATTAAAGAGGTCCTTCACTCCTATTTTTAATACATTTGCAGTGGTCTACAGTAGGAATAAATGCATTGTGAATCATATGATGGGGGAAAAATGCTCCAGTGCACCTGTTTCAGTGCAGAGAATTCAATCAGAGGAGAAAGTAGCTTCAAACGACAAAATTTGGAGTCTCATTTACTGATATTTGGACATCTCGCCTCTGACTGGCTAACAGCAACACGACTCTACCACTGACATTGTTTGCTATTCAACATTGACGTTTTATCTCAACAAATAACACAAGCCTGGAGCAGAAGGTAGGTGTAGGAGACTATTTCATGTTCACCCTGCATGTTAAACTCAGACTGAATCGTGAGTAAAAAATGTTTCTCAGTGAAGGACCTCTTTAATTATAGGGTCAACTACTTTTTCATACAGGGCTAGGTTGGAGAGTATTTTTGTTTTGCTGTAATAAATGAAATCATCATTTAGTTAGGTATAATGAAAACAGTTTGCTGAAAACAGCAAAAACAGAAGAAATCTGTTTTTTTTTTGGGGGGGGGGGTACTTTTTCTCACAGCACTGCACATCCAGAGTCTTCTTTGAACCTGTTATATATCAACAGACAAGTTTGTGCTTGGCAAGCACATTTGAAATGAGTTCATTTTAATTCCAACAACTCATCCAAAACCATTGTTAATTTGGAGTGTGACATGAACAGAATACTAGGAACTCTTCTGTTTACACGTCATGGTGGCTGCGGGGAGAAAATAGTGAGAGCCCTGACCCTGAGAGCGTGGCCTGTTGAGCAGGTTCACACAGAAATGCTCTCTGTCCTGATAAAAGGCCGAGCCAGATGGGCTGCTCTCGTGGTACATACTGATAAGGGGTTTTTGTCCCAGACAACACGACCTTCAACCCCCAACACAAACCTAGACAGGCAGGCGTGCACAGGCAGGCGTGCACACGCACGGCCACTTCCTTCATCCATCACACTCCTTGGTGTCAGTAAGGCAACTCAGTCAGGTGACTCAGCAATCAGATTAGACAGCTGGGCTTATGAGGACTCAGGTGAAACATCATGACTCGTGCAATCGTGCAGGAATGACCTCAGCAAACCATTCATATGTTCATTAGAAGGACTTTTATAAACAAATGACATATTTACGTTTTGATGTTGTCATGGTAGACCTTTGTGTCTGATGGCTGGTTGTACAGCGGCTGAAAACAAAACACCAGGTTAATTATTCATTAGCTGTCAGCTAATCAGCAAAACTCAACCGTTTCCTTGAATTTTTAAAGGTTGAAAAACGTACCAGCTCAACCTTGGGACCAAGACCTTCCAGAATTTTATGGGCCTCCTCAGCTTTCTTCTAAAACAATAAAAAAAACATTAATGGATCAATGTGAGTGATGACATAATAGCTTAGACATACACCAACAATGGTTATTTTTCTGTTCCATATAAAACAAAAATACAAAACTATTTTCTCTACAAGGCTCTGAAAGAACTAAAACCAAAGTTGATGTTTTTTCTAATAACTCAAAGTCTTTAAATGGCTTTTCAATTATGAGCAGTAGTCCTTCGTACGTTCAGAGTGAACAGCTGTTATTGCCAGACAAGAGCTACACATGAAACGAAAATAATATAATTACTGGCTCTGGCATGAGATTTTTCCTGGATCAGCGGAGACTTTCAGCTTGTACAAGATCATTATGAACATAATGACTTGCTGCGTAATTTCACAAGCCCCCATCAGACGTAGACAAACAAGCACTGCTGTCAGACTAAAAGCTGCATGCAAATCTCAAGCAGCTTCTCTTCCTTAAGGGTTAATGGTTGACTGAGGAGAAGAGTGTCTCGGCTCTCTCCCACCATAACACTGTCTGACAGTGATGAACTCCGGTGACCTCCCCATATAACAAACACCCCATCCCTCTACTGTGAGGAGAAAAAGGAGATTTTCTACACTTAACATTACCTGCTGTTATTTTTAGGTTCAAAGTTTTAGTAGAAACTTAACACAACTGTGGCGTGTAAAATCCAGATCAGGCACAGCGGGGAGAAATTTCAGTAAGTTAACAAAAAGGCTTCAATCAATTTAAGACAACGTTTACTGCTTGGCTTGGGTTGCTATGGTTACCTGCAGATTTGAAGACTCGGACAAGTCAGTAAACTGAAAAAACAACGAAGAGTCAGGACAACTTACTCTGTTCTCATCATAGATAATCTGGACTATGCTGCGGTGCTTGTGCTCCACAGGGGGAGGGGTCACCGGCTTCTCTGGCTCCACCGGCTTTGCTGCTTCCTCCTCGAGTTGTTGCTAAGAGACAACATCAATGCACAAACGTTTGATAAATAAATAAGAAATAAGAAATCCACTGAGTCCCACTTTTCTACACATGACCAAACTCTGTTCCGGTAGCTTTATCTGAATTTGTTTTTATTTTGTGGTGAGAAACCCGGGTTTTGATGGAGTTTACTGGATCTTATCCTGATGTGAGAGACTCGTGCAGGTTTTATCGGAACATTCCCCATCGTTTCTGCCAATGAGTCCATGTTGATAAGGGCAGAGGAGGTGAAGCTTTTATAGTGAGGTGCAGGAACACAAGAGGAGTTGCTGAAACTCTACAGATAATCAAATCCCAGAAAATCTTTCCAGACTAAGCTGAGGCATCTTTAGTCAGGATAGATTCTCAGATATAAAGAGGCTGAAATCTTAAATAGACTGCCTTAGAAAAACAAACACAAACTAAAAACTAAAATCGGTCAGAAAGAATAGCCAAGGAATGTTTTCTTAGGTTTGTTTTGTTAAACTGGTGAAACCTTTGGGTGAACTGGTTTGAGCTTTCAAAAGGAAAATACAACTGAGTTCTGAGAGTTTATTAAAAAGAATTGTAAGGAAAAGTTTGTTTGTCAGCTTCTTCAACAACAACAACAGCTGTCCACAAACTGTAAAGATTATTTTAATTTGGAGGTTTTATCAGACACCACTGAACTTCAAGCATTAGAACCAAACAATTTTAAAAAAAAATTGAGATTTTTTGCGATTTCAATTCGATTAATTATTTTGCTTCAGCACCATATTCATAATGTACTGTAACATGACAGGAAATGACATCATACCATCAAAACTTCACTCTTATAATGCAACGGTGAAAACTAGAGTTAAAATAGCTTTCAAATGTTTTTAAATTAACACGTAACATGGAGAGTTGTCCCAGAGTTGTCTTACTAAAGTGGCCTGCCTGGACGTTTTTTAGGGCCGCTTGAAGGTTTTTTCTCACAAAATCATCAACACATTTTACATGCTTACTTTGATTTACCGTAACTCTTTAACAGTTTACCGTAACTCTTTAACAGTATGCGTCATTGGCTAATGATTGGTTAGCTAAACTTCACCTTTCAGCTCTACATGAACACATTGATTCACGCTCTTTTGCTCCACCCACATCCTCAGAGATGAGCTCATGACATCACAGGCCATAGACCGCCTATGTGTTCAATCACGTCCGCATTCCTAAGGCAGTGTGGAACGAACGCGGCCAGCCTGGGGCGGGCAGGCAGAGCCGATGCTAATGTGCAAGTGACATTAGAAAAAAAGACACCTGAGCAGAATTGATCTGAAAATCAACTTGAGTGACTTTCCTGTTTCAGCCACTGACAGACCCAATCTTGCAAAATGGGACTATTACATTACAAAACATTCGATTCAGGCCACACAATGTCCTCTGTGTTTGCTCTGAGACAGAAAAAAAGGCCCAGCTGGGTTTCTCACCTGCTTTTTCTTCAGCTTTGAAATCTGCTGCTCTACTTTAGCAATTTCCCTGTCCACACGGTCCATGCTCTGGATGAGCTCCTCCTTGGAGAGTTTAGAAGGTGAAGTGTCCTGCTCGTCCCCCATGTGCAGCGTAGGTACTCCTGGGGACTGGGACTCCACTTTGACAGAAAACTGAGGCTCCTGACATTTACAAATAGATGAATCCTTGTAAGGCCTGTAAAAAATATTAGAAGAAATCTGTGGAGAACTATATGAACCCCACCTTTTTGATCTCCATAGTGGCTCTTAAACTGTCCTGTACAGAATGAGGCATGGGCAGCACCATCCCCCCAGCAGTGGGAGGAGTCCGGGAGATGTGGGCTTCAGGAACAGTCTCCATGCGAGGCCGCTTAGCCTCCAAGGCCTCATGATCTGCCTGGGCTGTGATGGAGTGAAACTGCTGCTCGTAGCCATGGCGTCTCTCTGGAGGCCTGAAGTCAGAACAGTAATAAGATCTCAAGCAAAAATGACTGTTTAGTAAAACAATAACAAACTTTAATTTTGAAGACCTGTAATCTAGATTAAAATAAATTCTGGTGTAGATTACAGGCCGACCATACCTTTCAGTTCCCGGGTGGAACTCAGACAATAAGGAGGGTCTTCTCCGACCCTGTGGGTCCTGCATGTGTGTACGATAGTCTGGCATGGGGAAATCCTGGGGAAAAGGAATGAAAATACAGCAACCTGGTCGAGAGCAAAAATGTAGGAAACAGGTGCCCTATGGGACTGATGAGCTAACGGCTAGTCCAAGATCAGATAGGAAGAAAGTATCATTTTTGGTCTTTGATCAGGCAAAACAAATGTCAGAATACGGACATGAGACAATTGGTGAAGTAGTTTTATGAACAACAGCAAAGATTTTTGGTACTGGCAGTAAGGCTGGACAATATTCAAAAAACCAAATCGGTTAAATTAAATTCATATTGATCAATATCAATAATCATTGAAAAATAAAAAATAAAAACCTGAATATAGGACGACCCCGGTTATAAGACGACCCGTCCCCTTTCCATGACTAATCTTCAGGAAAGGACAAAAAAAAAATCACTTTTTAAATCAACTATTTTTATTGAAAAATTGAGAACAAATACTGAGCAAAAATACTATTTTAATGCCAACTATCAGAACTTTGCTGACATGTGAAATCTAAAGTCAAATGACGCTTTTATTCAGACGCCCTCTGCCTCGTTGTACTCACTCTCATTCTCACTCATGCTGCTGCGGTCCAGGTGTACCATCGCTACACCTGCCAGCTCCTCCCAGAACGTCATCCTCACGGCCATCCAATGCATCCATGCATGCAATGTTTGACGCCTCTGCTGAATTGACTACAGTCATCTAATACTTCTCATAACTCTGCCTTAATATGTTAACTCCCTTTGACGACAAAAGTGATTACTGTGTGGGCATCAGAACGAGCCCCCGCACTGTGAGAACAAACATCCCAGCTCTAAAGCTGATCTTCATCAGCTAAAGTCACATGACCAGGAGGCAGAAGGCCGCTGCTGTAAAATAAATGTGAGGGCGAACCGGAAAAGCTTCTGCCGATCACAATTCAACAACAAATTATGAAAGAACGGATAACGCTCGAAACACGAGGATTCTTCCTGCTGCAAGAGGTGAGTCTCCTCTTTGTTTTGGTACTTTTGGCGTTGACATCATCATAGAACGCAACGTTCTGTGACTCTTAAAAAACACTGAAAACGCTGGCAGGGAAGGGCTTTTCTGATCATGGAACGGCTGGCAGTGAATTAGACCCGGATTATACGACGACCCCACATTTCAAAATTATTTTCATTGAAAGAAAAAAAAACTCGTCTTATATTCGGGTTAGGGCTGCACGAAATTAGGAAAACCTGCGATATTCGATAACAGTGCTTAATATTGCGATATCGATATTACTCAAGATTAATGAAAAAATACTAAAGTATGCAGTGTTGATGTCGTCTGTCGTGTGACGTCTGCTCTGGGTTCAAAGCAAACAAAAACTAATGCATGAATTCCATTACAACATAACATTTTTATTGCAAAAATATGCAGCTGCACCTGCTACTGTATTAGCAGCAAAACAACAAACTGCATGCATGCAGTTTCTCAGTGACTTTAAAACATCACCTCCACCATAAAACTTTTTCTGATGCTCCAAATACAGAAAAACATCCCTTACCAGGGTTTTTGAATACATAAAAAATCTGAAAGTAAGTTTAAATGTTAAATAATAGTTAACATCACTTACATGCAACAGCAAATTCTCTCATTGCTACTGAGCATTTTCTCCACTTATGTGGTTATGATATAAGGCTGTTGCTGCAATTGGGAAGTGATCTGTGCTGGGCCAAACTAGGAGAATATTAAGACTTTCTGAGGGAAAGAGAAAAACAATTGTCTACCTTTCAGAAGAGGAACTGGCAAAAAAAACTACATGGAAAATATGTGAAAACGTTTGTTTTTAACCCCAAATTGAACAAGTTTACCTAGATCTTAAAAAGCAGCTCAGATGATGAAACTGCAGCTATGATTCTGATAACAAGCTAACAAATTGAACTAAGATAACCGGCTAGCAGAGCTTCTGACTGGCAGTTTATGTGCAGCAGCAAATCAACTATCCTGATTAACAAGGTAATAAAGGAAAAATCACTTTGATGTGTGGGGGAACTTTTCCAGGCCCTCTTTAGCAGGGTGGGACTGGGAGGAGAGTGCTGTAGCCTTTTAGCTGGAAGCTAACCGGAGCCTGGGGCTAACATCCCCACCCGGTGGAACAACAGCGACATGAAGGTGGGTTGGTTCACCGGCACGTGTCGGAGTCAGCTCGGTAAAAATGATTAATGACACCGAGCGGACTCACGTTCACGCTTGAAAGCAGCGCTGAATCCAGAAACCTCAGCACAAAGTGTGTTCGGTGCTCTGAGCCAGAATGACGAACAAGGGAACGGCGCCGCAAACTATGTTCAGCTGTTGCTTTCCAAAAGAGTCTATGTAGGGGGCGGGCGTATTACGTGAACGGACCCATCTGATTGGCCGCATATCAGAAGGGCTACATTTGATTGGTCAAATAATATTTCCGCATAAAAAACAGAGCTGGTTTACAAAAAGCTGATGTATGACACGGATGGAAATGTTGAACCAAACATTTATCGCCATTTTTGACGTGTTTTGCGATGGGCCTATCACACGTCCTGTTATCCCGATGACGATAATTTTTCGATATATTGTGCAGCCCTAATTCGGGTCAATACGGTTTTAACAAATATACAGTGATATTTACAAACATGACAGGAAATTACTTCAAACTGGGCTTTTCCTGGCTCAAATTGAGGCAGAGGTGGTACCATCCTGACCATGCGCCAGCACATGCATACTCTGTGCATTCAACTGCCTCACTTTTTTAAAGGCTAAATATTATAAAAGGCTCAATAATATGCATTAGATTGGTGTTTAGTTCCCTTTTTCCCATCTGATATTTATAGTTAAAAATATTTTAAAATATTTGACCTACATTTCAGTAACATTTTAGGTTTGTATTAATAACACTCATCTTAGTCAAAATAACACATAAATATATCCAGTAAAATATAATGCATTTCATTAACATGCATTTGTGTTGGAAATGGTAATAACATTTAATTTCTGCTGCTAACAATGTAATGGTGGCATGTCTGTTATGTACGGGTTAGGGTTAGGGGGGTGTTCCGTTTTGCCTTGGCCCCCAAAATGCCTTGAAACGGCCCTGGGTGTGTGACTGAGTTTTGAAGGTGATCTGAATTGTATCAGATGTATAAATATTACATGTGTATAACTTATTATTTCATACAGGTAAAAACGTGTACTGGAGATAAATCCACCTACATTTGACTTTCACGCTTTGTTTTCTTGTTTTTATTTAACTATTTGTCTGTCCTCTCTGTCATCTTCCTGCATCTCCTCTAAATTCTCCAGAAAAACTGCTGCCTGGATCCTTATTTTTTCACCTCATCAGTTACTTTGGAGCAGATCAAAGGGATCTCCTGACCGCAAAGTGGAGTCCGCGTTTCGATGCTGCATCAGTGAGGTGAAATCACTGCAGCACACGAAAAGAGGAGCGCGTCAGGAACAATTAAAAGACAGAGTACCAGAGAATATAAACAGATATGAACGATCATGTGTTAATAATAAAGTTTTGTTGCGCCACCTTGAGAATGTATCGTGCGCCGGACGCAGCGGGCGCACCAACGATCAGCGCTCTTGCGTCCTCTCCGCTCAACAGAATCCTGCTACGCTCAGAGTCCATAAATATTTTAATATAGGCAGAAACTGCATCTTTCCCTGAAAGATATCTAGCCCCCATAACTCGATCCCTGCTCCTGGATGAAAAACCGGACATTTTGATCAATGTAGGAACCCCCCCGACAGAGAGTGAAAAGTGGACATGTCCGGGGGAAAGAGGACGTATAGTCAGCCTACAATAGCACCAACCATACATATGTACCAACTAGTGAGAAAAGCTATTTTTGATCTTTTTCTGCAGCAGTTTTAGCGCTTTTTGGTGCACTGCTGCTGATACAGCACCCCTGTAGTGACGCAACGCTGCAACTGCAGTTAAAATAACATCCATTTAGCTGGGTGCCAAGTGAAACCAGGCTAGGGCGGCACAAAAATAGCTGGAGGCGGCCGCCACGCAAATTTGAACGCCGGAAAAACCCTGTCATACCATCCTGCTTTCACCAGGGCTGCCAACTCTCACATTAGCTGTGTTTCCATTACCAGAACATCAGGGTAAAGTCTGGGACATGGAAATTGACCGGGAGACAGGATGCTCTAGTCCTCCCAACTGTTGTGTCTCCATTCAAATTCAGCCCTTTCAAGACTTTGCAGATGTCAGCATATCGCAACAGCTTTGGTAGTGAGTGATGTCACTGATCAGCGCTAAAAAGCATCCACATTAATATAACATTAAAAGTAGGGATGTGTATTGAAATTCTGGTGATACGATACGTATCATGATACGGGGAAACGATACAACGTATCAAGATATATTACGACATATTCAGCCAGGCGATATTAGCGATTTTTTTAGACTGAAATTATTGTAGAAAAATGCCATAAACAGTCCAAACTGATACGTATGTTTAACTCACTCACCGCCATTGACGACTAAAGTCGTCATTTTAGATCCAACCGTTCACTGCCAATGACAACTAATGTCTGACGACGACTGTTTGAAAATCGGAATGAGCCCCCGCGCTGAGAGAACAAACATCTCAGCCCTGAAGCCGATCTTCATCCGCATATGTCACACGTCACGTGATCAGGAAGTAACACATCCATGTGTTTGGAGATCGTTTTGGGCCGTTCCTGTAAAAAAAAGTGAGGCGCGAACCAGAAAAGCGTCTGCCGATCACAATTCGACAACGGATTATGAAAGAACGGATAATGCTGAAAACATGCGAATTCTTCCTGATGTAAGAGGTGAGTCTCCGCTTTGTTTTGGTTGTTTTGGCATCAACATCATCCTAGCATGCAACGTTCTGTGACTCTTAAAAAAAACAGTAAAAACAGTGAGAAACGCTGGCAGCGAAGGCCGTTAGCGATCAGGAAACGGCTGGCAGTGAATGAGTTAACATGAGGTATCTGAACCATAATAGAGGGATTTACATTTCAGAGGTGGAAACAAAACTCATAGCACACTGCTGCTGGTAGGTGGTAGGTGTTTGAATTGTTGAAGTTAAGATTATTTGATCAAGTAGGACCTGTGGTTAGCTGGCTCATGTAAAACATGTCATGTCTTAAAAGGATCGGAATCGTTCAAAATCAAACGATGCCCAACCCCGACTGAAACTCTCCAAATAACACAGTGATAACCTTTCTGATTTGAAAATGATCTGGATAATAATTTTTAGTCTACTAAAAAGATTCATTATAATCTGAAAGCAAGTGTGGGAGTTTATGCTTCTTAAAATAAGGGCAGAATACCAAAGCATGTCCACGTTATAAAGAAGGGGATATTCCTCTGAAACTTTATCGCTGAGTGTAGAGTAGAGGCACAACAACATCTAGCAAACTAATGTAATTTTTGTTACTGAAAACTGATTAGAATCAGTGTAAAAACAACAGAGGTAAAGAAACACCTGAAGGTTATCAGCAAGGTATGGTTCAGCAAACAAAGTTTCAGGAAACATTTAAGGACCGTTCTTATCCACAATTTAAGCAAATAATGAAATGTTCAGAAATGTTCCGCTGATAGTTTTCTGCGAAAGTGAAATTCGGCGAAGCTCCATCCAATAATAGCAAACAAGGACTAGCCAACATTTAGAAAAGTCAATTAATGTGCAACTAAAAGTGTGCCAAAATTAAAAACTAAAACTTTACAGACCTGGTTACAAAGAAAACACATTTAGTCTTACAGTAGAAATGCCGTTACTGCAGTATAACACAAGCTAACCGCTGTCTAACAGAGACAAACACTCCCATGATGATGCATCCAACTTGGGAGATCATCACCCTGCTAACTGTTCTTCTTTATTTTATAGCTCTACTTAATTTTATCCTCAAATACAGACCAGCATCAAACTCACATGACTAGTTAGAAATCTTTACGGACCACAAGATCATAGGAGCATGTGCAGACCGCTTACATAGATTCTAATAAAGCTGCCATCTGATCCTGAATATACAAAGTGGCATCAGAGCGAAGTCAGTCAGGTGTGAAGGAGCAACACCTCACTAGTGCAGCAGGGACATACACTGCTGTATGAAAATGAGCTAAATATGTTGTTCACTGGGATGAAATGAAGCATGATGTTCACTACAAATTAAGACAGTATGCATCTGAAAACACGACAAACCAAGCAGAATCTAATCCAAACCGATCATCTTCAGATTACAATGACATTGTACGACTAAGAGTTAGGCAACTGTGCTCGCTGTAATTCATGTAAAGAAGATAAAATGTCATTTTGCCAATTTTAGTGTTAAACAAAATCATCACAGATCAGAAAGTGTATAAAAATTAGAAACTGGAATTGGGCATGGAATCATTTGATATAAACGCTGCCAAAACAAAAATAATTCAAACTGCAAATAGTTTTTATTGCTGAAAATATATTCTTGTTTCTTTTTTAAATTTGAGGTATTTCTGGTCCAGAACCCATTCCAGAGGGATTTTAGATGCAAGTGTCTCAAGTTGATTTTAAACAGCCTTCAGGAGAGTCTAAATCACACATGATCATTAGCTAACACAACTAAGCACGTGGAGGGTTTACCTGTTGGTGGCGTGTGCCGGTGAAGGTGTACTGGACAGAGTGTGATGGGTATCGGTTCTGCTCACTGCTGAAGCTCCCCTGGCTAGGGGGATAGCCCGAGCTACTGGACATCCTGACTCAGAGCTGGTGGGCTGTTGCTGCCTCACAGGTCAGAAAGCTTAGCTACACCATGTTTGGATATAAAAACCACCTGGAAACAGAAAACACAATACCTCCACTGGTCACCATTACATTTTAAGAATTACAACACAGGTTTGTAAAATGTTTGTGAATGAAAAGAAATTTAAAAGAATAACTTATGCGAACATCAGAAATGACACCATTTGTTTTTCAATGGACAATCAAATTCACAATGATTTGATACTGCAATAAATGTTTCTAACAAGCAGGTGAATTGAGATGTAAACCCCTGGCGTGATATCATCTGGTTTTTTGGCAGCGTGAGAAATAAAGTCAGACTTAAATCAAAAATTACCCAACAAACTGATTTAGGCTATGGCTATTAGAAAATATGCACTTGTAATATTGCAATGAGAATGATAAATCCACTTTTTCTGTCACCACAATACCAACAACACTCCCTATGAGCTGGGAGTCCTTAGAACTATTTATGTAGATGTTTGCAAGCAGTTTGGGTCTACAGTTTTTAAAAAGGCCGTGTAAAATTGATATTGCAAATAATAAAAATGCAATTTTTATAGATCTTTTTTTTTATTCTGCAGCCATGACTTACACTAATGCTTTTGAACAAAAACATAGGAGTAACTTGTGCAAAACAAAGACTAAATGTTAAGAGTTTCAGCTCCTAACTGCAGCAAATCTTATCGTAGACAAACGTGAATTTGAAAACTAATATTCTGAAGTTCTTGTTGATCACTGAAACATTTTAATAGACATCTGAAGTTCAAAACTAAAATGATGTTAGTATAAACCCTGGGGTTCTCTAAATGGCCTGTATTTGACATAGCACCTTCTAGAGTCCTGGAACCCCCCAAAGCGCTTTACAACACAATCAGCCATTCACCCATTCATACTCTGATGAGGATGAGCTACGATGTAGTACCAGCTGCCCTGGGGCACACCAACAGAGGCAAGGCTGTCGAGCACTGGTGCCACCGGTCCCTACGACCACCACCAGCAGGCAAAGGGGGTTAAGTGTCTTGCCCAAGGACAAAACGACAGCGAGAGACTGAGCGGGGCTCAAACCTGCAACCTTCCGATTATGGGGCGATCACTTAACTCCTGTGCCACCGTCGCCCCAGCTCTACAGGTGCTGGCCAGTAAATTAGAATATCATCAAAAGGTTGAAAATATTTCAGTAATTCCATTCAAAACGTGAAACTTGTACATTATATTCATGCAATGCACACAGACCAATGTATTTCCAATGTTCATTACATTTAAATTTGATATTCATAAGTGACAACTAATGAAAACTCCAAATTTGGTATCTCAAAAAATTAGAATATTCTGAAAAGGCTGAATATAGAAGACACCTGCTGCCACTCTAATCAGCTGATTTACTCAAAACACCTGCAAAGGCCTTTAAAAGGTCCCTCAGTCTTGTTTTGAAGGCACCACAATCATGGGGAAGACTTCTGACTTAACAGCTGTCCAAAAGACAATCATTGACACCTTGCACAAGGAGGGCAAGACACAAAAGGTGATTGCTAAAGAAGCTGGCTGTTCGCAGAGCTCTGTGTCCAAGCACATTAACAGACAGGCGAAGGGACGGAAAAAATGTGGTAGAAAAAAGTGTACAAGCTCTAGGGATAACCGCACCCTGCAGAGAATTGTGACGACAAACCCATTCAAAAATGTGGGGGAGATCCACAAAGAGTGGACTGCAGCTGGAGTCAGCGCTTCAAGAACCACCACGAGGAGACTCATGAAAGACATGGGATTCAGGTGTCGCATTCCGTGTGTCAAGCCACTCTTGAACAAGAAACAGCGCAAGAAGCGTCTCGCCTGGGCCAAGGACAAAAAGGACTGGACTGATGCTGAGTGGTCCAAAGTTATGTTTTCTGATGAAAGCAAGTTCTGCATTTCCTTTGGAAATCAAGGACCCAGAGTCTGGAGGAAGAGCGGAGAAGCACAGAATCCACGTTGCATGAGGTCCAGTGTAAAGTTTCCACCGTCAGTGATGGTGTGGGGTGCCATGTCATCTGCCGGTGTTGGCCCACTCTGTTTCCTGAGGTCCAGGGTCAATGCAGCCGTCTACCAGGAAGTTTTAGAGCACTTCATGCTTCCTGCTGCTGACCAACTTTATGGGGATGCAGACTTCACCTTTCAACAGGACTTGGCACCTGCACACAGTGCCAAAACCACCAGCACCTGGTTCAAGGACCATGGTATCCCTGTCCTTGATTGGCCAGCAAACTCGCCTGACCTTAACCCCATAGAAAATCTATGGGGTATTGTGAAGCGGAGGATGCAATACGCTAGACCCAACAATGCAGAGGAGCTGAAGACGACTATCAGAGCAACCTGGGCTCTCATAACACCTGAGCAGTGCCACAGACTGATCGAGTCCATGCCACGCCGCATTACTGCAGTTATTGAGGCAAAAGGAGCCCCGACTAAGTATTGAGTGCTATACATGCACATTCTTTTCATGTTCATTCTTTTCAGTTGGCCAACATTAGAGAAACAAACATTTTTTCATTGGCCTTTAGAATATTCTAATTGTCTGAGATACCAGATTTGATGTTTTCATTGGTTGTCACCTATAAATATCAAATTTAAATGTAATGAACATTGGAAATACATTGGTCTGTGTGCATTGCATGAATATAATGTACAAGTTTCACGTTTTGAATGGAATTACTGAAATATTTTCAACCTTTTGATGATATTCTAATTTACTGGCCAGCACCTGTATATCTGAGGTGTCCAACCTTGGTCCTCCAGGAGCCATATTCAGCAGGTTGTTTTGCCTGCTTAAATACACCAGATTTTAATCAGTAGGACATTAATGGGATTAAAAGGTAATTCAACCATTGAATGAAGTGTGTTGAAGCAGGGAAATAACAAAAACATGCTGAATAACTGCCCTCAAGGACCAGAGATAAAGACTGGTTTTAAATGTTTCTCAGCTTCAACACATCTGATAATGCTTTTGCGTAGCTTAAGGACCTCTAAACAGGTAAAGAATCTGCTGAATCACGGAAGCAAATAAATATGCTGCATGGTGGCCCTGGAGGACCAAGGTTGGACAACCTTGCTCTGCATTCTGCTCCTCCTCCTCAGAAGTTCTTCATTAGGCTTCATGCGGTCATGACAAACAATAATCAATTATCCTGCCCCCAGATATTTGACTAATATAGTTTTTGAAGGCTTATGATGCATAAACAAAAAACACTGCATCAATCATGGTTTTGTAGTTACATGTCACTGATTATGTTGACTAATCGCTGCCCTGAGACACACTTCTGACACTTTTTCTAAGGGATTAGCTCAAAACTCATTCCAACAAACTCCCACCAGACACCATTCCAGTAATGATAAACTTGTTGTGGAGGATCCACTTGTTGCCACCATTCAGAATAGGGTATTTTTCAAACTGTCTGCACACGTCTGACATGTTCACTAAAACATGGCATATACTATTAAATGTTCTAATATTTACGATATCATATACATGACAGCAAACTACTGACCATAAATTTGCATTGTCATAAACAACTGATAATGCAGATACATTATTTTGCCTCTAATTTGGCAAAATCTAGAAAGACAAATCTGATCAAACAGATGGAAAGATGGAGCACGAGCAAGAAAGTGGATTATAATCCATTTATAAACAAGAATTGATTTTTACAAAGCACGAATCTTCAAGAACCTTTTGAGTTGATTAAAAACTGACAGGGTGTAAAATCAGATAGAAAAACTATTTACTTCTTAGATGTACATTAAACCTGTATGAAGATGGTATACAATGTGCAGAAATGTTATGTTCCTTTCGGCAGTGCTCTGAGGAAGGCTACAGCATTAGCAAAAAAGTAAAAACAAATTTACTACTAGGGTTGTCACGGTAACCGGTATAGCGGTAAACCCCGGTAAAAAAGTTGACAATAAAAATAACCGTCCAGTTTTTAAAAAAACTAAATTATCTCGGTGGGTTTACCGTGGCCGCGGTTTCGGCGCGGTGACCCTTACCAGCCACCGTCGCTTCAGCTGAAGTTCCCGCGGCGCGCACACGCACTTTTTAGTTTGCAACGGCACCAAAACTTTGAAGCTGAAATAATGGCCGAAGGAGGAGACGGCAGCGCCCAGGACATCCATCAGCCCTCAAAGAAGACTAAATCGGAAGTATGGGCATATTTTGGATTTCTGAAAAATGCTGAGGGACAGTTAATAGAAGACGGCTATCCCGTTTGCAGAACGTGCAGGAAACAAGTGTCTGCAAAAGGCAGCAACACTTCGAATCGAATGGCACATCTGCGTGACCATCACCCACGTCTCTACAGCCAGTGCAAGGTAAGTTAACATTAGCATTTTAGCTTAAATGCATGACGTGAGGACTTTTGGTTGAGGGAGAATGCAACGAGTCACTACATACTGCAGCCGCAGCGTCCTCTGCCAGCATTTAAACCGTGTCACGGACACCCTGTTGCTGGATGAAGCATCTTATTTGTTGATGATGAAGAGAAATATACAATTAGTTCCTTGTCATTGATTTGTTTACTTATTCAATGCCATTTACACTTGAACATTTGGATTTGATTACATAGTGTAGTAGTTATTTTAGTAATTTGTTTAAAGTGGCTATTTATTTTAAATACATATTTTTTTAAGGTTGACTTGTACAGTGCTCAAGTCAAGTGTGGACTGGAGTTTTAGATTTTCATTTTGATAATGAAGAAAACAAGTATATGAGAAAACAAGTGGTGTTTCTTTGATTTGTTTACATATTGTTTATGTTTTGAATGTTTGGATTTGTATAATTTAAACCTGCACTGACTACTGTAACATGTTCCAGAAAAATAAGCTATTTGTTCCTTTACTTGTGAAAAGTTGCACTTTTGCTAAGGCTTTGTGTTATTTTAGGTTTAATAAACACTGTTAAACCTTTTCAGAACTATTTCAGTTTGTGTAGAACAGGACTATCAATGCTTTCTGAACATATGCAACACCGTTTAAAAAATACCGCGATAATACCGAAAACCGTGATAATTTTGGTCACAATAACCGTGAGGTTAAAATGGTAAATGGCCTGTATTTGATATAGCGCCTTCTAGAGTCCTGGAACCCCCCAAGGCGCTTTACAACACAATCAGTCATTCACCCATTCACACACACATTCACACACTGGTGGGGATGAGCTACAGTGTAGCCACAGCTGCCCTGGGGCGCACTGACAGAGGCGAGGCTGCCGAGCACTGGCGCCACCGGTCCCTCCGACCACCACCAGCAGGCAACGTGGGTTAAGTGTCTTGCCCAAGGACACAACGACAGCGACAGACTGAGCGGGTCTCGAACCTGCGACCTTCCGATTGCGAGGCGAGCACTTAACTCCTGTGCCACCGTCGCCCCGGTTAAATTTTCATACCGTGACAACCCTATTTACTACGCTGCGTTTAGAAAATAATTAAACCAATGAAACCTTGATTTGTTTCCTTTAAGTAAATAATTATGATTTGGGCTTGTTTAAAGAGCAAGTTCACTGAGAAACTGTTTTTACTTGTCATTTTTATGAATAGGTCATTCAGAGTTTCAGTTGCACGCTGAATGTGAAAAATAAACAGGCAAATGATCAGGTCAGAAAAGCCTGACAACTAGGGTTGGGCGATTTGTATAATTTTTCCACCGCCAATCATCAGTCTAATGAATGACGATGGGCGATTTATTCATGCATGCACATTTTTATGCAACATCACGATGCACGGACTGATTTGTGAACACGGTAGAAGTCCAAAGACTGATTTCTTTTTTTATAGATGTGCACATGTTTGGTGGAAGAGAAATTTAGATTTTTCTATTTTTTAAATTTTGTATTTGTTGTTTGGTAGTCTGATGTATATAGCCCACATTTAACACGGTAAAATTGTTAAAAAGAAGCCTAGTCTTTGTTACTCTGAGGTGCCCACTATGTGGCATTTTATTTAAGCAAAATGTTTTTTCGGAACAAAGGCTACTGGGATTTTTTTCCTTTGAGTTTGAGAAATTACATTTTTGCTGCAGAATTTGGACGCACTATGAGGGAGCAGCCATAGGTCACATGATCCATTTATCCCTGTCACTTTCATTTTTAGAATAATAAATAATCATTCAATTTCCAAACATTTTTAATTAATAATTAGTCCAAACAAGCTGAACAGAGTGCCCCAGTAACATAAACAATGCAATTAAACAATTTCCCTTAAATTAGGAATATTTCACCTGCTGCGGCTCAAACGCAAATTCCTTCTGATCCGTGGAAACCTGAACTGATCACCTTCAGCTTGTGCATAAATGTCTCTAGGGAGTTTGCAGAAGAGGGTTTGAGGTTCTTTTGTCTCAGAAAGACTTGTGGCTGTTAAAATGTTGTTCTGGATTAATCCACGCTCTGCTGACACACAAGCGGGTGCTGAATAACGAGCGCTACTTGTTAAGCCAAAGTTTTAAAATCAGGAAACATTTCTCCAAATGAAATAACCAGAGGTCTTCCAGGCTTTCTGAAAAATAGGAGGATTTCCACTTTCCGCTCAACACTGCACTCTTGTGCACGATGTCGAGTGCGTCACAGATGCTCTCTCAGCTCCTCTTGGCTTGCGTGCACTTTCAGCAGCGAGATGCGTGAAAGTATGAGATAATGCTCAGATGCACTGATGGAGATCCTTTCTTGTTTGTTACCTCCACTATGTTCTCTGTGCGTGTGTGTAAAATATCTGTCATTAACAAACTAACTCGCTGGGGGGGGGAAATAAATAAATAAACAAACCATCTCTTGTAAAAACAACCAAAACGACTAAGCCCATCAGCGATGGTTGAATGATTTGTCCCATCATTCAACCCTACTGACAACTGCACGTCACATTGAATTCATAGACTCACCCATCTTGGCTATTAGAAGCTAGCCATTAGCATTAGCAACTCCACAACATGGCAGAACTCCTTCAGGCTTATGGTATTTGTGGAGATAAAGCATCAATGATGCAGAGCAACCTGAGACAGTAGTGGAGTTGCATTGCTCTTATCCAATCAGAGGTGAGATGTCTGGAAATAAAACTCCACAACCTGCCGTCTTCTGCTCCTCTTTCTTCTGGCTCACTTCTAGTTCCTGAAACAGGAGAGTGGGTTATTTCCCCACAGAGATCGACTCATAAGGAAAACAATTTGTGAACTTGGTCTTTAATCCACAAGATGGAGAACTTAGAAGCCGTGCTTCTATGACAAGTTCACTGAATCATTTGAATGTTTCATTTTGTCATTCTGCTGGTGAAGGTTCTCAGTCATCTAGGTCATGGTTATCCAAAGGGGTTCAAATGAAGGCAACTGGACTTATTTGGTTACTTGAAGATGTTTTGCTTCTCATCCGAGGAGATTTGTCAGTTCTGACTGGAATATGGGAGGGTCAAGCTTGTAAACTGTAGGTTTTATGCCCCATTACAATACTAGTATGCATTACATTCCAACAGTTGGTCTCATTTTGTGGAGCAAAAGCTGAAGAACTTGGAAACCACTGGTTTAATGAGTGAAGATTCAATTTTACGATTTCTAAAAGATTACTGTAGTAATCTGGGGCCACGGTGGCAGAGGAGTTAAGTGCATGTCCCATAACTGGAGGGTGCCAGGTTTGAGGCTTGTTCAGTCTGTCGTAGTTGTTTTGTCCTTGGGCAAGACACCATCATGGCTGCTGGTGGTGGTCAGAGGGACTGGTGGTACCAGCGTGCCCCAAGGCAACTCTAGTTACACTGTAGATCATCACCACCAGCATGTGAATGTGTGTGAATGGGTGTGTTGTAAAGCACCTTGGGGGGTTGTAGAACTCTGGAAAATGCTCTGTATAAATAGGCCACTTTACCATTTAGTCAAAACTGGTAGAAGTTGGTGTTTCTCTGCTTCCATTGTGTAATTGGTTGCTTCCATTTTATCACTTCAATAAAAAATAAAATAAAACCTATCTTTAGGCATTCATAAACAGCTAAATGATTCAACTAATGTGTAGCAATGCAGACCAGTAAATGTAAAATACTCCACAGTCATTTTTTAATTCACTCTAAAGCAAAACAATCTCACTTAAAAAGAAGCAAATGAAAAAGGATCCAAATAGCAGCAGGCAGAACCACAACTGCCTAATGCAAAGTACCTGCCTGCTTGCTCTTTGCAATCACAGAAATAGCAATGCACATGTAAACTGGGGTCTCAGAAACTGTTGCACAGGGGCACTTTTAGTTGCTTCATCTGCTTGTGAACATCATGGTTTAACCATGCAACATGACTGGTGGCCAATAAAACAGTAAGATCAGCAAGAAGAGTGTACAAGGAGGTTTGTATTAGCAGGCTTCTACACAACTGAGCAAAACCCAATTAGGATCCCCTCAAATGAAAAGAGAAGCAGATGACTCCAAACTCTGTAAGTATGTTTTATAAAGAATAATATATTTGTTATTACTAGCAAAGTTGTTGATGTGTTGCTTAATTATTTTATAGACGGTAACACCCAGTAAGTGGACTGCAGTGAGGGTAACAGATCTCATAAATGGGTATTAAACTGCAACCCCTCTTTTACCATCTGACCAGCTACACTAAATTATGTTAATCTCAGATAACTTCTAAATAAAATATTGACATGCCAGCTCCTTGGTGATCACTTTTCAAATACAATCTGACAACAATTTCAGTTTTACCCCTAAAAGGTCTTTTTAAACATCTGTAATGATTGCTCTAATTTAGAAATAAAGTTACTTTTATAGCACTGGAATGATTCTGTAAGCAAACATCCAAAACAAAAGCTGAAAATCTATGAAGTCAACCTTGAAAATAGGTTACACCAATACAGCTGGGGACGCCGTCAATGTTATGTTGACATACACACCATTTACTCTTATTTAATCATGATTTACCAAAGAATAAAACCTCTGTGCAAAACAATGTTTCGGTGAAACAAAACATCAAATATTATCTGAATAGCAATATTTATTTATAAAGTTATTGTGCAAGAAGGATATTAAAACCTGTTTGCCTTCACAGTAATCTGGTTTAACCTTTGTGATGTGACCTGACCATGGCCTCCTGTTTGTTAGTTTGTTTCTGCTACACATTAAGCAGGTCTTAGTCTACATATTTAGTAGAAAATGATTCAACTTTTGACTCGTTCTCTTTATTAAATATAAAGTGTGGGGGAGGGAAAACATGAGCTAACCCTGAGCTATCCCTACACGACCTTTTTAACAACTGCATCAAATTAAAATGTATTTCAGACATAATTTTAAGAGTTTTGAGGGTAAAAGCAAGCTAGGTTGGGTGGAAAACATTAACATATTGTGTTAAGAGTGTATTCGTAGAACATCTACATTGTTTCCTCTCACAATACCCATTCTAATGGGTAAAACTGTGTAAATGCTGCCGTTGTGTGACGTTTTTTGTTGTAATTTAACAGCATACTGTCACATAAACTCAACAGGACTTTTATACCTTATTTTGGGTGGAAATTGGGTCATTTTCACATCAACTAGCAGCAAATCCAAAAACGTGCACCGAGGAAAACACATTAACGCAAACACAAGCGATATATGAGCACTTTACGATGTTATTAGTACATTTAAGATGTTGTTGGAGCTCACTGCCTAACCCAGCCTCTATTTCACCTTTGAATTTTCAACCACGTCGCCATCTTGCAAGGCAGATTTTCAGCGTACACCGAGTCGTTTAAACAGTGCTAATTAGACTCTTTGATGAGCTACATGCAAACGACTTGTACTCACCGCATATTTGAAGTATATAAAAATGGGAAAGAAATGTATCCCAGGGAGAAATCTGCGTTAACAGTTGATTGTAAATCCGCGGGTTGTGGGCTGTGAACGACTGAGCAGACTACAGACTGCGCCGCATCTGTCGGTCGATGTCCTAACAGCGAAAAATAGGCCTTATTTGGTAAAATCAATTGTCGTCGTTCAATAAAAAAAAATTACTTCGGGAACAATATAGTAGTTAAAATACGTATGAAAATTGAAAATAAATATTTGTTTAAAAAAAGTTTGTTTTATATCGGAAACTATTTTTCTTATATATCAACCAGGAAATTGAAGTGTGACAACTAAAGCTTCCCCTCAAACATGCTGATGCCGCTGGGATTTCTCTTTTAAAAACAAGAACTTGGCCCAGTTTGATTAGTTTTAAACACGTTGAGTTACTATCAATAATTGTCTACCAGAAATAATCTTATTGCATTACAGTAATCTGGTCGTTTTTTTTATAAATTTGTAGTGCTTAGGTAAGATGAAACACAAATGTGCGTGATTGCGTGAATAAAACATTTGCAACTCTTATTACTGGCAAAGTAAAAATAAACCAGTTCTTTGCCATTCTGAATTCTATTTACTGCTTTCATTTAATTTAATATTTTAAACAAGAAGTAACATTACACAGGAGCATCCGGAACCATGTAAACGTTTGACATGTATTCGTACCCGGATTGTTTACGGCGACGGTCAAAATAATGTCTCCTTTCTTAGTTTTGTTCGTTGTTTTCTCATATTTGGCTTGGATAAAATGGATTTACGATCGAGACCGGCGCAGTTTAGTGAACTCGCTGAAACATATGATGAACATTTCATCAGCTAACGAAGTAAACGTCAGGGCTTTGATTGTAACTGCGCATCCAGATGATGAATGCATGTTTTTCGCGCCAGCAATAATACGACTCGTTGAATTGAACGCCAGCGTTCATTTGCTGTGCTTATCTGAAGGTACAGTCACTGAACACTTTTATTGGGGGTTTATATCAACAGAAAAGCTATGAGGAAACCTTCTATTGCTTCTGTTCCGGGTTAGCTTGTTTTAGGTTCAGTTGAGCCAACAAAAACAGAATACTTCCTTTCTAAGAAAAAAAAAATAATGTCCAATCAATTAAATAAAGTAGCTTTAACAATCAATAAATGAAAGTTTTCTTTATAGTCCCTAAGCCAATTGCAGGGATCAGTAAGATATAAAATATACTGTGTTTTTCTTAAACATATTGTACTACTTCACATTTTAAGTGGATCTCATTTCTCAGAAAGGGTTTTTCCACTTGTGATTTTTCAGTTTATCTATAATTTGCAATATAATGTTTGTTTTTTGTCGTTTTATCAAAGGAATTGTTAGGAAATCTCCCTAAAATCGTTAAAGTATTTTCAGAGTTCACATGTTTTATTCCCACTTCATAATTAGTTAATAACAAATTATTAAAGGTTGTAATCGCAGACAAACCTGTAATTTAACCTTCTAAATCAGTGGTGAGATGTACTACAAAATATGTAATAATCCATTTTAGCATCTTTACAGTGCTAAATTTCAACTATCCAAAGGAACTGGAACCACATAATGTTATATGATGAACTTTAATGCTGATATGATGCATTTACAGTCAGTTATTTGTCAAACATTGTACAGGTAACTACTACAATCAAGGAGCTCAGCGAAGACAGGAACTACTGAACAGCTGTTCTACGTTGGGGATCCCAGCTTCCAGGGTCACCATAATAAACCACAAGTAAGCGGCTGTTTACTCCCATCATAAAACGTGTATAACAATCAATCAGAGAATCAGAAGGGTTTTATTGCTTTATGTGTGAGTAGGTTCACAATATTAGGAAATTGATCCAGTACTTGGTGCAAAAATAAGAAATAAGCACAATTAAATGATCTTATAAAAAGTGACTAATGTATACAAGACAGTGTAAGTACTGATCAGAGCGAACCAGTCAGGAGCAAACACACCACAGGGTCAAGTCACTGAAACAAAATGACTGGAGTGAGCTGTCCTAGGATTGTTATTCATTAGTCCAACTGCAGAGGGGAAGAAACTGTTTTTGTGGCGAGAGGTTCTGGTCCGAATGGATCTGAGCCTCCTGCCAGATGGGAGCAAGTCAAAAAGACTGTGTCTAGGGTGAGACGGGTCAGCTGTGATCCAACCTTCTCACCCCAATGTCTTGAAGGTGTACAGGTCCTGTATGGAGAGGAGTTTGCAGCCAATTACCTTCTCAGCAGAGCACATAACGTGTTGTCTCTAAGCTGGTAAATAGTATTGAATTAGTGGTGATTTGTCTGAATTTGCCTACCCACATTTTTGGATTCATCTGTTTATCATACACTATGATTTTTATTTATAGCCACATAAAAAGCTCTCTAAATAGATTAAATTGTTCTGTTAGCTCAGACATTTGGTCTTTCCTTGCTTGCCTCTTAAAGTCCACCAGACACCTCCCCTCAACAATTGTCATCAAGCTCGTCCTGACAATTCTCCTCATAGCACATCTGATCTATCTGAACCGTTAGTGCTGCAGGTCGGCCCTGTGACACACAAAGGCAAGTCAAAAAGGTGGGCAGTAAGAGTCCATCAGCTCAGTTTACAAATGAATGTCATCTACATTTCTAAAATCCATCATTTACTTCAATTCAAGCAGTAAATATTTTAAATATTAATATATTGAACACTGATATTGCGATTATATCACCCTGCCATACCCTGGACAACCATTTCTTTACCATTAGCTGGTAGCTCAGATTTACAAAAGTCTCACTTTATACTTGCTTTTAAATTTTAATGTAATTTTGGATTACACAACAAAGTGATAATTAATGAAAAACCATCTTTGAGAAATATCAGTAATAGATTATTCTATTTGCAATCTAAACTTTATTTACACCAAATCACAACAATGGATCACATTAAAATGGTTTATCTTTCTTTTGATAGCTGAAATGTTTCGCATCGCTCATATTTGGAGTTTCTAAGAAGCTCAGAGCTGCCCTCGTGTGAGGCTCTACTCGTTGGCTCACCAGGAGAGCTGGATGAACTCTGACACTAACCTGGAGCTCACAGTAATAAGCTGGCAGCATGCCCAGACGGTCTGCCCTAAAGAACATCGTGTGTGCGTGTGTGTGTGTGTGTGTGTGTGTGTGTGTGTGTGTGTGTGTGTGTGTGTGTGTGTGTGTGTGTGTGTGTTTAGACAAACACACATTCACAAAATCCTACGTTTTATCTTCTTGTACACACAGAATACAGCTGAACTTTGCTCTCAGAGCTGTCTGCACTTCAGCTGAACTGGAGTGTGGCCCGTTTCCCTTTCTTTGTATTCCCTTGTTTGCCTGAAACACACACCTAATCAGCACTTTGAGAAGCCCCCACCCCCTCTACATTTTCTGTCTATGTCCAAGTCTGCTGCCATGAACTGGGACACACAGCGGCAACACTAATGTAGTTATTTTCTCTATTTGACTGCACATGGCCAGCTTTGTTATAGTACAACCTTGCTTTTGCTGATCATTTTATTGCACACAAAAAAGCAAAAGAGCAACATTTAGTTTATTTTTATCGTTCAAAACACAAATGTTCACTGTGTGTTTAGCTGGAAATTATCCAAGAGACTCTGTTGGTTTTTTAGGGGCATTTTAGTTCCAAGCACATATCAGATTTCATGCTGTTCCTGAGGTAAACACAACGTGTGTCAAGTTATGGTTCATTTATGATCAAAACTAGCTGTTTTGTTGACATAACGTTTTAGTCATCAGAGGCAGCTGTTTGGGTTCGTGCTTCGTTCTCTGCTCCTTTATTGCCAAATGGTGGTAATACATTCTCAAAAAAGTTAATTAAATCAAAAATGTCATTTATGTTTTAAAAATAAACTTACATATGAAGAATGAGCCGTCACACGATATAGTATTGTAAAGCACAGTTCTGTTGAGAATGATCATTTATTTTATTAATACCTGAATGGTTTAAACATGAATTCGTGTCGTGTTTTTAAATGGAAAAACCCTCAAACCTGTTTGATTCCTCGTCTTTCTTCCAAATTGCTCACATTGCGTGATCTTGGAGCAGATTTTCGGGTCACGTTTTTTAGGCGAAGATTCTATTGAAAATGATCACTTTGACAAAAGAGCTGACCTTTTTCAATGTGATCCAATCAAACCTGAAGCTTCACGTCAAAATATTGTCCTCATATTTGACGACCAGGTGTGTGTCTGTGGTGCAAACATTTGTCGCTGCTCTGTAAAAACTCATCACCGTCTTTTCTCTAAACGAGTGTGCTTCATCATGTTGCTGATCAGGGAGCTGCTAATGTGGGTCATGACGACTGAGCGGCCGTAGACCAGTCCTCCAAGGTGGCAGGAGCAACGCGCGAGTTTAATGCTCACCCGACAGGACAGCTGTGTTGACAGTGTCCGGGGGCCCAGTGCATGTTGGGGCCTCTGCGATCAGAATCAATCTGAGCATGCTCTGCTGCATCTCTGCTTGCTCAAGCTTGACCTCTGTCCGCTCCCCAGACTCGATTATAGCTGCTCGCAGCACAAATCTCACCATTGCACTTTTTTATTGTGACGTTCTTAGCCAGACAGAACCGGAGCACTGCTCTGCCAGCTCTGGTTCTGTCTGGCTTCAGCTGTTAGCCGGGCTCTGATTTACCCCAAAAATCTTCTCTAAACCCCGGACTGAAAGTGTTTTTGTTTTTAATTGGATCAGTGTAAATCCCTGCACGCATAAACACTGAACCATGCTAGTTCTGAGTGTAGTTTAAATATACATTGATTGGTGGTAAAAATAGCAATAGGTGATTTATGCTCCTGTGGAAGGGTGCAGGAAGCTTGGTGATATGTTCCAGCCCTGCCACTGACCTCTGGCTGTGCCTTTAGTCGTGATACATTTGTCAGCAACATACACACCAGCCTCGGCGCAGTCAGACGGCTGCTTTTCCACTGCCTTACCCTTCAAAACCAGGAACAGAGTGTGATTTTCCTTAAGCAGCTTCACTTTCAAAACAGCACTGTAATTCCCATGGTTATAATTTAATTTTCTTTACCTCGGCTTGTGTGAATTGTGGTTAAAATCCTGCGGCCACAAGCAGCTGTAAATAATAAAAAAAAACATGTGTCCGTTGCCTTAGTAACTCCAGCTGCAGCTGGATCATTACAGTGGCTTATTGTGGGCGTGCTGTCAGCGTGGAGGGGCATCTAGGCCGTTCCCAGCAGGACATATTATCTGACCGTGTGGACAGACGTCTGGCAGTTTCACAGGCCTGGAGCCCATGTGATCAGTCTAAACAAGCCTTTTCTGACACACGCACAGTCGCACACACACACACAAAATCCTTTTACTGGGCTAAAGTTCAACAACTGCATACAGATGCATGCAAGCAATTAGACATCCGCATGCAAAGCTACAAAGAGGATCTGGGGAGGTTACTTTAGGACATTGTGTGCTGTTGCCATGGCGAAGCTGACAGTCAGCCTGCATCCTGCTCGAGAAAGGTCAGGTGTCTTGTCTCTTGTTCATTTTTCTTGTTCTTTTTCTTCCTCCCTCATGCAGGCTTTGTTACGGTCATCAAGCAGAATGGAAAAATGCATGAAATAATAAATAATGGAAAATAAAGTCAGACTCTAAAGTGGATATTTCAAGGGACCTAATTTAACTATTCATGTACTCAAACTAAATCCTCATTTGTTCCTCTAATTGGTTTTACGAGATTAAAGTTTAAGGACAGTTTCATATCAGGATGGCAAATTTGCACAAATTTCTTGATTGGTTTGAATAAATGTTATTTTATTTTATGTATTTGTGAACAAACCTTTGGTATGTAGGTCATTGGTGATAAAGTGGCCCAGCAGCACATTCAGTCCATGACGGGCAGTTTAGACTATCTCTGAACCCCCATTCCTCCAACCCCCTGACCCTCACATTACAGAACGCCAATAGATTTGTTCTAATCCATCACTTCTCCCCCCACAAGCTCAACTGATCAGGCTCATTGTTGGCAACAAAAGCTAGGGAGGCAACTGCTGACACAACACCACACCTACATTTAGTGCACTCATATGCATACAGCAAGGTTGCAGCTCGCCTGAAAGCCTTGCAGCTCTACCTTTATTTTTATTTTCGTCCAAAGTTTAAAACTTCTGATTGTCTTGCAGACACACCGTCTTTCTTTAGGTTCATTATTTTCCACAAAAACTGGATTCAGTCTGCGAACCGAACATCAGCCAACTACACCAACGGCTGCACCTCCGACCACAACTCTGTCAAACTAATCAAGTTTGCAGACAACACCACTGTCATCTGACCCATCTCAGAGGGGGACGAGTCTGCCTACAGAATGGAGGTCAAACGGCTGGTGTCCTGGCGCAGCCACAACAACCTGGTGTTAAACGCCCACTCCCACTTTGATGGTGGACTCATACCGCTTCCTGGGTACCACCATCGCCCGGGAGTGATGTGTGGGAGTGGGAGCTCACCATCACCTCCATCATAAAAACAGCCCAGCAGAGGATGTACTTCCTGAGGCAGCTGAAGATATTCAGCCGCATCGTGTCGTGCGCTCTGCTGAGAAGGTCATGTGCTGCAAACACCCCTCTATACAAGACCTGTACACCTCCAGGACATTGGGGAGTGCAGGTTGCATCACAGCTGATCAGTACCAATGCTGACATGTACATATGAGTCTTTTTCCTAAATATTGTTGCTCTATATTTTTATTTTATTGTGCTTATTTGTTATTGTTGCACCAAGTACCACAGCAATTCCCTAATGTTGTGAACCTGTTCACACATATGGAAATAAAACCTTTCTGATTGTGATCTGAGCCAAAGTCTTTTTATAGTTTTCTATTTTCTTTCTCTTGGGTTTATGAAACAGCAGAATCCATACTTGATTTGTGTGGCTCTGAAAACCAAAAACACGAGATTTAGAAATGTGTAGTTGGGCGAAAGAGTGGGCCAGCCAAGTGTGATGCTTGATGTGTGCTTTGCATCGCCTCCAGGCTGTAGTTTCAAATGAGAGCGAAGCGATTGGCCTCCTGACCCTTAACCTCTGAACTCCCCAGTACCCATTCATCTTTGCACCTACAAAAGTTTACTTTCCAATGCTTTTCTGAGACTAACCGCTGTAAGGAAATAACACGTCTGCCTCTTCAGGATTGTATCAAGATACAATAAACACACACCATTTGTTTATTATTAACAGATAAAATACCCAAAGCCTCTTTTATTTTTTGTTTTGTTTTGCTGTGCAGAAACCTTCCAGACGATCCTAAAGCAGAGTGGAGCATCTCATTAGTCTCCTCTATAATCATGAAGCACATGACAGCTCACTCCATCAGTATGGTATGTGTGAAGTTGTTGCCTTTCGAATCACTGCCCTTTTTTCTCCTTCTACCACTTCTTGTTTGGCATTAACACACCATTTCCCAGCCACTCTATCTAAGAAGATGTTGTGCATTGTTTGGTATTGACCATATGTTTTTGGCACCACAGCTTCCTAGTTTATTATCCCTATTTGACTGTGGTCTGTGTAATCATCCCTTTCAGCTTCCGTCTCTTTAAATCCAGCCCACGCTGCATTTTTAGCCTCATGAAAACCAGGGGAAAAGGGCTGCAGCAGAAAAACTGTTTACAGATGTTTATCATCTCTAGCTCTGTTCTGTACTATTAGCTAATGGGAATGTGACAAATTTAGAACCAGGCTTTGTTTTTCTTTAATCTTGTTTAGCTCCAGCAAGGGCTAAAATAGGAATTGGTCTGAGACAAGAAAACACAGGAGCAGGTTTTTTTATGGTTGATGTTACGGATCTCCTTTTGTTGTCGACAAACGAATACAACATCTCCTCCCATCCTGTCAAGTCCGGCTGCAAGAAAAGAGATCTGTGTTGTTTACACAAAAGTATGAGAAGAAACAGCGCAAAAAATACCAAACTGGAGGTAAATTTCTTAAAATTGACGAGAGGAGAGGTGTAAACATTGCACAGACGAAAACACACCTGAGCACAGCAGCTCATGTCTATCACTGTCTTCCTTCTCTCCTTTTGACCTGATTTTTTTTACCCTCCTCCTCGTTTCCTCCTCTGCTGCTCAAGTATGCACACAGAAAAATGCTTTTAAAAAACTGGCCGTCAGCTGCAGCTCCACAGACTTGATGTTCTTCCACTAGCTCCTGATCTTTTCTTCGAATTGCCTTCATTTGTTCTCATTTATATTTAGACGGTACAGGTCTTGCTTTTCAGACCGTGTCTGTGACATTTTGTGTTTCAGGTGCTGACCTTTGATGGGAGAGGAGTGAGTGGCCACGCCAATCACATAGCCATCAATAAAGCTGTCAGGTCTGAACTTAATGTGTATTTTCTTAATTTAATGTTATGTGGTTAAAACACTGAAACCAGTCCACTCCATACCAGCAATACACTTTCCAGGAAAATGCAGCAAATCTGGACTCACAGCAACAACCATCTTGCCAAATGTCTTTCCACAAAGACACACACACACACATCATGTTTTTCAGAACCCCTCTGTTACATAGCAGAGAGGTCGTCCAAACAGAGTCCTCAGAGGCGCTGGGCTCTGGTCCCAGCAAGCGGCCGTAAATCCTGTCCCCATAGTGGTGAAGAGGGAGGGAGGGTAGCTCCGGTTTGGAGAGGCCGCCCATGATCGGCCTGTTGGTTTACAGAAATGTGTTTGTGAATCCCTGTTATACACTTAAACGTCTTTCCAGCTACTGGCGTTTTTTTTTTTTTTTTTTTTTTTACTCTGTTAATTTGCGCGTCTTGTTTGTTTTCGTGAGCCCTCCAGATCACATCTCATGATTCCCATCAGGCTGGACTGGAGCCCAGAGGGCTCCATGTGCTGGTTTCACCACACGTTGCATCTCCATGTTTGGCTCACAGGTTTTTGTCAACAACCAGCACATGCTTAAATGCAGAGCTACAGGAAAACAGTGTCTACTGTTAATAATGTTAATTGTTTCACATGTTAAATGTTAATAGTAAACAGGTTGGGATAATAAAAAAGTTAATACAACTTTTTTTTTCTTTCTATACAGACATCTGGCCTACACTGGAGAAGCGTCTGAAGGTAGATTTGAAAACGTTTAAATTTCTATCAGGCTCCAATTTAATGATCACTTTGTATGAAGTAATCTTTAAAAACATGTATTAGGTTAATGTGTTGATTTTAACAGCCCCACTTCGTAGCCTATGCTGGTTGTTTTATTACTCTTTGGCGCTCTCTTCTGTTCAAACGTTTGATTTGCTGGTGGAAACGTGAATTGGACTCCCCAGCTGCAGTAAAAATGTTCCTTCAGCATGTGTCATCATGCTAAATGATCATTTTACAGGCAGATGAAAAAAACAAGTCTGTCTGGTTCAGGCCCCATCAGCACATGCTTCTCTTTTTTCACTTTTGCTTCAATTTTCCTTTGAAAGTTCATATGACTGATGGGTAATTCTTTTTAACGACTGTGAAACTAAAAGGACTTTTTTATGTTTGATGCTAAATGACGTCGTGAGGGCAGTTTTCTACTTCTTAGCACTTTCAACACATTCTCAGCTGGGTCTCTGTGTTTTTACTCCCAGGCTGTGTGTTGCTCTCTCTGGTAACTGTTGGCCTGTTCAGGAAGTACATCTCCTTCCTGGAGCTTCCCATCAGCTGGCTTCTACCATCTCGCCTCTGCTGTATCAGTGGCTCACAGGGCTACAAGCAAGCCAAAGTAAGCCTGTGTGTGTTCGGGTTTACGGGGAAATCACTTCACCGCCCCCTTTTATAGAGCAGAGTAGAATGTAATCTGATTACAAGGCTAAAGAACCAAAACATAAACCTGTCTAAGCTACTGATTGAGGAGTAAGGGATTTAATATAATTCCATAATTTCTTAACGTAAGTGAGTCCTAATTTAAAACACTTGAATGAAATGTGATGTGTTGAATGCCACCATTTCTTTTTCTTTCTCAGGCTGCCATGATGTGTCACCACACTCAACTTTTGTGGTTTCGACACCTCTACATCACCTTCTCCCGCTACATGTTCATCAACACGTTCCAAGAAATTCCACAGGGACCAAAGAACTTGAAGATTTATTGAACCTTCCATCTCATTCTGACCTGATGTTTGTTGAACTTTCGTTCTTTCTTAAAGCACTGATACAACAGAATGTTTTATAGACACTTTGCATATAGATAACACTATTTTTTAAAGTTGCATTGAACACTGTCCTCTCCTTTTGTAACATAAGAGGAGTTTATTGTATTTTTTTTTTAATATTACTGTTAAAAAACATCTGTATTAGACTGTTGCTGTGCATAAACTCTAATGAAACGCTGATTAAACCAAAGTGCGAGTCTTGAATCACAGTGATGTTATTTGTGTTGCACGTCCTGTCCAGGTTTAGACATGTCTTTGATGAACTTGTGAGCTTGCATGCTTGCTTCCCATTGCTCCCCACAAAACTTTTCCACTGTGACACTGTGAACCGTCCCTGGATCCAGGCAGTGTGGAGCAACACCTGAGGAGGAAACAAATGATTTACAGCTGAACTAAAAACAAAAAAGTCCTCATATTCTAGTGACAGCTCAGCTTTACCTGCACAGTTACATTAGTCAAGCCAAGCAAAACTTTATTTGTAAAGCACGTTTCTATGACAACAGTCGCCGTCCCAAAGTGCTGCACAGAACTGTACAATAAAACATTCACGAAGCTAAAAAAACAGTAACATGATACATTCCAAGAGACTGTATAACAAAAATAAGAGACTAAAATACATAAAAACTGGGTAACACTTTACAATGAGGGCCCCTTTCGTAACAGTACTTAGTGCATTATTAAGCAATAAACAAAAGGTCCCTGTTTTAAAGTTATTGATAAATTTTAAATATTAAGTGTCCTTAAAATGACAATGTGTAGTTTCCCTGGTGGTGGGGGCAGTACATAACTAAATCATTGCAAGCAAGCAGTATTTTTGTGTTGGAGTAAGACCTTCCCAACAGATGGCCATTAGGGTCAAAAATCCTTGGGAGCAGAACCTCCAGCAAAATGACAAACACATCGGACTCCGGTTAATCAAAGGCAACGAATGAAAAGGTAAATGTGTACAACAACGATGTTTATGAATTGAGAAAGCTTCGTTACAAATCAGTAAATGCATTTTGTCCTCACAGGCTTCTGTAGAAGGAAACATAGCGTCACCCAGAGACTTAGACCTGCTCCCTCGTATTTTACACTTGATTTTTATGGTTATATATTACGGCACTGCCAATATTTTTAAACAACTGGGCATTATTTAATTCATTTTCAACAATGTTTCGACTGATATTTTAAGAGATTAACTGTAAAACTACACATTGTCCCTTTAAGGTTACATCAAAAGGCCAAGGGAGTGTCTGCTTAGTAATGCATTACCTAATATGGTTAAGCAGTTGTTAATACATTATTTAATAGTTTATTAATGCTTAATAATGCACTAAGTAATGTTAATAAAGGGACCCTTATTGTAAGGTGTTACTTAAAAACAGACTGAAATACAAGAAAACAGCATTCAAACTTGCAACCTACTGGATGCCAGAGAAAACAAACGCATTTTTAAACCCATTAACAGGGTCATTGTCTCAGCTGTCCTAACCTTTAAAGCAGGGGTCCTCAATTATAATGGTCCGAGGGCCACTCACAAATAAGCTTCCAGGAGAAATATTAATGAACTTATGAAAATAATAATGCGTGTTTGGAAGAGCATCCTCCAATCCTCTCTGTCTCCCTCAGTCGCTGATCGAGCAAGTGGAGCGCGCCGCGTGACAACCCGCTCAAATAACATAATTCACGGCCCGAATCCAACAGAACTGATCGGGCTGATTTGGTTCGGGTTCAGACACAGCACAGGAGTAATATGTTCATACATCCTTGTCTCTGTCAGAAGGCGATAAGTTGCATTCTGAGCATTTTGCAAGTGATTAATATTGGCCTGTGGCACATATCTGTTTTATATAAACACTGACAAAAAGGTCACTCAAAGCAAACAAGCTAATATACAGTACAACATCAGAGCTTGAGACCAGTGTTGGTGTCTTGTCAGAAACTAGACTTCTCACCATATCCATCAGGGTTAGACCGCGGTGTGTAGAAACTCTGAACTCCACAAGTCCTACAGAAGGTGTGTTTAGCCACATGTGTGTTAAAGGTGTAGGTAGTCAAGTTTTCCAACCCCTGAGAAAAGAAAATAATTAATTAGTCCGTTTTTTAAAATAAATACAGGTGCTGGCCAGTAAATTAGAATATCATCAAAAGGTTGAAAATATTTCAGTAATTCCATTCAAAACGTGAAACTTGTACATTATATTCATGCAATGCACACAGACCAATGTATTTCCGATGTTTATTACGTTTAATTTTGATATTTATAGGTGACAACCAATGAAAACATCAAATCTGGTATCTCAGAAAATTAGAATATTCTAAAGGCCAATGAAAAAATGTTTGTTTCTCTAATGTTGGCCAACTGAAAAGAATGAACATGAAAAGAATGTGCATGTATAGCACTCAATACTTAGTCGGGGCTCCTTTTGCCTCAATAACTGCAGTAATGCGGCGTGGCATGGACTCGATCAGTCTGTGGCACTGCTCAGGTGTTATGAGAGCCCAGGTTGCTCTGATAGTCGTCTTCAGCTCCTCTGCATTGTTGGGTCTAGCGTATTGCATCCTCCGCTTCACAATACCCCATAGATTTTCTATGGGGTTAAGGTCAGGCGAGTTTGCTGGCCAATCAAGGACAGGGATACCATGGTCCTTGAACCAGGTGCTGGTGGTTTTGGCACTGTGTGCAGGTGCCAAGTCCTGTTGAAAGGTGAAGTCTGCATCCCCATAAAGTTGGTCAGCAGCAGGAAGCATGAAGTGCTCTAAAACTTCCTGGTAGACGGCTGCATTGACCCTGGACCTCAGGAAACAGAGTGGGCCAACACCGGCAGATGACATGGCACCCCACACCATCACTGACGGTGGAAACTTTACACTGGACCTCATGCAACGTGGATTCTGTGCTTCTCCGCTCTTCCTCCAGACTCTGGGTCCTTGATTTCCAAAGGAAATGCAGAACTTGCTTTCATCAGAAAACATAACTTTGGACCACTCAGCATCAGTCCAGTCCTTTTTGTCCTTGGCCCAGGCGAGACGCTTCTTGCGCTGTTTCTTGTTCAAGAGTGGCTTGACACACGGAATGCGACACCTGAATCCCATGTCTTTCATGAGTCTCCTCGTGGTGGTTCTTGAAGCGCTGACTCCAGCTGCAGTCCACTCTTTGTGGATCTCCCCCACATTTTTGAATGGGTTTGTCGTCACAATTCTCTGCAGGGTGCGGTTATCCCTAGAGCTTGTACACTTTTTTCTACCACATTTTTTCCGTCCCTTCGCCTGTCTGTTAATGTGCTTGGACACAGAGCTCTGCGAACAGCCAGCTTCTTTAGCAATCACCTTTTGTGTCTTGCCCTCCTTGTGCAAGGTGTCAATGATTGTCTTTTGGACAGCTGTTAAGTCAGAAGTCTTCCCCATGATTGTGGTGCCTTCAAAACAAGACTGAGGGACCTTTTAAAGGCCTTTGCAGGTGTTTTGAGTAAATCAGCTGATTAGAGTGGCAGCAGGAGTCTTCTATATTCAGCCTTTTCAGAATATTCTAATTTTTTGAGATACCAAATTTGGAGTTTTCATTAGTTGTCACTTATGAATATCAAATTTAAATGTAATGAACATTGGAAATACATTGGTCTGTGTGCATTGCATGAATATAATGTACAAGTTTCACGTTTTGAATGGAATTACTGAAATATTTTCAACCTTTTGATGATATTCTAATTTACTGGCCAGCACCTGTATCAATTGTGAGGCAGATTTTCTTACCTGCAGGAGTGTAAAGTGATTTTTTGGGACAATGAAATGGTGGTTTTGTTTTTTGGTGCAGATGCTACAACTATGAGAATGAATACATAGATTTTATTATTTGTTTAAAACATCAATTAAGGAGCACTAATAAAGATATTTTAAATATGCTTTTGACTTATAAATACGCACTTGCAATGAAAAACATGAAGGTCAGGAGAGCTCCAGACTTCAAATCTGACAGCACCACAGTGGCAGCCGCCTGAATGTTTCACAAGCTCCATTCTGCACATAAAAGCAGTAAAAAAGAAATGAAAAATCCCATCTATTCAAATGGATCTTTTTAGAAGCCCTGAAGCATGTCAAGTAAAACAACTGCTAAATATTTACCTAATAATTAAGCTGAGTTCAGCTGAAACCTACGTGACGTGTTGGTTGCAAAGCCTGTTGACGTGGAATTGGGTGGCTCACAGAGATTTACTAAACTCAATAAACCTGATCAAAGTCCATCTGTGATAACAGAATCATTAACCTTGAAAAGAATATACTTTGTTTAATTTGTAAGTTGTGAACACTCAATTTAATAATTGTTTCAACCTCTCAAGTACTTTGCTAGACCCATGCACATGCTCATGTGACCCGAGCAAGAACTATTTCCTGCTTGAGCAGTTGTTTTCCTGAAACTCTTTCAGACAGGGTGATATAATTCCCAGCAAGGGGCTGGGCAGAGTACAGCAGACTTGCACAAACACATTCTTTAGAGGCAGATCAACTAACTTGATGTTGTAAAGCAATGGATTACGGGTTTGGTGTCTTATGACCATGAGTTCAACGGATGGGGTGAGGGAATACTGTGACCCAGATAGAGCTCTGTGATAGAGATCACCAAAATAGACTCCCATCTGAGGTTCTGCTCATGATTTTATTTGGTTTGAGCTAAAAGTGGTTACAGATGAGGCTTCAAGTTCTTTTTTTTCTATACTTAGCCTCAAATCAGAAATCTAGAAGCTTTTATATAACTTACAGTACCTTTTAATCAGTGTTATCTTTGATTAATTTATTGTAATTTAACAGAGTTGATGAATGGACTTTTAAATAAGAAAAACATCACATGATCTCTATGATCATAAGATAAAGTGATAACAAAAAGCCCATTTGGCTTATTTGATCATTTGTTTCAATCATGAAAAAAAAATGTTCATTGTCATGCAGCTGTGTTGACATTCTGTTTGGCATCAAAATCAAGGGTTGGACACTTTGTGCTCTGTAATTATGATAAATAGGGGGAAAGCACATTTTAAATGAATGGTTTTGGTATTAAGATTAAATTAAGACTGTTGTCACTTTGGGTCCTACCGCTCTGAACATGTAAATTCAACTATAATGAGAGTACACAATGTACTTAGCCCTGCCTCTTGCTGCAAATAACTCCGTTTACGTGTCAAAATTACAAGATCTGTAGATCTTTATGTAACCCGTTTGTTATTACAACGACTACCTAACATCTTCACTGGTTTCTGTTGAACAAGATCGACGGGATTGTTCGTCAGTCGCTTAAGTGCAAAGTCATGCCGGTTTGATAAATACATCTAACAGTGTTTTTCTAAGGCGAAACTGAGACTACAGTCTTTCATTTTGAGTCTTACACGTTGACTCAAATTGATAAGTTGGGTAAAATATTTCTAGTCATTGTTATAAATCACAAGAAAATAACTTAGTCACCGTGCAACACTTACAGTCAGAGAAGTAACTCGGCAACCAATCGTTGGTCAAACAAACAACCACGCTACCCAATCAGAATCCAGGAGAAGGTTCTTGTTGCTGTGGTGGTTCTGGAAAATTCTGAGACCAGATTTCAGTGTAGCTCAAGTATCACTCCGCCGCGAATACGTCGAATGTGCTCTTTGAACTGTGTAGTTATTTGACATTCGGTTTTCGATTGCATATATGTGATTTGATTTAATTGTATAACCTTAAAGAAGTCACTATTGAATTAAGCAAAATTACTTAGGCTGAAACGGTCATGCGGATCTATTTTCTATGCGGAAGAATACAAACCGATGACGTGTCGCTTTTTGTATATAAGATAGCGTCACTCTTCCGTTTCAGTAGTCATTCAGTGATCTTTAAGGTTCTTACGTATAACTAAGAAGCTTCTTTAACCAACTGAAATCGTAAGTATTTTAACATTTAGGGCCCTTTACGCGTTAGTCTGAGCTTTTCAAAATCTTTCTGAATTTGTGTCTCGTTGAAGGTTTAGGAGACTTTGAATGAAACCTTAATTATTTCAGCGTCGTTTTCTTTCCATTACAGCGTCGTTTTTTTTCTATTAACCTTAAGAGATTAGTAGAACTGTAAGTCTTTGTGTGGTCATTTTAAAGCCTTGTGAACGTTCGTTGGATGCGGCAATGACTCGACACTTTTCTCGCATCCGCCATTAGCCGTTTTGACTGTCGGAACAAAGGGAAGGTCAATATTCTCAAAATGGCGCTTGAGGAGGAGAAGCGGGTTGGCACGCGTCCATAAGATTTTATTTTATTTTTACTATTTCGAATTGAATTGGTAAATTGAGTTTAGATGTGAATACCAGTTACGTTTAGATGTGAATACCAGTTACGTTAAATCTCTTGGCTTTTTTTTTTATTTTATTTTAAAGGTCCATCATGCAGATCTTTGTCAAGACCCTTACTGGAAAGACCATCACCCTGGAGGTCGAGCCAAGTGACACCATTGAAAATGTCAAAGCTAAGATCCAGGACAAGGAAGGCATCCCCCCAGATCAGCAGAGGCTGATCTTTGCTGGCAAGCAGCTTGAAGATGGCCGCACCCTCTCCGACTACAACATTCAGAAGGAATCCACCCTCCACCTTGTCCTGCGTCTGAGGGGTGGAATGCAGATCTTCGTCAAGACCCTCACAGGAAAGACCATCACCCTGGAGGTCGAGCCAAGTGACACCATTGAAAATGTCAAAGCTAAGATCCAGGACAAGGAAGGCATCCCCCCAGATCAGCAGAGGCTGATCTTTGCTGGCAAGCAGCTTGAAGATGGCCGCACCCTCTCCGACTACAACATTCAGAAGGAGTCCACCCTCCACCTTGTCCTGCGTCTGAGGGGTGGAATGCAGATCTTCGTCAAGACCCTCACAGGAAAGACAATCACCCTGGAGGTCGAGCCAAGTGACACCATTGAGAATGTCAAAGCTAAGATCCAGGACAAGGAAGGCATCCCCCCAGATCAGCAGAGGCTGATCTTTGCTGGCAAGCAGCTTGAAGATGGCCGCACCCTCTCTGACTACAACATTCAGAAGGAGTCCACCCTCCACCTTGTCCTGCGTCTTAGGGGTGGAATGCAGATCTTCGTCAAGACCCTCACAGGAAAGACCATCACCCTGGAGGTCGAGCCAAGTGACACCATTGAGAATGTCAAAGCTAAGATCCAGGACAAGGAAGGCATCCCCCCAGATCAGCAGAGGCTGATCTTTGCTGGCAAGCAGCTTGAAGATGGCCGCACCCTCTCTGACTACAACATTCAGAAGGAGTCCACCCTCCACCTTGTCCTGCGTCTTAGGGGTGGAATGCAGATCTTCGTCAAGACCCTCACAGGAAAGACCATCACCCTGGAGGTCGAGCCAAGTGACACCATTGAAAATGTCAAAGCTAAGATCCAGGACAAGGAAGGCATCCCCCCAGATCAGCAGAGGCTGATCTTTGCTGGCAAGCAGCTTGAAGATGGCCGCACCCTCTCCGACTACAACATTCAGAAGGAGTCCACCCTCCACCTTGTCCTGCGTCTGAGGGGTGGAATGCAGATCTTCGTCAAGACCCTCACAGGAAAGACAATCACCCTGGAGGTCGAGCCAAGTGACACCATTGAGAATGTCAAAGCTAAGATCCAGGACAAGGAAGGCATCCCCCCAGATCAGCAGAGGCTGATCTTTGCTGGCAAGCAGCTTGAAGATGGCCGCACCCTCTCTGACTACAACATTCAGAAGGAGTCCACCCTCCACCTTGTCCTGCGTCTTAGGGGTGGAATGCAGATCTTCGTCAAGACCCTCACAGGAAAGACCATCACCCTGGAGGTCGAGCCAAGTGACACCATTGAGAATGTCAAAGCTAAGATCCAGGACAAGGAAGGCATCCCCCCAGATCAGCAGAGGCTGATCTTTGCTGGCAAGCAGCTTGAAGATGGCCGCACCCTCTCTGACTACAACATTCAGAAGGAGTCCACCCTCCACCTTGTCCTGCGTCTTAGGGGTGGAATGCAGATCTTCGTCAAGACCCTCACAGGAAAGACCATCACCCTGGAGGTCGAGCCAAGTGACACCATTGAGAATGTCAAAGCTAAGATCCAGGACAAGGAAGGCATCCCCCCAGATCAGCAGAGGCTGATCTTTGCTGGCAAGCAGCTTGAAGATGGCCGCACCCTCTCCGACTACAACATTCAGAAGGAGTCCACCCTCCACCTTGTCCTGCGTCTTAGGGGTGGAATGCAGATCTTCGTCAAGACCCTCACAGGAAAGACCATCACCCTGGAGGTCGAGCCAAGTGACACCATTGAGAATGTCAAAGCTAAGATCCAGGACAAGGAAGGCATCCCCCCAGATCAGCAGAGGCTGATCTTTGCTGGCAAGCAGCTTGAAGATGGCCGCACCCTGTCTGACTACAACATTCAGAAGGAGTCCACCCTCCACCTTGTCCTGCGTCTGAGGGGTGGAATGCAGATCTTCGTCAAGACCCTCACAGGAAAGACCATCACCCTGGAGGTCGAGCCAAGTGACACCATTGAGAATGTCAAAGCTAAGATCCAGGACAAGGAAGGCATCCCCCCAGATCAGCAGAGGCTGATCTTTGCTGGCAAGCAGCTTGAAGATGGCCGCACCCTCTCCGACTACAACATTCAAAAGGAGTCCACCCTCCATCTTGTCCTGCGTCTGAGGGGTGGGCAGTAAAGTCATGGTTCCACAGTTGGTTTCATTTGCCATGTAATGCTTGGAAATTAAAAGTTACATTTGTTTTTAACTTGTGACCAAAAATGTTCTGTTATCACAATAAAAGGTTAAATTTGCTTTTGCTTTCATTTGAAATGTTTTACAAAAATTGTTCAGCAGTTTCCCCTGAAGCCAATTAAACAGACTTCTAAAAGTTGCAGAATAGACCAATTTTAGATGGCAACATGTAAACGGTGTTAAAAAAAATCTGCCACAATTGCCTTAAATTAAATCTCAAACATAACTCCAAATCCCACTAGATCTCCACACTAACAGCTCATAAATATCAAATGCAGAAACTACAGAAATGCATGCAAAACTTAATGTTAGCATATTTTGAGGGCAGATCTGAGCTTTCAGAAGGAAGTATATGTATTTGTGGTTACAGCAAATAATTCAGACTTATCTCTTTGAAATTGTTTCACAAGCAGGGAAGAGGCATCAAAACATGTTTGTGAAACACGTTTAATTTAAAGCGAAGGTTACAATACTGGGATAAAGATGGAGCATTACTCTTGTCTTGGCATCAATGCACTGCTACCTGCTTGCTTTAGTATCCAGTATAAGGTACTTTAAAATCTATGCATGGTCTTAGGGCCTTACTCAACATTACTTTTGAGCTGCTGCTGTTCTACTGTGGGTCTAAGGTCAGCTGATGAGATGGATGCTCCTGGAAGTCCCAAGAATGAGACCTAGCCTCTGAGGTGGGGGCTTTTAGTGTAGTCTGGAATGTGCTGCCTTTAAATATTAGGTTGGCATCATCGCTGTCTTGTTTTAAATATCTTTTGAAGCCCCTTTTTTATGGCTTTTAACTCCGCATGAGTCTTTTTACTTTTAAGAGTAACATCTAAATTAACTTTTTTGTCTGTAGATGTGTAATCAGTGTGGCAATTTGGTGCAACTTTAAATTTAATATTTCGGCCCAAAACTTTATATCGCCATCTTCAGGTTAAAAACTGCTCCACATTTATTTAGAATCAGCCACAGCTGATGGCTAAGCTGAAAAACGTGACGTTGTCAGCAAATCACCACGTGGCTGCAGTGCACTGGTCTCCAGCTGAGGTAGCCGCACCTCCACCTGGCTCAACCACTCACCTGCCGATGTGACACGTTGGCGCTCGGAGCCGCTTGCCCCATGCCTCCTTGAAAAAAACGCCCTCCTCTCCTTTTTCATCTAATGATCGCGGTTAACAGGAAACCCTCCAGAATGCTGCAGAATCTGAGTCTGCTATTTCCCTGAGCGGTAAGTCTGCTGTGAGTGTGTGCTTGCGTGCATAGGCGAGTGTGCACGGTGACGTGTGGATTGATGGTGTAGTTCGCGCCTGTGCTCGGTAGGGAGCGCTGCCGCGCGAGCAGTTGGATAGAGCAGCAGCATGTTGAATGCGAGAGAGGCGGCGCGCTACCGCCATGTCACCTAGGGAGAAACAGTTAGCACTTCTCTCTGTTTTAGGATTAATCACCTTCGCTTTTTACTACATCCCCACTTTTCTGTACGCTACTTTAATTTTTGCAGCTTGTTGTTTTGCTTTTTATTATCACAGCGGAGAATCGTTTCCCGCCAGGTTAGGCCCGAATCCTCGGGTTGGATTAAACGTTTCGGGCGTGCTGCGGCGCTGGTCGTCGGGTTGGACAGCGACCGGCGTTTCGGTGGCCGCGCGGAGTAGAACGAAGAACCGCAACCGATCCGAGCACCATCACCGGGAGACAGAGGGACTCCCGAAGCTCAGTAAAACCGGGCTCTGTCGAGGAGAAGCCTTAGCAAGTGACTCGATTATTTTCAGCCCTCGGGATTTCCTCATGGGGAGTTACATCGGGAAAGCCGAAAGTCCAGCGGCCGTCTCTGGGAGGCCAAAAGCCGGGAGAAATCCCCGGGAGCAACTGCGAGAACAACTGTCCAGACCCAACCATGCAGTTTATACCCCGAACAGGAGGCTTTCGTTCTCTGGGTGAGTTAATTAGGTTTATTAAGCTCTGATCCATCTGTTTAAATTCACGTGTTGCATGAAAAAGAAAAGTTTATAGCGTTAGCTAGCTTGTTAGCACACAAAACCCACATGTTTGAAACGTATAAAGCTCTAACCAGAACTCTTTAACTTGGAATCGTTTTAAAAACATCCAATAACTTTGTTTCATTGGCTTCTTTTACTCAAGCTTTTAGCTAAGTTACTGTGATAAATCTTTTGTTTTGATGGCATTGTTGTGTCTACACGCTTGTGTTGTCTAAAAACTAACAGAGCATTTTACTAACTTTTAGTTAAAGTGCATATCTTTACTTTTTGGTTAGGATGAGCAGCATAGTTTCTTTTTCTATGCAGCTGCATGTTTCACATTTAAAGTGATTGTTTTATATTGTTTTATTTCTATTCCATAACATCTGTACGTTTTAACCTGCTGAAGTTGTTCCTTCCATTACAATCTCCTCTGCAGGGAGCCTCTGGGTGCAGCTAACAGGTTCACCATCACCCCCCAGCGTCGCTACCCCCTTCAGCAGCCTGGAGTCTCTTCAGTAGGAGTCCTGCCTCCTGTCAAGTGGGATGGTTTCAGAAAAAAGAACATCCTGAGTCCTCGAAATTCCCCTGCTGCTCTCAGTCCAGTCACTGTAAAGATCGCCAGGCCCGACCACAACATTCCCAGGTCTCTGCAGGTTAAATGTTTTTGGGCACGACCGTTTATTTTTAATTTTTTGTCTTTTAATTTACTATTTGGATAGCCCTTGATTTGTTGCTTGAGGTCTTGCTACTTTCAGCCGAATCAGTGCTGACTGTCCTCTGCTCTGGTTTTTAGTGTGAATCATCTGAGTTGTGCAGGGCTCACCAGGGTCCCGGCAGACCCCTGCTCCAGAGAGAGCGTCCTCAAGGTGTTGAAGGAAAGCCGCAAGAGGGAAGTAGAGGATGAGGACAGGAGCTTCACCGCTGAGCAAAGAAGCAAAAGAAGGTAGAAAATTTGTTTAATAGATTCTTGAGGTACTGTCTGCTCAGTCTGGACAATAGCAGCTGTCTTATGGTTTCTTATTATGGCTTTTCTTAGGCGCAATGACAGCGGTGGAAGTTCGCACTCTGCTTTTGAGCCTCTGTTGCCTAATGGAGCACCATCCCAGCTGGTCCCTAAGTGAGTAAGAATTGTATGTAAAGCTGAATCATAATCTTAGATGTTGGACAAAGCTTTAAATGTTGTTTTTTATTAATGTTCTCCAGACCAGGGAGCCTAAAAAGAGGGATGACCGCATCCTTAGACGAGACCACCATGAAGAGGTCTCGCACCTCCTCCATCAGCTCTAGTTCTGGAGTTCATGCCCCGAGAGGAACTTCGGGTACCAGAAGAAATGCAATCCAAAGCTCCTACAGCTCTTCGATAGGTTTTAGTCAGGTATCATCATCTACCGGAGTCTAGTAAAGGGGGTTTTTGCATAGCAAAAGCAAATCGAAGCATTTTTTGTTTTTCTTTACAGTGGAAGAAACCATCTGCACCCAGCTCTCCTCTATCGAGCCCTGAATCGTCTCGCTCTCAGACTCCAGAGGGATTTGCCAAAAGACCCAGGTCTGTTTCTGCATGTTTGTCATCATTAAACCACATTTAACTACAAATTAAAGCTTTTTTTTATGTTTTCTAATCAACAGAGAGGATGACACTCAGTCTCCAAGCTCTGCATCCTCAGTGAAGTCGGACCACACTGCATCAGACAAGACCCTTGATACCAGTAATTCTCATTTATCTCTAGATGACTTTTCCAATTTAGATGATTCATGTTCAAAGTATGGTCACAAACAAATATGATGTTGTTTGATAATATTGCAGTAAAACAAACTCCGGTGATCAAATCCCCAGTCACAACCTCTGCAGACTCGACTGGAAGTGGTGGGAAGAGAAAACGGAAGATCCAGCTGGTGTCCAGCCACCGAGATGATCGCATCTCTCTGGTGAGGAGCGCTGATCTCCCTCACTTAAATGAAAACATTTGTTTATTTGCATCCAGATTGCATTATTGTGGTTGTTCATGTGCAGCCTCCACCTCCTGAGCTGGGCTACACCGTCACAGCCAAAGATCTAGATGAAGAGAAAAAAGCTGCTATCAGTAAAATCCAGAAAGTCCTGGAAACACCTGGTAAGAAAAAGCCAGCTGCAGGAATAAATTCACATTTTTTTATACTTGCAGCCTTGAACACCTTATAAATTATCCCATAAGCAGGTTTTTCAGTAAAAGCTAATTCTTCTGTCTGTGTTTGTCTTCAGCTCCAGTGCCAGAGAAACCTGCATCTCTTGCAGCCACCACTTCCTCTCAGCCTGCTGCCTCCGTTAGCTCCAGCTCCACTCTGAGCAGCCTTCTGGCAGCTCCGCTTCCCACAGTAACCAGCTCCACCATTCCTGTCATCAACTTGGATCCGAGTCCAGGCAGCAGCATCAGCTCGGCTCCTGCTAGCACCAGCTCACTGCTGGAAACTCTCAAGATGAAGTCAGTTACTCCAGCTAGTTCAACATCAGCTCCCAGTGCAACCACAGGTGCGATCTCTGAACAGAGAAAGTTGATGGTGTTGTTTCCCTGCTTGTTTATTGCTTAAATGTATATTTTGCCATAAATATGCATCAGATGTTTTTCCTGTATCTCGTTATTTCTGTAGCATCGGCATCAACCACACCTGTACAAGCCAGCGACTTTAACCTGAAGACATCGATGGCTGCCCCACAGATCCCTGCTTATTCCCAGCCTCAGCCTCCTACCGCTGCTGCTGCTGCTGCAGAGAAGCCCTCTGCCTTTATTCAGCTGCTGGCTCAGGTCTCCCAGACTCCCACCAGCACCCCTGCAGCGTCCACATTCGCACCAACCCTGTTTGGGCTATCCAGTCAGGTCAGCGCCCCCTCTACTTTCTCAGCCCCCACCACCGTCACAGCTGCTGCCCCTCCAGCTGGTACCTCCGGGTCAGGCATTAACACCAACCCTCTGCTGGCTGCAGGGTTCAAACCGATATTTCCAGCTGCCACCTCCACCTCCTCAGCTACCACACCTTCAGAAAACAAACCTGCTGCCCAAAATTTCAAACCTATATTTGGAGAAGTCACAACTGCTGCAGCCTTCTTACAGCGCTCCTCCTTCACCACCACCACCACCACCGCTGCAGCCTCAACTCTTTCTACAAGTACTACAACTCCAATGTTCGGTTCAGTAACAAGCAGCGCTACAGTTGCCCCATCTTTGTTTTCTGGCTTTAATAACACATCTGCCGGTGCAGCCTCCACAGCATCCTCCTCCACCACCACTACACAGGCCACAGCTCAACCAGCCTTGAAGTCCTCGTTTGGAAACTGGGCTGCACCATCCATCACCAGCAGCACAGCTGCCTCGGTACCGCCTCCAAGCACAGGGGCTACGTTTCAGTTTGGAGCTGCAAGTAAAACCACAACGGCTGCTGCAGCTGTTCCTGCCGCCGCTCCTACAACCACCTCCAGCTCAGGCACATTTGCATTTGGTGTCACAAAGTCTGATCCTTTGGCATCGAGCCAGAAGGTGTTTTCCTTTGGTCAGACTGCTCCCAGCCAAAACACAACCACTGCTTCATTTGGGAGCTTTGCCATGGCTAACACGGTCTCCACAGCTGCCCCCACCTCCACCGCCCAGCCCACCTTCGCCTTTGGGAAACCAGCGTTTGAAGGTCCGGCGCCGCAGCCTGCAGCACCAAAACCCTTCACATTTGAAGTCGGCAACACATCATCTGCATCTAATCCTGCCCCCAACCCAGCCCCTTTCACCTTCGGGGCTGTCGCTGTCACCACAGCTGCCACCTTTGGGGCCCCAGCCAAACCAGCATTCGGAGCCAGCTCCACTGGTTTTGCTTTTGGTTCCAACGCAGCTCCTTCAGCTGCCCCCCCAGCTGCACCAAGCTTTGGTGCAGCCACCCAGACTCAAAGCTCCTCTTCAACCACATTCGCGTTTGGAGGAGCTGCTTCGCAGCCGGCTCCGTCTGGATCCGCTCAGCCTGCATCTGGTGCGTTTAACTTTGGCGCTGGCATGCCTTGTCCCCAGTTTGGAACTCCGGTTTCCACTAATCCTGCACTGCAGATGGGAGCCTTCAACTTTGGGGCTGCAGCTCCAGACAAACCAGCATTTGGTGAGTAAAACAGGAATCATTTTATTAATGCTGAGTGCACAACATATTGGAGGTTTAAATGTGTGAAGAAGTGTTATGTTTATCGCGCTTGTTGACAATGAATAAATGTTGATGTTTTAATCAGAAAAAGATCATTTTTTAATTTGGGAAAAAAAATAAATTCTGCACCATGAAAGACTCGGCTGATATTTCTGTTGTCTCAGTAGAAATGAGCGACTTGTCATTTGTTCTAATTAGGTTTCTCACTGTTAATTTATTCAGGGACATCTACTCCATCGTTTGGTCAGAGTGCTGCTGCAGGTCCAATTCCCTTTGGAAGTCCTGCAACTCCAGTCCAAGGCTTCAACCCTGTTCAGTTTGGTAGGTCTGATAGTTTAGGACATTTCTTCTTTTGTTGCAGATGAAACATCCTAACGGTTGTTTGGCTTTTTGTTTATTTATTAACAGGGTCTGCAGCGACTCCCGCCTTCACTATCGGACCTGGATCGAAGTCCTCTGCCGCCCGTCAGAGGCTGCAGGCTCGGAGGCTACACAACAGGAAGAAGTAACTAGCTGACGTGGCTCTCTGGAGGACTTCAGCTGTTGCTGCTATGGCTAACCTGATAAACTCTTCTCCATTTTAAGCCCAACACCCTCCAATCAGGCTGCCACCGCCCCCTCCCTCTGTGCTGGCCCAGAACGCCGTGTTTGTGGAGGAGTCTGAAGGAGCACATCAGCTCAGACAATATGGGAATGTAGCAGCGGGGAGAAAGAATACATAAAAATGTTCTATACTTGAAAGAAAAGTTACAAAAGACTTGATTAGTTTGATTCTGAACAGAAACGAACCCGAAGTTGTTTTTACAGTACGCGGACACTCCCGTTGTTTCGACTTAAGGAGAAAGCCGTCAGGCCGAGACAGAACTTCGGCTCAGACCTTTATTTTTGTACACGATGAGCTCACTGGTTTATATGTTCCTGAGTGTTCGAGTGGGGCGTGGCTGAGTCAGATACAGCATAGGCGTGAAAATGTAGTGACAAGACGTTTGCGTTTAAATTATTTTTGTAATTGGCTGTCTGACCTGGTCGATGAATGATATGTTTCTGCACTTAAAGGACAACTTAGCAAATGTCTTAATGTGGTTCGTGCAGATCCTCGTGCATTTGTTTCATACTGTCATAACCAGCATTCCCATAGTCCTCCTGTGGATGGCCTTTTTGTTTTTGTTTGGGGATTCTTTTTTCCAAGTGATTGCCAACAGTGATGTGAGTTGCAGGTCAGTGTGTGAGGAGGGTGACTACTTTTGACATGTGCTGATGAACCAAAGCCAACTGTTCAACTTCATGCCTGTGAAAACAATCTTTTATTTCTTTTTCAGTTGCTGAGATGTGTGTTTGTGCCAGACTACCTCTTTTTAAATCCCAGGCACTGAAATGTTTTATTCATTTACAGAAAATATTAGATTTTAATTTCAGCTGCTGCTTGCTAAGGTGTGATAAATTGTTTTTAAAATAATCTTTACAGCACATTACCCCAACTTCAGAAATATTATGTCGTGAATGCAAAATTAACCTCCCATGAGTCAACCCACCATTGATGGAACTGAAAGTGTTTTCTGGTTGTTTAGGACAAAGTCTCAAAGATGCAGGTTTGTTTTTATGGCTTATATTTCCATCTGACTTTAAGGATTTATATATATATATATATTTTTTTTTTAATTATTTTTTTTTTTTGTCAAAATGTCTTGTTCTCACTCAGTGATTATCACCTGTGCAGTTATTTTGGGTCAATTTCGAATGAATAAAAAGTTTGGGTTTGTGCGGATGCTTGAACAAATACACCTGAAACCCCTCACAATCTCATGTCATCAAACCGTATGACCAGAAAACTAAAATTAATTTCAATTGTTCAACTCCATTTGATATTTTAGCCGTTTTTAAAGCTTTGTTGCGAAAAATGTAAATAAAAATGAAATTCAAATGATTTGGTGAACATTAAAAGTTATATTTATTGGTACCATGACAACACTTTTTAGTGTGATTTAGTGATCTGGCTCGACTTTAAAATCCCACACAGTGCACCGTATGAAAGGAAACTACAGCTGGAATTATATAAGTAATATATTTTGTCATTTGCCATTAGTCAAAGAATTTATAATGAATCAAAAGTTGAGAGCTTCTTTTGACGTATTTAAAAGTTATTCAAGCAATAATTTATCATCTTCGTTTTCTGCACGTTTCTCGTTGTCGATTACATTCCAGTCCACTAGGTGGTCCACAGCTATTTTTATTGGATTCACTGAATATCAGTAGTACGAAGTTACACCTACTGTGAGTTTATTTCATGTAAAGCTTTAGTGTATTTTTGCCACTGTGTGGGATAATGACATGTAAGAATACACATTAAATCTTCTAGAGCTGTTGAATAACGATTTAGTACAAAATTTGTCTCCATTTTACTAGCTCAGGCTTTATGATTCACTTTGAGTATATTTCTTTTTCAGGAATAAACTTTTTGCTTTTAGCAAACCAATATTAAACATAAAGCGGATAGTTATTGCTACACAACTTCAGAAATTAAATTAGAAAATTTTGAACATGCGGTTTCTAAGTTATTTTATTTTACAGCTTATATTTACGGTTGAAATTGGGGATCGTGAACGTATCTCTAAAAGAATTGTATTTGAGCGCATGCGCAGAGCCCTGTCAGAATGGGCTAGCTTTTAGCAGTGTATGAAATACGTGGCAGAAATACTTCGACATGGAGATAGCTGCTCTGGTTGCTGTGACTTTATTACTGGGTGCACTGGTTGGTCTGGTGGCATTAGCGGTGGGGAGACGGAAAGAAGAGAAAAGAGAAGAAATAGAGCAAACAGTGGAGAGTTCAGGTAGGAGCACATTACCGCATTGGTGACTCAGGAACGCGGAGAGTTAGCAGCGTTTGAGTCTGTTGAATTAACGCAATTATTCGTTTATCAAATAATTCGTTGTTTAATATAAAGTCACTGTGTTTGCAATATTATTCACTCTACCAATTTAAACTCGGACTGAAAACATTAACTGAAGGAACTTTTCAGCGACTACCACCTGCCTTTGGCCAATGGGGACATCTTTTGTTGGCGGACCAATGGGGTCACGGTTTTGAGTAACCTGATTGTATCGTTTTATTACCATAATTTAACAGGTGAAACATGTTCTCCGATCAGATCAGTGTGTGATGTTGGCATTTATTACAATAATTAAGATATAATAAATACTTGAAGTGATAATGAATTAGCGATTCACCAGTTTCTTCTGTTTTCACTAAAGTTATGTTGACGTTAATAGAATAACGTCCTTCACAAACGCAAGCCTTCTATTTTTACGCATTTATAGTTCTACCAATCCAGACTAATAATATATAGATATTATTAATTAGAAAAAATGCTCTGTTATATTTTAATTGACAAGCTGACGTATAGAGTCAGAATTGTGTTGTCAAATACTCTGACGTTTTGACTTGTTGACAAGAACTATCCCCCCCCCCCCCTCCCCACACACACAGTGTAAATTATGACAACTATTTGTGCTTCAGTTGAATCCAGTGCTGCAAAAGGCCCTACGTCTAAGAAACCAAAGCAGGAAAAGCAGCGAAGTCGCAAAGATAAACCTGCACAGCACAGTTTCAGCGATCCATTGTTGGCCTCCTCACTGAAGGTAAACTGAAAACACACACACACACACAAAACCTCATCTAAGATCACAGATCATAACACGAAACCAGCTTTACCACAATGTGCATGTATTATTCACAGATAAGCTCACGTTCAGCCTCTGTATCATTTGACCTAATTATATTAAAGTCATACACACACCTACATTTGTAAAGATATTGTAAAGAGGTCGTTGCCTCTTTAAAAATCTGTCCCTTAATCTTTCTAACTAAAACCAGACTTTTGTTACTATCTCACTTAAAATTACAAGAAACACTCTTAATAAGAGTTTATTTTATTTATTGAAGGGTGGCCTTTTTGCATCATTGACTCAGAATTTACTGCTCACGTGTAGTAATGGTGGACGCGCGTTAAAAATACAAGAAATGGAGATTTTTTTTTCTAAATATTTAGCCCTTTTACAATTCCTCCTGCTCATTTGTGTTCCCTCTAGGGCCACAGCGGGAACGTGACATGCCTGGATTTCAGCAGTAACGGGAAGTACTTGGCATCCTGCGCTGATGATCGGACCGTTCGGATTTGGAGCACCAAAGACTTCCTGGAGCGGGAACACAAGTGTCTGAGAGCCAATGTGGAGCTGGATCACGCCACGCTTGTCCGCTTCAGTCCAGACTCCAGGTCTGTCATACTCATTCTGATATAAAACCACCCTAATTTTTTATTTTATTAACACAGACATTAACGGAAGTTACGGTGTAACTATGGTTCTGTGAGTTCCTGGATGACTGCCAGTGGCAGTAAACAGAGTGGATGTATCTCCTCGCGCTCTGCGCAGGTCGAGTACTAATGTAAACAAAGTAACGCACGTGACACGTAGCGCACCTGGTCGCGAGTCTATAAATTACGCGCCGATAGCTACGTTCGGGTCTCCCGGGATCTTCTCGCCCGAGAAGTTCCGAGTGACCCCTGTGACTGGCAGTCATCCAGGAACTCACAGAACCATAGTTACACCGTAACTTCCGTTCTGTTTCGTTCCCTCCTGACTGCCAGTGGCAGTAAACAGAGTGGATGACTTATGCCAGAAGTGTCACGAGGAACATAAAACTCACCGTCACTCAGCAGGTAGCCGCCAGAGGCAGCACCGCCGAAGCGAGCGTGGACCCGTGGCAAACGTTGAGGCGGTAGAAGCGTGCAAACGTGCACGGAGTTGCCCAGGACGCCGCAGCACAGACGTCCGCCAGTGGCACACCTCTCATCGCCGCCCAGGATGTAGCAACGCTCCTGGTGGAATGGCACACGATCCCAGGGGGAGCCACGGCACCCACTGCCGCGTAAGCCATCGCAATGGCATCCACGACCCAATGCGACAGCCTCTGCTTCGAGAGGGCCCGACCCCTGTTCACTCCTCCGTGACAGACAAACAGCTGGTTCGACTGCCGGACAGTGTTTGTGGCCACAATATAGAGCTGCAGTGCCCGGACCGGGCACAGCAAATTCGCCCGCCGTTGTTCCTCCGAAAGAAATGGGGGAGGGAAATACGCCCCCAGCTCGATTGCGGCATTCACGTAGCCCGCGGGCAGAACCTTGGGAAGAAAGGCGACGTTGGGCCACAGTGTAACCCCCGACCCATCTGCCTTCCACCGCAGGCAGGCGGGGCTGATGTCCAGTGCGTGCAGCTCACTGACCCGTTTAGCCGACGTCACTGCCAAGAGAAAGGCGGTTTTCACAGACACCACTGCCAACGGGGCGGTAGTCATTGGCTCAAAGGGTGGCCCACACATGGCCCGCAGGACCAGGGGAAGGTCCCAAGCAGGTGCCGGCCTGCACAAGGCAGGACGCAACCTTCTCACGCCCCGCAGAAACTGGGTCACCAAACAGTGAGCCCCAATGCTCCTGCCATCCACCAAGAGGTGGTTGGCCGAAATAGCCGCCAGGTGTACCTTAAGGGTCGAGGCGGCCCGGCCCTTGTCAAACAGGTGCCGGAGGTACCACAGAACCTCATGCAGGAAACAAGAACCAGGGTCCACGTCCCTGCCAGAACACCAGGTAGCGAACCGCTGCCAACAGCGAGCGTACGTGGCCCTTGTAGACGGAGCCCTGGCACTATCCAGCACCTGCTGGATGGAGGGCTCTAAGCCGACTGGGGGCTGCCTGCCCCTTTCAATGGCCACACCGTGAGCCGAAGATGATCTGGGGACGGATGCCAAATCCTCCCCTCCATCTGAGACAGGAGGTCCCGTCTCGCCGGCAACCGCCATGGCTCTCCGTTCAGCAGACTGAGAAGCAATGGAAACCAGAGCCTCATGGGCCAGTCTGGCGCCACCAGAAGGACCTCGTGTGACGAGTCCCTCACCCGATGGAGGGTTGGTAAGATCAACGGAGACGGCGGGAAAGCGTACAGCCGAACCAACGGCCAGGCATTGGCGAGGGCGTCCATCCCCAGAGGGGCGTCGGCCTCTGCCAGGGAGAACCACAGAGGGCAATGTGTGCTGCTCCTCGAGGCGAACAGATCCACCTGGGCCTCTCCGAACTGATGCCACACCCTCTGCACCACCTGAGGGTGCAACCTCCATTCCCCCGGGGGAAGACCCCGCCGGGACAGGCAATCCGCCACCGAGTTCCTCCACCCCGGAAGGTGCAGCGTCCTGATGGAGGCCGAGCGAGGGTAAGCCCAGGTCAGCAGCGTCTGAGCCTCCCTCAACGATCGCAACGACCTGGTGCCCCCCTGATGGTTTATGTGGAACACCGCCGAGGTGCTGTCCATCCGGATGAGCACGTGCTTGCCCCGCAGAAAGGGCAAGAAGCGCCTCAGCGCCAAGTAGACGGTCTTCAACTCCAGGACATTGATGTGAAGCCGTGCCTGACGGGGGCTCCACAACCCCTGGACCGACCTGCACTGCCAATGCGCCCCCCACCCCCGGGGTGACGCATCCGTCGTGACCACCTCCCGTCTGGCGGGAACCGCGCCAAGCGGGACGCCGAGACTCAGGTAGGCGACATCGTCCCAACGACGCAAAAGAGCCACACAGCTGCTCGTGACCTCCAGCTCGACCCGTCGGTGTCGCCGGGGATCCAGGCGGAAGCCGTTGAACCACCTCTGCAAGGGCCGAAGGTGGAGCAGCCCGAGAGGCACCAGTGCAGAAGCCGAGACCAGCATCCCCAACAGTCGCAGCCACACCTGGACCGGGGGTGCCGCCCCAAGGCGAAAGGCCCGGAGCAAGGACCGAATCCGGACCCTCCTCTGCTCGGTCAGCCTCGCCCGCATGGCCACAGAATCTATGGCAATGCCGATAAAATCCACCCGCTGAGTCGGAACCAGAGAACTCTTCTGCAGGTTCACCGTCATCCCCAGCGCCTCGACGTGGGCAAGGACCCTGGCCGTGGCCAGACCCACTTCGCGACACGACGGCGCGCAGACGAGCCAGTCGTCGAGATATGGCAGGACCTTCAACCCCGCCCGACACAGGGGGCTCAGGGCTGCCTTCACGCACCGCGTGAAAACTCGGGGGGCGAGAGACAGGCCGAATGGCAGAAGCAGAAACTGGTACACCCTCCCGAGGAAAGAAAACCGCAGGTACTTCCTGTGCCCCGGATGGATCGGGACATGGAAGTATGCGTCCTTGAGGTCTATGGTCGTAAACCACTCTCCCGGACAAACCACCTGAAGGACATCGCGAGTCCGAAGCATGCGGAAGGGCAGCACCTTCAGGAACCGATTGAGACCCCTGAGGTCCAGTACCGGCCGCAGGGGCCCGTCCTTCTTGGGCACCAAGAAATACGTCGAATAAAAGCCGTCTGCCTGCAAATGCGGCGGAACGACCTCTATGGCCCGTTTGTCCAGGAGCACATCTATTTCCTGCATCAGGATGCTGACCCGTGCAGGATCTGTGACCGAAGTCACCCTGACCCCCGAAGGGGGTGGGGGCCGACGGCGGAACTGCAACCTGTAGCCCTGGGACATAGTTCGAACTACCCAAGCGTCTCCGCATTGGGCCTCCCAGAGGGCCAGGTGCTGTGGTGTAAATCTGCCCGCCGCCGGCCCACAGCCCTCAGGCCGTGTCCCGACGCCTGTTTGGGGCCCTGGGGGGGCGGCAGCCCCTGTCCTGCCCCGAGGATCCCCGGGGCGGGGCCTGACCTGCCCCCGAGCGTCTCCAAGTCCCTGCCGCAGCCGCGGTCTGCTGGGCGACCTGCAAGGGGGCGGCCGGACGAAACCGGCGCCGAGGGTCCCGTGCCCCTCGTGGCCTGGACTGTGGCATGGGGAGGACCCCTGCCCCGCTACGCCCACTCCAGGCCTCTGCGGCTTGTCTGGACTGCCGCCGACGTTCCAACGCCCGCTCAGCCTCGGGCCCGAACAACTGGCCCGGCACCACGGGCAGACCGCGCAGGCTCTGTCGGCAATCATCCGACACCGGAGCCTGCGCCAACCAGACCTGACGGCGAGTCACTACCAGCGTGCCCAACAACCGACCAAGCTCCCTGGACATCAGCCCAAATGCTTGCAGGGCTGCGTCGTTCGTATCGCCCAGTGCCATCCCCGCTGCGCCCGACTGCAGCATCTGGGACTGGGCTAGCAACAGCACCGACAGCGAATTGCTGGTGCGTGCCATCCGTGCCCCTATGTCGTAAGCCCGGCACAGTAAGCTGTCGGTCACCCGACACTGGGTGCTCGGACAGCGGACCCTGTCCCTCAATGCCTCATCCGGGAAGAGCACCAGAGAGGCAATGCAGTGGTCCACCGGGGGCATGCGGTCCAACCCATAGGTTCCTGCCTCCCGCATCGATGCCAGTGTCCTGGCATCCCTACCATGGTGGGAGAGCCGTCTCGGGTCCCCCCAGCACCGCTGCAGCTCCTCCACAAAGGCTGGCGATGGTGGGACCTGAAACGGGGGCGCCGCCGGAGCCCGGCGGAAGAAGGGATTCCCCGCCGGACGGGCCACCGGCACGTCGTCCAGTCCAATCCTGGCCAGTGCCGCTCGCAAAATCGCCCGCAACTGACAGGGGTCCTCCGCCAGCTCCGAGCTTGCTGAGCTATGGAGAGACATCCCCGAGTCACCGTGACCTCCCAGGCCCGGGGGCTCCATCACCAGCCCCTGACTACGGCCAGGAGAGGGGCCCTCTTCCTCGAGGGACTGAAACTCAGAATTTGAGGCCCTCACAGAGATCAGGTCGTCCGGGCCCCCCTCGTCCGGGGCTCTGGTCAGCAGCGCTTTGAGCTGTTCCACCTCCGCCCGCAAAGAGTCCACTTCCTGGCGAGAGGGTTGCGCCACACGCCGCTTCTTGCGCCTCGGGCTGCCGCGTTCCTCAGCCGGTCTATCCCTCCGTCTCCCGGAACACGGGCGAGGGACACCAGAGGGCGGCAGGTCTGACTCAAACAGGAGGCACTCCACTTGACGTAGCCTGTCCTCCCGCACCGCCAGCGGCAAAATGCTGCAGTTCATGCACGGGTCAGTCAGCGCCTCTCTGAGGTGACCGACGCCCAGGCACTTAGGACACAAGTCGTGGCCGTCCTCCACCTGGAGGGGAGCCCCGCATGACGTACACTCCAACATCCTTACCGGTGTGGGAGACGCCAGCGACTCCACAGGAACTGAGCGAGGACTTCGAGGAAAACTGAAGAACGCGATTCAGTCCTGGAGTTGTAAAACAACGCACGTGTGTGTGTGTCGGCTAGGTAATCTGAGCGTGCCACCACCACGGTCAGAACGTCCAGCCCCACTCACCGGTAACGTTGTAAAACAACACACGTGCGTGTGTGTCGGCTAGGTAATCTGAGCGTGCCACCACCACGGTCAGAACGTCCAGCCCCACTCACCGGTAGCGTTGTAAAACAACACACGTGCGTGTGTGTCGGCTAGGTAATCTGAGCGTGCCACCACCACGGTCAGAACGTCCAGCCCCACTTACCTGTAGCGCTCGCCGGCCGCACTCACCTCCCCTTTCCACAGGGGAAAACCTGCGACCGCCAGCGAGCCCTATCCGAGCCGGCAGCGGCGGTCCGAACGGCGCCGGCCGGCCGCACCACCCGCACTCGGTAACAATTAGCAGATAAATAACAGCGTCAATCCACCGCCCCAGAGGGCTCCTTCGAGCGCTCCGACCACACGGTCCCGGGCAGGAAAACGCCAAGTAAAAACAGTACTCACCTCTCAAGACCGATAAGATCCGAATCACGGACTTACGGAGCGATTGACCAGCGAAGCACGCCAGGCCAACAGCGAGAAGATCAAAGAGACCCGAACGTAGCTATCGGCGCGTAATTTATAGACTCGCGACCAGGTGCGCTACGTGTCACGTGCGTGACTTTGTTTACATTAGTACTCGACCTGCGCAGAGCTCGAGGAGATACATCCACTCTGTTTACTGCCACTGGCAGTCAGGAGGGAACGAAACAGAACCTGCTGCTGTTAGTCATTTTTGGGTCATTACTCAATTCAAAGCATTCCTGTCCTGTAGGGCGTTTATCACCTGGCTCGCCAACGGAGACACGATACGCATCTTAAAAATGATCAAGAAGGATGACGGAACTTTCAGCTTCAAGGCTGCACCTGAGGATTTCCCACAGAAACACAAGGCCCCAATAATCAATATTGGCATTGCAGAGACGGGTACAGGACACATTAATAAATTAAATGTTCTTTTATGTTCTTGTTGTTTTTATTTTTATGTTAAAGATCTCCACGTTTCTCACAAGTTTTAAACATGGATATTTTTTCCTCCATGCAGGCAAGTTCATCATGAGTGCCTCCACAGACACGACTATCCACATCTGGGACCTGAAAGGAGAGCTGCTGGCCTCCATCAACACCAACCAGATGACCAGTTCTTATGCTGCTGTCTCCCCCTGTGGCAGGTCAGTCAGAGGAACTTAAATTAAAAATGTGGTGTTTACTTTTTAGACTCAGCATATCTGTAGCTGGGTTTTGTTGCTAAAATCTTTTTTCTTTTTTTTTCCCCTGACCTTTTCAACTCTCAGTGGTGGCGTAAACATCCTGCACCAAAATAGACTTTTAGGGTTTGATGGTGGCTTAACCACAGCACATTTTGCACAAACCTAAAACTAAAACAACTCAAGCTAAATTGGTCTGCATAGTTTTAAAGGATGCATATCAAAATCTGTAGGATTGTCATTGTTTTCTCCCTGTGCTCAGGTTTGTAGCATCCTGTGGTTTCACTCCTGACGTGAAGGTTTGGGAGGTTTGCTTTGGGAAGGGAGGAGAGTTCAGAGAGGTCGCTCGAGCGTTTGATCTGAAAGGCCATTCTGCAGGAGTTCATGCTTTTGCTTTTTCTAACAACTCTCACAGGTAATAAAAGTGTTTGTTTACAACACAGAGACACGGGGGAGGCTTGTTGTGCTTTGAATTTAAAAGCGATAAGACAAACAGCTTCCAATAGCAAAGATGATCTGGGGCACGCTGAGTAATTTCCAGCTTCATTGTGCAAACAGAACTAATGATTCGACACCAAGGGTATCATCTGATGAGGACACAGTGGGTGTTAAATCGTTAGTTTTGTTTGCACAGTGAAGCTTGAAATTCATCAGTGAGATGCAGTTCCTATGTTTGATATCTGAAGCAATCACTCTGCTAAATGGAAAAAACACACAGATTATCTATGACACTTTAATATAACTGATTTGTTTTTCTTTCTTTTATCGATCAGGATGGTCACCGTCTCTAAAGATGGAACGTGGAAGCTGTGGAACACAGATGTAGAGTACAAAAAGCAGCAGGATCCTTACCTCCTGAAGACGGTCCCTTGCTCCTCCTCCGAAGGCAGCAGAGTGGCTTTGTCCCCTGATGGTCGTGTTGTGGCCATCAGCAATGGTTGTAACATAGCGATGTACGATGCTGCCACTGGGAATCTGGAGAAGGAACTGCACAGTGTCCACAGTGAAAACATCTCCGACCTCAGGTTTGACATTAACAGCCGCTTCTTGGTGTGCAGCGGCGACAAGGCTATCAGAGTGTTTCATAATGCGCCAGGCTACCAGGCTGCTATCAGAGACATGCAGGACATGCTGAAAAAAGCCCAGAACGAGGCTATGAAGCAGAGACTGCAGCAGCAGATAAAAGATGCTCAGAGCGCTCTGGACACTGTGCTCACTGCTCGGATCGAGTGAAAGAATGCACAAAGAGCCACCATGTGATTGTGATGTGTCATGTTTTTGTCAACATCCAGTTTCCCTTTTCTGCTCATTAATTTGTGCAGGAAGCAACGGGTTATGCATGCAGTTTTAATAAAGAATACATTTTTATGCAAAGATGAAATGTGTTGTGGATGTGTGTGGTGTGATTTAAAGTTAGGAAACCAAAAACACGGTAACGAAGATGATCTACAATACCACAGTGAATGCTCTTGTCACAGCATCATATCACAAAACAAGTAAATGCTTAAAGAGAAAGAATTTACTTACTGAATAATTAAATAAAAAGTGATTTTAAAAGTAGCATGGGTTAATTGTCACTAAATTCATATTAAAGTCTGGATTTAGTTTTTGCCGATTGAATAAGAAACAGTAGTTATAGTACCTCTCAAGATGAAATTCAGGAGGCGCTTATTGAGGTCTTTGTTAGAAAAACGAGATTAAACCCTGAGAATGCTCTTTCCTAAATAAGCTTCAGCAGCTTTCACTTAGATTTTAACTGAAAAAAAAAGATACCGTCAGAAAAACCCTCAACATCAAGAAGTTTCCATGGATATGGATCTGGCCCTACTAGTTTAGACTGTTCCACCTTCCCACAACAAAGCACTGATGATCAAAACAAAGTTTATTGAAAGAACAAAAAAAATGGGGGTTTACATCATGTTGTCACCGGCGCACGTGGAGGTGCAACTGCTGGGCGGCATTCTTTAACGATGAAATCCGAGTCTTGCGCCGGCCTATCGCTAAAGAGCAACCCTCATCTGAATTGACCCGGAAGTGGTTCTTGTGTGTGAAACACGTTTTCCTCCCGTAGCAGCATGTTGATCAGAGGTGGTTCTGAGAGCAGATGTCTGTAGAGATGGTGGAACTGTTGGTGAAGGCAGCGGAGCCGCTGCGACCGGCCGGGGTTTTACAGCAGAACCGGGTCTTCCTCGACTTCTTCTGGGATTTAGCTAAACCGGATCAGGAGGTCCGACTGAAGGCCGTGGAGAACCTGATCCAGTACCTTACAACAGAAAACAAGGTGAGAAACTGCCTGGAAACGATCCAGACTCAGATGCATTATGTCCTCTGAAGTTAAAGTTTTAGTAAATCAGAATAAAAGTTTTTAGATTCAAATGATTATATCACTGACTAAATTGTCAATTTCTTAATAAAATGGCCTACGTTGTTTTGGTTTAAAAAACTTTTTCTTCATAATTGGACAGTAACTCAAAGAAAATCAAGTTTTAACGGACTAAATTAGTTTCTGTTAAAAACAATTTCACTAGTGTTTAGTGTTTAACAATCAGCTAAAAGTTCACAACAAAGTAGAAGGCGTTAATTAAATATAAAAATAAAGTATAAAGCAAAGTGCAAGTTTAATATATCAAAACAAAAATAAAATGTTCATCAAGTCATTTATACTCAAAGATAAAGACATGAGTTTTAAATGGCCTGTATTTGTATAGCGCCCCCAAGACGCTCATAGCACAATTACACATTTCCACACTGGTAGGGATGAGCTACCATGTAGCCACAGCTGCCCTGGGGCTTTTCTGGGAGTAGTGGTCTAAATGTTCCCAGTCTCAGTGGTGTGTAGAAAGTTTTACGGATGTTGTTGTTTCTGTCCTGCAGGCCGATGAACTGGATTACACGTTTAAACGTCTGGTGGACGGACTGTCCCACACCCGGGAGACAGCCAGGCCTGGGTTCAGCCTGGCTCTGGGACAGGTGAGGGCACCGCCAGCCCGCTTGATTGGTCGACTCAACTTTAAAGTTCACCAGTTTGTAGAAATCAAAAAACTTCAATGTTTCAAATTAAGCGATAAGTTTCCTCTTTCAGGTCTTGAGTGCCTTTAAGGACGTCTCCCTGCAGAGTATACTGAACAGAATCAAAGAGAAACACAACTTACAGGCTGTGAAGAAGGTGAGTTTAGATGCTCAGGACTCCTTTGGCATCAGGAACTTCACTAACGGGCGTTTCCACTCACCAAAATCACGTTGTTTCGTAGAAACTTGCCAGAAATGCGATGTTCGGAAACTTGTTTGGCGTCCTCGCTCTTCATCAGTCTGGACGTCTCGCTGAAGTGAGTTGGGAGTTTTTTTTTTTTTTTTTTTTTTTTAAGGTTAACATTCTAAAGAGTCAAAAACACTTATAGCAGCTCTGATCTCTGCAGGAGCCACAGGTGGTGTTGGGATGTGTGACGCTCCTCCAGAGTCTGACTCAGCACAAGCAGCACCTGAAGGACCTGCCCAGTAAAACCATGGTGGACATCCTCACTGAGGTGACCGCTGCGTCCTGGTTGCAGCTTTCCACTTTGTATCAGTTTAACCTCAAAACGCACTCACATGCTGCCCTCTTGGCCTTCAGATCCCAGAGGAGGTGTTCGAGGAGGTCCTGCTGGGCGCCCTGCAGACTGACCTGGCGTCAGCCTTCAACACTCCCGAGCAGCTGCAGCTGCTGTTGGTGGCGCTGCAGCGCTTCCCTCAAACTCTCAAGCCGAAGAAACTCAAGAAGCTGCTGGGCTCCTCCACCATCATTAACGCTGACAACATTCCAAAGTGAGAATTCGGGAATCAGGTCTCAAAATACGCATTCAACCGTCTCCTCCTGCTTATTATCATTAAAAACCTTATCTGTCAGATTGATAGAGGTGTTAAAGATGGCAGCTCACTCTGTGAAGAAGGAGTTAACTCTACCAGCCGTTGCTCTGGACCTCCTGAAGCTCTCTCTGAAGGAGGACAGCTTCCAGCTCTTCTGGAACAAAGCCATCACAGAGGGAATGTTCAGGGAGCCGTTCGGAGTGACTCAGTGAGTTTATTACGAGGATGTGAATGAATCGGACCCAAAACGTGGAAACAAAGCTCTAAAATGTGAAAAGTGTAGTTTTTATTTTCTTGTATGACTTTGTTCTTCCCTGCAAGTGAATTTTTATTCTAACATCCAGCCTTCCCATTGTTGATTCTGTTCAGTTATCTGAGCTTCCGCCTGCTGGGAAGCGCCCTCCCTCTGCTGTCGTTGTCCCAGCTGAAGACGGTCTTATCTGGAGAAGTGATGATGCACTACGGAGAACACGTTCTTGCATCTCAGGTTAGTTCCAGGGTGAATTTTAGATTTCACTCGAATCAGAGGAATAACAAGTGAGGTCTTGGTGAGCTGTAGATCTGGATGGCTGTTTTTCTTTTCCAGAAACCGGGCCGCTTCAAGCTGGCCCCGGAGATGGACACCTACGTGTTGGACTTCCTGCAGGCCTGTCAGGACTCAGACAAGCAGCTGGCGGTCATGGTGGGCTTCTCCTCGCTGACCCACTTGGGTTTGCCTGTGGTGTTGCCAGTGTGGAAGGTGGTGCAGCATCTTCAGCCTGCAGCCTTGCAGGGCTACGTGGAGTGGCTTAAAGGAATGTTTCTTCAGCCTCGGATGGAAGAGCTGCTGGACTTCAGCACCCGCAAGCAGAAGGGCAAGCAGGAGGGTGGAGAGCAGTGAGTTTATACGCCCGCTTCTTTAGCTGACTGAAAAAACACCTTTTAACTCTAATGCTCCTTCAGGAAGGACAGCGCCGTTTTCCACCTGAGGAGGTGGATTGTTTCTCGACTTGCCTCCATCATCGACAACAGTCAGGTGAAGAAGCAGGAGGATCTCATCATGGACGTGGCCAGGTGAGCTTCCTGGTGAGCAGCTTCAGGGTTTCTGTGGAAGTCGAGGAGAAAACCATGATTCTGACTTGCTCCTTTTCCAGGTTTGTCTTTTTCCACGCCTTCTTCGGCACCCAGAAGGCCTCCTCTGACATCGCAGAGACTAGTTCAAAGCCGTCCATCCCGCTTGACGAGAAAACCAGAGGAGTGCTCGTCAGTTCTTTTTTTGGGTGAGAAGAAGTCTAATTTCCTTAAGTATTACCAACTTTATTAAAGAAGTCAGACTTTGCCTCTGCAGCTTCAGTTAAGTCCCGTCCCATCTGTCTTCCATCCAGACTCCTCATGTCGCTGCACCACATGCCACCTAGCGACGACGGCACGGCCGTCAATCAGAGACGGGTGCTCGGCGTAACAGCTGATGGCACCATGTGGATTTACCGCTTGGTTCAGTATGCCCAGCTCCTTCTAAACCATCCAAAACACGTTCACAGAGTCCATCCGTTCAGTCCTGAGCAGAGACAGGCCTGGGACAGGTGAGGGGACACTCAGGCTTCACATTTCTGATTACTTATCGGTTAAATGTGATGATATAGTTGAGATTTTATGTTGATGTGAAGGCAGGAAATTGTTATTGCTGTTTTTCAGCATGCTGGAGTCGGTGGAGAACTTGAGGAAAAAAGGCACAACAGCAGAGAGCGGCGCATTCCAGCAGCTGTTCCTGCTGGTCGGGATGCATCTGTTCAAGGTACACGCCACCTTACTGCAACACTGAGCTGCTTAGAGAAAAAGTCTGAATTTTCTCTGCAAATATTACAAACCTCACAAACAAGGTTGTGCTTTTTCTCTGTTAGTATTTTGTGCATTGAAACCAAAATGAATAGACTTTTTGTCTGACCTGAAGGCCCCCGACGAGCTCCTGGACATCATGAAGGACTTACAGAATTGTGTGGATAAAGCTCAGGAGAAAAAAACCAAGAAGAAGAAAAAGAAAGAAGGTGAGACACACTGATGCTGTTTAATCTTTCTTTCCCAAATAAAGTTTTTTTTTCCACTTATTTTCATCATAAGAAGCAAGAACATGGATAATATTCAGGGAAAGACATTTTTATTTAACGGTTTTGAATATTTCGTCCCTCACAGGGGAGACGGATGAGCCAGAGTGGGTGGAGGTGATGGTGGACATCTTGTTGTCCCTTTTGTCCCAACAGAACCGACTCATCAGGCAGGTCTGCAAAACGGTCTTCGCCTCCATCTGCCCCCACGTCACGGCGGCAGCCCTCACCGCCATCTTGGACGTAAGTGGGCTCAGCGCCGATGGCTAAAACAGTTCTGATGGAGCACCGCCGTGTTTTTGACGTGCCTGCGTTCCGGGCTCTGTGCAGGTGTTGGACCCCGATAAGGAGGACGAGGAGGACAGTGCTGTAGTCGTCACTGACGATGCAGACAAAACACCGAAGAGGAAACTTGAGGAGGACGAGGATGAGGAGATGGAGGTCTTCTTCCTCTACACTCTTGCGGCTTCACAATTTACAGATTTAGATCAAACATTTGATGCAGATTTTACTTTGGTTTCCAGGGCGACAGCGAGGCTGGATCGGATGAAGACTCTGATGGAGATGAAGCAGTGGAGGAGGAGGTGGACCAAAGTTTTCGTTTGGAGCTGATGAAGGTTCTCCAGCAGCAGAACGCTCTGGTCGGTTTCAGTTCATCTCTTCCTGATTGTTTCAAGGAGAAACAAAGATAACTTAAGCTCATCTGCCGTGCGTCACACTCAGGCCACTGAGGAGGACGCAAGCAGCGATGAAGATTTAGACGACGATGCTATGATGAAGCTGGACCAGAGCCTGTCAACGCTGTTCTCAGAGCAGAAGAAGAAGATTCAGGCCAAGAAAGATGAGAAGACCAAACTGCAGAAGGAGAAGACACTGGTCCGAGATTTTAGGATGAAGGTGTGTGTTTGAGGAACGCTCCTGCTGCTCGGGGCCAGTCAGGACGGGGCATCTAATGGCGCCGTTTGTGTGTTTCAGGTGTTGGACCTGGTGGAGGTGTTCGTAGCCCGGCAGGCTGGCAGCCCGCTCATCATCGGGTTGGTGGAGCCTCTGCTCAACATGATCGACAGAGGGATGAGCTCCGGCAGCGAGCAGCAGGAGCAGGACTTCCTCCGGAGAGCAGCAGACATCTTCAGGTGAAAACCAAAGAACCGCACACAGTAGAAGCATAGATTCACCAAAGGGTCGGACAATATTCAACACGATCGATTTAGCAAAAAAACTATTGCTAATTGTCAGAGCTAGATCAGCACCAGCAGCTCTCAGCAGTTCAAACATCAGACATCAGTGCAGTTTGTTTGTTTTATTGTTATAAAATAAGAAACGCTGTTATTTATTTATTTTGTAGTTTTGTAAAAGTATTTGAATCAGAAGATGGTTATTATTCCCAGCTGTGAGCACTGTTATAAGTCAACAGGAACACTTGAACACATTACTGACATATAATTTGTTATTTAATTATTTCTAATAAAGATGCCTTTTTTTGTAGGAACCAGTTGTGTCGATCCAAAGTGTACTGCAGGACCGCCGCAGACAGACAGGGGGAGCTGCACGACTTGCTGGACAAACTGATGAGTAAATCTCTGAAGCTGAGCGACTCCTCCGTGTGTCTCTACTACTTCAGGTAAAATGTTACGGTTTGATGTCCGAGCTGAAGATAAAAAACACATCCCTGAACTTTCTCACCCGTGATGGGGCTCTGAAGTGAACAGAAAGCAGAATCAAGGCTCTTTGTGTGTGTGAATCCTTTAGTGCGTCTCTTTATTTGGTGAAAGTGCTGCGAGGAGCTCCACCTGCTGAGACCAAGGAGGCACGGATAGCTGATGGAGCAGCAGCTAACGACGTATGTTTGCACACTCGTGAGGTTCCACTTGTCTTCGCCTCCTCATGGTGGGAGGCCGCTGAGCTTTGATCAGTTTAGAGAGGAATCAGATTACTCACATGGCACCTCATTCCTACAGCTTTGCACAAAACAAATCACACAAAAGTCCTTTTACTGGAGGTGACTGAGTATTTAAGTGTGGGCGCTGGGTCCAGCCCTGCAGCAGACTCAATCCAGGTCTGTTCCTTTAATTTTTATCGGGTCGGGACTTGTCCTGGATAACTGGGCCTCCTTTACAGCACATCTCTGCACAAGCATTTTACTTTGAAAAGATAAGATCATAAATAAAGAGAAAAAAACATTAAAGACGTATCTATTTCAAATAAAATTACACCAGATGATCCAGCTAATTACTCGCCCCAATCTGCTTTTATAAAAAGTCAGTTAGAAGGCAGAAATCTGAGTTTATTTACGCACAGAAACGTCACAAACACGTCTCCGTGGTTACTTCACAGCTGCGAAGGGCTAGCTGTTGTCAGCCGTTGTTTTCAAAAAGCGCATCGAATTATTTGGAAGAACATCTCATGAAAAGGAAAAGTGACATCAATCTGGCAGGAAAAAAACAGATTTTCTCAAAAGCTTGAAGCTAATTAGTTTATTACCAGCTGAGGCTGTCAGCTCTTATTTCTCCGGGTTTTGAAGAATTCATCAACCTGACATTTTAGACATGAATAAACCTTTTATACTGTTGAAAATCTGCTTACGGTTGTGTTTTTGGGATCATTTCCACGATGTATGGAAATGAAATGACATTTGTTGTGTTTAGAGGATACTGATTGGCTGCATCGTGATTTTGCATCTTGTTTTAGGGTTAGTTTAATTTTTAAATATTATGAAGTCCTAAAGCTGCAGCAAGGGTTCATTTTAACATTTAATATAAGATAAAAAAATATTTACAGATTAAAAAGGAAAAATAAATATATTTAAAATGTGGTTAGAATTTTATTTTATTTACCTTTTTTATGGCAGTCAAAAATAAATCAGTTTTATTAATAAAGATGACAATTAAGCATCGAGGCGTCCCTTTTTACTATTCATTCCATTAACCTTCTCTGACTTTCAGCTTGTTTCTAATTCAAAAACAAGCGACCTAATCAGGAATGGTGTGTTATAACTTCAGATACATCGGCAGCGTAAACAGAATATGTTTCAAAAATCTTTTAGACAGCCTCCAGAAACACAACTGAGGAGTTTTTCTTTCTTTAGGACTGAAAGTTTTTACTTAAATCCCCTCCGAGTGCAGAAGCCACACCCTTAACCAGACGACAAATTCTTCATAACATTTTTTTTTCTTTTCCTAACAGAAAATTTGTCATAAATTCTGCACAAAAAACTTAAGAAACGCTAAAAGAACTAAGTCACCTCCAGACTCCTTTGCAGTTTTTCACGTTTTCACTGGTGCTGGCGGTTACCATGGTGATCCTAGTAAGCCACTGGCAGCAGCTTTAACATTTTTGTTGAAATTCGTTCTGGTTACACTTGCATCAACACACAGCATTAAACTAGTGTGTGATCTTTAGACAGTGGTTTGTGTCCTTTATGTGTTTGTCAGACATGTTTTAGATTTTATTTTTTTATGCACTTCAGTTAATAACAGCTCCCACTGTCAATGCATGAACAGTTTCTACTAAACAGTATTAAAATCTGAATTTCACGCATACCCTTTCCCGTCTTCTGTCTGCAGCCGAGGTTTATGGGTAATGTGGATGTGGATCGGGTCTCCAGCCTCTTCAGAGACGCTCTGGTCTCCTTCATGAGTCGGAGGAAAAGCCCCCTGACCTCTCAGATGTTCACCGACTTGTTCTGCAGATTCCCCGTGAGTGCAGACCCTCGTCTCACGCTGTAAAGTTTAGTCACCACAGAGCAGTTAGTGACACTTGGTGCTTTGTTCAGGTTTTATGTGTGAATCTGTTGGATACAGCTGTGCAGCACATCACATCTGGAGTCCGGGAACATCAGCAGGTACAAAAGCTTTGATTAAAACATAAATGAGAAAAAGATTCTTGGAATCAGAATATTTATCGCTGATGAAATTAAATATGGAGACATGAAGTTAGTCTTTATTTTTAGAGGCAGAATATCCAATCAGAGCTTTGGCAGAAGCTTGAGACTTTGCAAAGCTTTTGGCGGAGTAGCGTGTTGGGTTTGCACTCCACTCATCAGGCTTTAGGAGTCTCGTTCTGTGTATGTGTTCAGGGTCAGGCGTGTGTGTTGGTGCTCAGAGCCATGCAGAGCAGAGATGTCCAGCAGATTCTGAGCGGCGCAAAGTGGACAAAGCTCTGTGAGCAGGTGACGCTGCAGCTGGCTGCAGTAAGTACACACACACACACACACACACACACACACACACACACACACACACACACACACACACACACACACAGGCAAAATCATTACTGTCTGCCATGAAGGACATCTTACTTTCACTCATTTCCTCCTTTGTTTTTTGTTTTCCATCCACTTCCTGTTCCCAGCCTCAGTTCTAATTCTGCCAAACCCTCCTTGTGGAACAGATTGAAATCGGTTTTCTCCGTGTGCACGAGGCTGCAGCCGCACGTCGTGTCCCCTGCTTTAAGCAGGGATGTTAATACATGTGCATACTTTAGGCCTGTTTGCAGTTTAATTATATTAATCTGGAAAGTTTATGAGATTGCATGGTGCTGTGATAAATGATAATTGGAGGCACTGCTCTTCTCGCTGTCCTCCTCGTGTCCTCCAGAGAGAGGGAGGTGAAGACATGGGTAATTACATGCTTCCGTAAATCCTCCACCTCTCCTGTCTTTTCTCCTGAACTAAAATCAGAACTCCTCTGTCCTGTAATCTTCAGATTTTTGCTTTACCTTATGGTGAAAGAATACAGAAAAACTGCAGATTTGAACTTTCAAAGGCTTTTGCTTCACACATAAATATTTAGTGCATCTGTTAAATCTGAGCTAATTTAACCCTCCTGCTGCTGTTTTCCAGAGTATGGAGCAGGTCAGTGACAGCAAAGTGGCCAAAGAGAAGCTGGTTAGAACCCTGGAGCTGTGTCAGTTTCTGGTGAAACATGTTCACTGGAAGGTGGGTGGACTCACCTGTGGGGATCAAACCCACAACCAGGAAGTCAGCAAGGTTCCAGACTGTGTCTTTGCTGTTTCTTTAGAAACTCTCTGTGGATCTGGAGCCTCTCCGAAATGTCCTGCAGCCCCTGACCAACGTCGTCACCTTCAAAAAGACGGGAACACTGGAGGACACCTACTGGGCTGTGATGAAACACTTTGGAGTGATGTGAGTTTTGGACACGCCTCCAGAAACGTCTCTAAAAAACAAAACCTTTATTTGTCATCCTAATATGTGGAAACTTATTTTTGTGTTTTCCACGTGGAGAAATATTTTTTCATAAGATCTAAAATTCACGATGCAACGTTGATGAAATTAGATCTTCATGTAATTATTGGAGAGAAGTTGACCTTATCGCCTTGTTTCACCTTCCACAGAAGATCTTCTACTAGACTTTTATTTAGTTTTTATTTCCTGTTTGAGAACCGCACCCTCTACAGCAGATGTGTGTAAATGTGTGGAACAGGCAACACTTTATTCTTTAGAGGATTTTAATGTGAAAGATTGACCAGTGGGGGGGGAAATAGCCCCCTAGTGGCTGGTTGCAGTGTATGTTTTAGGCTCCGCCCCCTTCAGTGTCCTAACTGAAAAATAAAGCACCTATAAATGAGAAAGAAGGAAACTGGTCGTCCTTGACTGAAATTTTATGATATTTGAATTTTAAAGTGTAACAAATTAAAACGTTTGCATGTTTTTTCCTGTTCAATTAGCATATTTAACATTTCCTGGCAAGAAAAAATTCTGAATTTCATTTGCCTTTTGGTCATTTTTCCATTGTTGTTTTATTTATTTTTGTATGTTTATTTTCCAGGAAGCCCAAAACCGAGAAGACAAAACCCGACAAGGATGCTGAGCTGCAGGAAGAAGCTCCCAATAAGAAAAAAGGTTTTCTGCCAGAAACAAAAAAGCGCAAAAAGCGCAACAAGCCTGTTCTGGAGCCGGCGGGGGACAAGTCAAGCTCCACAAACAAACCAGGGGAAGAGACGGGACAGGCCAAAAAGAAACGCAACAAGAAGCCTAAAAGGAAACGAGCTGCTGACGGCGCGGCGGCGCCTCCTTCACAGTCCAGCCCGGCGAAAAGGAGCAAAACACAAACCGACAGTAAAGCAGACAAGAAACAGAAGAAGAAACTGAAGCAGAAGAAAGGAGGAGGGCAGTGAATGTAACATGGACTATTTAAAATCTATGAATATCATTTTAAACACTTTTTTACTGTCTGTTCAGCTTTGACTGTAAGTTGGCTTAAATATGAGGAATAACAAGAGAAGGTGGGTGTGAATTTAGTGAATATTTGTGACTGTTGTTGGCCAGACGGCAACAATAAACCAAAATCTAATCCTACAAGTTTGGCGGTTTCACTTTTACTTTATTCCTCTAAGCCCTGTCCTGCAGCCTGGATGAGATAAATACCGTTAGTTCAATCCAAACTGGGACTTCAGAGCTTTTCTGGGTCCCATGATCACATACAGGTCCTTCTAAAAAAATTAGCTTATTGTGATAAAGTTCATTATTGTCTGTAATGTACTGATAAATATTAGACTTTCATATAAGATTTATTACACAGAACTGAAATAGTTCAAGCCTTTTATTGTTTCTAATATTGATGATTTTGGCACACAGCTCATGCATACCCAACATTCCTATCTCTAAAAATTAGCATATCTTGAAAACGTTCTCTAAATGAGCTATTAACCTAATCACCTGAATCAACTAATTAACTAATTTAACTCGAAACACCTGCAAAAGATTCCTGAGGCTTTTAAAAACTCCCAGCCTGGTTCATTACTCAAAACCGCAATCATGGGTAAGACTGCCGACCTGACTGCTGTCCAGAAGGCCATCATTGACACCCTCAAGCAAGAGGGTAAGACGCAGAAAGAAATTTCTGAACGAGTAGGCTGTTCCCAGAGTGCTGTATCAAGGCACCTCAGTGGGAAGTCTGTGGGAAGGAAAAAGTGTGGCAGAAAACACTGCACAACAAGAAGAGGCGATCGGACCCTGAGGAAGATTGTGGAGAAGGACCGATTCCAGACCTTGGGGGACCTGCGGAAGCAGCGGACTGAGTCTGGAGTAGAAACATCCAGAGCCACCGTGTACAGGCGTGTGCAGGAAATGGGCTACAGGTGCTGTTGTTCCCAGGTCAAGCCACTTTTGAACCAGAAACGGCAGCAGAAGCGCCTGACCTGGGCTACAGAGAAGCAGCACTGGACTGTTGCTCAGTGGTCCAAAGTACTTTTGTCGGATGAAAGCTAATTTTGCATGTCATTCAGAAATCAAGGTGCCAGAGTCTGGAGGAAGACTGGGCAGAGGGAAATGCCAAAATGCCTGAAGTCCAGTGTCAAGTACCCACAGTCAGTGATGGGCTGGGATGCCATGTCAGCTGCTGGTGTTGGTCCACTGTGTTTTATCAAGGACAGGGTCAGTGCAGCTAGCTATCAGGAGATGTTGGAGCACTTCATGCTTCCATCTGCTGAAAAGCTTTATGGAGATGAAGATTGAATTTTTCAGCACGACCTGGCACCTGTTCTCAGTTTCAAAACCACTGGTAAATGGTTTACTGACCATGGTATTACTGTGCCCAGTTGGCCTGCCAATTCTCCTGACCTGAACCCCATAGAGAATCTGTGGGATATTGTAAAGAGAAAGTTGACAGACGTTAGACCCAACAGTCTGGATGAGCTTAAGGCCGCTATCGAAGCATCCTGGGCCTCCATAACACCTCAGCAGTGCCACAGGCTGATTGCCTCCATGCCACGCCGCATTGAAGCAGTAATTTCTGCAAAAGAATTCTCGACCAAGTATTAAGTGCAGAACTGAACATAATTATTTGAAGGTCGACTTTTTTGTATTTAAAACACTTTTATTTTATTTCTTTTATTGGTCGGATTAAATATGCTAATTTTTTGAGATAGGAATTTTGGGTTTTCATGAGCTGTATGCCAAAATCATCAATATTAGAAACAAAAACAGGCTTGGACTACTTCAGTTGTGGGCAATGAATCTAATATATATGAAAGTCTAATGTTTATCAGTACATTACAGACAGTAATGAACTTTATCACAATATGCAAATTTTTTGAGAAGGACCTGTAAATGTGTGCTTGGTTTTGGTCAAGAGCCTCATGATTCATCGTCAGTCCAGCTGCAGGGTATTTAGTTCTTTTGCTCCTCTAGGCTTCTTCACCAGGGGCAGCAGGTTAATTCAGACCTGCAACCTTTTTACTGCTAAACAACTGTTTATATTTTATTTTCAGGCAAACCTAAACTGATTATAATTGGATTTGGAGTTCTTCCGTTAAAGAAGAAAAATTAACGTGTGCTATTTAAACTATAACGTATATTTAAGTCTACTAAACAAGGATCATTTAAAAAGCACATTTCAAATTTGATTTAGAGAACTGAGACCTATTTAGATTTAAAAATCAAAGAAACATATTTCTGTAACATTAGAAATACAAAAAATGTTAGAAATTTACAGTTTAGCCAAATGTATTGAATACGTTTTAGAACACAATTTAAAAATTGACATTTGTTTTGTAAATGAATTGAAAAAACTGAAAAAAGAAACATTTTTATGTCTAATGTTAAAAATACATTTTAGATGCATTTTTATAGAATAACCAGACAGGGCAAAATATTCATGGTTATTTCTTTGCTATTTTTCTGGTGCTGCATGGTTGGTAGCAGAGGTGTCTGGCAGTGAGAAGGCTGTGGCGTTTCTGTGTGGAGTTTGCATGTTCTCATGCATGCATGGGTTTTCTCCACTCCACTTTCCTCCCACAGACCAAAACACATGCATGTGTGGTTTGTTTAGAGACTACATTTTCTTATGAATTTTCTAAGAGTTTGAATTATTTGACTTGTTCTCACAGCTGCATCATGTGCTCTGTCAAAAAGGTTTCTGGCTACAAATGCACAGACCAGAGTAAAAACAATTTTTCTTTAGAAACAAACACATCTACTCCCTATTTAAACGGCAGAGTGTTTTGCAAAAGGATTATATGAAAAGTTTCATTTTGCTGCTGTAATGGGATCACCTCTGTTCCACACTGAAACAGCTGCCACAGCATTACATAACGCTCTTACCAGGAAAAATATCCCTGGCCTTTGTGCACGATTGGATGTTGCAAGCCTTTGTGCAATAAACAAAGGTAAGCAATCACACAGAACCCTAATTCTGCTGTCAGAAAAATGATGCAGCGTCCCCCCAAATGGATTAGTGTACAGGACATGAAGTCTAGCAGCCATAAATCTGCAGGAGTGTTAGCGGGCAGCCGCCTCATCCATCAGTAATCTCATCTTAAAGCCTCTCTGCACTGCAGGAGCCAGCTCGTGTACAACAAACCTCATGTTTGCTCCGGTTCTCTCTCTGCTCTGTCTTTTAAACTTTCATCCACCAACTGGAGTATGCACAAAGGCCACAGGAGGGTGAAAAATAAATAAATCAATACCCATCGTGAGTTTGTAGAGAAGGTGTTTCTCTGCTCAACATCACAAGCAGAAGGCACACAGTGTGAACCAATTATCTAGCTGTTTAATGCATTTTTTAATCAGTTTATTAAGATTTTGACTTATTTTATGACCCACTGGATTGTTACAGTGCTCATTCTTGAAGGGAAAACAATGGGCTATGATGTATGTGCCTGTGTTTAAAATATATGATGCACTACTGGACAGATTTAATCAAAAATCTCAAAAAATGATGTTTGCATGGACTTCTACAGCTGGGTAACTTTTTGAATCAAAAACAAACTGTCCAGATATTGTTCTAAAATGAGCATAGAGTGAAATCACATCTAGCATTATGTTATGGATTTAAAGCAGCTCTAAGTCCATTATTATTGTAGGATTATGTATTCCTTCAAGGAGTGCAAGGCCTTTAATTTTTTATGCAATTTTGTTGTTCTTGTTTTCTGCAGCAGTAAGCAAATACTTGGTCTGGAAAAGAAGTCTTGAAGTAAACCAACTGTACATTTCCTTTATTATCACCAACAACAGACAGACCCACTTATTAAAAACTGGGAATCATTTTTCCTCCAAATGTTGAGAGAGTCTAAAGTCAGAGCAAGAAGTGAATTCATCTAATTTCAGAATGTCTGATTAAATAAAAATAATGTAAAGAAGGTTGAGTACTGGCTAAAAGCAAGAATACACAAGATATTTAGATATGATTCTAATAATTTTAGTTTAAAAACTTGCATTTATATGTTTAACCCTCTGGAGGCAGGCGTTGCAGATTTGCAACGTTGAAAACCTACCTACCTGGTTACTTCGCATATGTATTTCAAATTCAAATTCAATTCAAAGATACTTTATTAATCCTAGAAGGAAATTAGAGCATGAGCATTTTTAAACTCAGAAGTACCCCTGAAGGACTTAGTTGATTGTCCTTTTATCAAAACTCGTTTTGAGCCTGAGAGCGTTAAAATGTTTGATTTGGACTAAATTCCACATTTGGAGCTGCATAAAACAAATTCATAAAACTGGGCAATTTAATAATCCTAATTTGAAGCTGATTTTTACAAATGCAATTCATAAATACGTTTCCATCTGTCTAAATGTCTGTATGTGATTATTTCCAAAGCCATGACGGGGTGAGGGCTGCTTCTGGTCATCAGTTTGACGGGTACGTGGTCTGGATTTCAAGCATGGCAATTCCTGAAAAACTGAAAAGGCAAAAAGAAAAATACGACTGGTGCAAATGGTGAAAATATTTCAAAATAAGACACGGAGCGTCTCTAAGCCATGACAGCATTTCATTCTTAAAATAAAGAAGGCAGAGAGACAGACAAGTAAACAAGGTCCGAAAACAGATCCTGCATCACTAAAGAGGAAACGCGCCCTTCAGTTGTGTGTGTAGATCACAGAGTTTAACGTCAAAGCATTCAAAGGAACACTTTTAAGGCCTAATGATGCATCTGTTTACATCAGATTATCCATTTAATTAGTTTGTTTAGATCAGATTAAAACAGCTACTAGACCTTGAATCAACCAAGATTAGACTGAAATATACTGTACGTTAGTCCGGTTCATACTGTAACTGACATTTCCACCCCTCCAGCCTGCTTTGTGCTAATTTTTATCCCATTGAGTGATCTGTGTGACTATTATACATCCGTTCTGTCTGTGACACATTCCCAACACTCCTGTTATGCCTTCTTTTGCTTACAGATCAAGAAGGAGGTACTTTTTTTTGGGCCTTATGCCCTTGAAATCACAGCTTGAACCCACAGTAATGAAGCATATAAAGTGAATCTCGTGATGACAAATCGCTCTCCTCAAACCCTGACAGCAGGGGTGAGAATGGGAGCAGCAGTGTGCTCTCCTCCTGACAGCAAACTGACACTATTCATCGCTGCGAGCAGAGATACGAAGCCCAGAACCAATCTGCTAATGCAGCCCGGAGGAATAATCGCAGTGAGTTGCAAAGTCGGGGGGCAGAACCTCATCAGTATGAGAAAGATGCAACTGAATGCCAGTCTGATTCATCCCCTCACCTTGAGAAATATTTTCATCTTCATGGATTCATGCTTTATAGCAGAGATGCTGAATTTTTCCAATCTGTGATGCAGCGGCCTGTGAAGTGTTTATTAATGCAGTTTCTTCTTCCTTTCCCCTTGCTGCTCTTGTTAATGTGTCTCCTTTTAAAGTCTGATGCTCCTCTCCAGGCAGGCTGGCAGATTGCAGGCAGAATATTGGTTTAATGGCCATTTCACATAGAAACCTATTAATTAGTGCACCCAGTGATTTACTCACTAGGTCTCGTGAGAACACCCTGCTCTGAGATCCACCATACTGCTTGTTGGAAGGCCAAGCAAACAGGCTAATTAACATACTGGTTGTCACACCTCACATTAAATGGGCTTGTTTGCTCATTGCTGGAATATGTTTATTATTGTAACCTTTCAACCTGCTGCAGGATCAGAATGTGGTTTCAGCATTTAGAGGTCTAGGGCATTTGTGAGTTTGAGCATTCTGTTGCATTCAGAAAGTATTTTAAAAACACCACAAACATTTCATAGTGCTTCACGCTAACGCTGACACCACTATAGACAGCAGATGTATATCTGCTGGACGTGCAACAGGCTGCATTATAGCTGCTGCATGTGCTCATAGACAATCTGATAATTCTTTGTGAAAAATAAAAAATTGACTGCATTGAGATTAGAAATAAAATGTGCATTTGTTTCAATCAAATTCTTGATTAGAGCTGTTTTGAGAGGACAGAAATCTGCTTTGGTTTTGACCTAACTTAGTCATTATTCCAGTCCAGTCAAAATTATTCAAGATTTACCAAAGTGTAAATGTTCAAAGGGTTAAAGTAGTATTTGTTTTGTTTCCGCAGAGAGCTACTTCAAAAGACCTAAAGCATTTTAAGGTGTACTAAAATAGTTTTCTGTTTCCAATTAGAAACTGATCTTTTAGACTATATTAAGTATATGCACGGAAGTCCTGAGAAATAGCTAAACGTGTGTGTGTGTGTGTGTGTGTGTGTGTGTGTGTGTGTGTGTGTGTGTGTGTGTGTGTGTGTGTGTGTGTGTGTTAAAACAATGGCTATTCTTCCTTTTGTCCTTGAAATGCATCAACACTGGGCCATCAGGCAAACTGGTTACACATACCATATTCATCCCCACCATACAATGCACCAAATACCACAGAATAACACAGGAAAATACAATATATTTCACAACCAACTACATGAATGACAAATCATTCGTAAAAATTGAAAATATCAAAGTTCCAAGACAGCTTCCCTGAGGCACCCCGCATGAGAGAGTCTTCATTTCTGAGTAACTGCCATTAAACAGTACTTTAAACTCCCTTTCAGTAAGAGAACTTTTCACTCATTTAACAGCTGTTAGCAGTTAGCAGTAGCTTGGGTTAGTGTTGTTCTGCGGTTAGCATCACCATGACCAACGTTTCCAAAGCGCCATTGTTGAAGTGGGTTGGGACATGAAAATTTAAGGTGGTGTGTGCTTATGACATGATGAACCAGCTTTCCTGAAAAAGAACCATTTCTCTGTCACGCCCATCCACTTCTGGAACATTACATTACAACATTAGTAATTTACATAGGAAAGCAGGTCGAAGACTGCACAGACTTAGCGATATGCTACATCCGACACCCTACGCTGCCTACATTCAACAACAACACAGTAAATAGGGTTTAAATTCTAGGGTCACTTTAAAAGAGGCTTTAAAATTCAGATTGACATCACACCAAAAAAAAAACAACAACTAATTATTGCGTTTAAGAGAAAAATCTCAATTACTGAAATGAAACATAATTCTTTGTGCGTTTTATGATAACCAAAGATGCTTATGAGTTGCATAAAATCTTTACCTGTTTTAATATCAAAATACAGAATTACCAACAGCCACAAAGGACCTGGGCTTGTGCCACTAACTAGCCAATCAACGTTTTCAGAAGCACTCTCCTTGGGACAACAAAACCTTAAAAAATGGCCTCATTAATTCTAAATTGGGCTGGAGACAATAAGTAGGCTATTCCCATAGCAAACCTTAATTTAAAAAAAATTCACACTGCCTTTGTTCAGGCTAGCATATGTCACAATAGATAAGACATTTCTGTCCTACCACTGATCTCTACCTTACACTGACCTCATTTTATTCCAACTATTGAGCTCCATTAATTTTTAACTATTGACCCCCATTCATTCATAGCCAAAACCCTTCTTATGTCATGGATCTTGATTTCTTTCCAGACACCATCAAGTCTTAAAATCATCCACTTATACTCAGTGAGCTGGATTTCTAATGAATGAGTTCTGTCTATAACTAGCTGCTGACCTTCATCTATCAGTCCCTCGTCATCATCATTAAGGAAACACTGATCTCCATCAACTTCTGTTCACTTATATTCAACCATTATAAACCACTGACTTCCATACATTCTCAGCCGCTGACCTTGATTGATTCTTAGTCACACATATATTACAAGACAACACTTACCCGAGTCCATTATCAGCAATTGATCTCAATTGCTTTGCCGCCATCTATTTTAGCTGCTGACACTTGACCCCATCATCTGACAGCCAGCTATTCCTGACCTCCTCCCATTTGTCCATCCATCCCTGACAGCTGAGAGCTGCTCAGCATCTTTCTCTATAACCAGTCACCTACAGCCTTAGCCACTGACTTTCTAACATTTTGTTATGTAACCGCTGCTATCCATAAAGTCGCAATAAATTGTCTCCATGGAAACCAGTTTTAACAATCTCATACTATCTCTTGGCACCAACTGCTTCCTTGCCTAAATACATATGTTAAACTTTCCTTTTATCAGAGTGATTTGTCTCACTGGCAGGTCAAATTGTGAGGTTTGATGGTTTTTTTACATGATGGTTGTTAAAAAAAATGATTATTTCTATGTATGATTATTGCAAAATTGATCTAATTTAATTGGCTGAAAATTAGAAGCACAAGAAAAACCATAATCTTTGTTAGAGTTTAGCAGTTTATATAAGCTTTCTGGTGTATTTTTCTCTTTAAAAATATGTTTGATTTGCTAAGTTTTAATCTGTTAATTGCTCTGAAGAAAATGTGTTTAAATGTGAAATGCATTAGTCATCTTTCTTTGACTTTCTTCCAGTTTCCCTGCAGGAAAAAAATGCTTTAATTGTGCTGCACTTATGCCAATGAGATAAAGGCAGCAGACTTTTAGTGCATCTTCCAGGGCTGGCGTTTGTCCAACGATTGCTTCATATTCTCAGGCCCTTTTTTGTTAGGGACAATTAGGAACACGATGTCCTGGCACTTGGCCAACTCACCAACAGATGCAGACCGGCTTCCCCTGACCCTCCAGTAGGACATGATGTGGATTAATTGCAGAGAGATGTTGAGTGTAAGAAGGGGGACATCCAACCTTCAAGCCTAAACGTTAATGGAAGGAGTGATAGTATCTGTGTACAGGTTCCTTTGCTTTCTATGAAGTGGTTTTGATTCTGTATTCAAGAGACACACGTAGTTCACACGTTTCACTGATTCTTGTGCATGGTTCTTTGTGTGAGGCTCATTGAGAAGGTCATTTTTACCCATGGTGAGTCGGTTAATTAAAGTCTATTCACACATTTGCATATTGTGCCATATGACACTGCATCTGTTTAGTGCTCATTATTACAGCCTGTTTTTGAATTTGCTACTACATGAGACTCCATATGGAAAAGTTGACCTTAGGATGTTGGGAAGGCGATCCAACCAGTTATTGAACCAGGAGGAACAGTGTGACTTGTGTTCAGGTCATGGAACAGTAGATCTTCACTTTTCATGGAGGGGGGGGGGGGGGGGGGGGTCATGTCAGTGTTGGTCGTCCAGTTTACATGTGCATTTTGGACAAGGAAAAGGCATACAACCATGTCCTCTAGAGACCTTTGTGGGGGATGCTGGCATAACATGAAATGCTAGGGTCACTTGTAAGAACTTTCCGGTCCCTGCTGTACAATCAGAGCAAAATTTTTGTCCACATTCTCTGCATTAGACCAAGTTCATCACCTAAATGGTTGGACTCACCAGAGCTGCACCTTGCCTCAGATTATGGCCAGGATCTCATAGTCATAGAGGGAGGTGAGTCTGGAGTACGAGTACGAAGCAGCTGGGATGAGAGTTAAGCATAGTTTATACTTCTCCGTCTGCAGAGGTATGGAGACATGCAGCGCCATTTTCTGTCAACACAAGGGCTCTCTGACAGACATGCAAGGACGGACGGAGGCTCTCTGACAGGCATGCAACGACGGACGGAGTACAGTAGAGCTCAATTTTTTACTATCCATAAAATGCAATTAAGAGTGCATGTCTGTCATTGATCAGCCCAACAACAGCCAAAGATCATTTCTGGCTTGACACTGTTGCAAGCTCTTGCATGCCAGAAACAATGGGGGCAATAAACGAAGTCATAAGGAGCACAAAGATAAGCGAGAGCCTTTTGCTGCGAGTGGAATCAGGCAGGTGATAAGGAGGAGTGGTCCAACTGAACAGGAAGCAGCACAGAATGTGGGACAGAAGAAGGCCAACTGAAGAGACACCTCAGGATGTGAAAGTCCTCCGTGGGGGAGCTGTGGACTTTGGGTGGAGCTGAAACCCTAACCCTAACCCTAACCCTCCATCCTTCACTTATCATAACAACGACTGTGACTCTAAAAACAAGAAAAATACAGCTTCTCTGTATCAAAAGAAGTTGGCTGATATTTTTCCAACATATGACCAGGAGGTTTCATTGCTTTGCGTACACGTCCCACTGAAATGAGATCCTGGGACAGACCAAGAGTCCCCTGGAGGAATTATATTTTCTCTTTAAAAGACGAATGCTCTGGGATCCCCAAGGAGGAGGTGTGGGGTGTTGTTAGGGATATCTTGGCTTTCCCCCATGGACCTCTAACACCCACAGACATCACATACACAACGTGGCCTGGCACTGCTTTTTGGAGCTGCTGTAGTGGCTGGCCGCCATCTTGGATGGGTCTCCATTTTAATCCAGTGCATTTATTTTATTTTGTTTAGCGAACTAAAAAAACACATTTATCAAGCTTTTTCTTTTAAATCAGACATGATATTTAAAATATAGATATAGTTAAATGAAATAAATGAACAAAAATTTAAATATAAAATCCCACCAAGTAGGCTAGAAAAGGGGCATAGTTGCTCACACTGCCTTGACTCCATAGTTGGGTTTGGAGAGTGAGGAACCCGTCCAATATGGTGGCAATGCAGCTACACTCTCACCCAGTGGCACGTCTACCTTACACCTATAACCTGACCTTGGATCACCATGGTTCAACATGCAGCCCTGATATTAACATAAAGAGCAGCAAAGCCTTTAGGCATTACGCATTTATTTATAAATATTACATAGTTTCCTTGGATAAGGCAGGTTATATGAACTCCAGAAAGATGTTACTGCAAAACATTCCAGCTCACACAGTGGCATACATTTACAATGTATTCACATAATAAATGACAGTATTTTATCAGGCTCACAATGACACGATATGACAGATCAAAAAAGACTGGCTTCAACTGAGAGCCTCTGCTGGTAAGAGTTCTCAGTTTAATATACTTCAGAGAATAGATTATAAATATTCATAAATCAAAATTCTGTATAAGCACTAAAACTTGCTAGGCTATTTGACACTTTAAGGAAAACAGGTTTGTGTGCATAACTACAGCAAAAGGTCTTGCATCCTGTCAAGCTATCTATAGCTACCAACATATGTCTAAACGACATCGGAGGACAGTACTTTATGCAAATATGCTAAGTCACTTAATTGAAGAAAAATAGCAAACAAATAAGCTATTTCTATAGCGTATGTGCAGCTTTGCACTGCCTAACAGCACCACAACATCCATTATAGTCTAACTACTGGTAGTGTGTTAGAGGACATGCCAAGGAAGGTCAGCGGGCAATCGATGACAGAGCTGTGTCACTGAGTCTTAGTATTGTCACACTCCCATGTGTCATGTCCCAGTGAGGATTTAAAGTTTAAACATCTTTGAGTCGAAACAAGGCAGAGAGGACAAGAAGAGGTCCAAAAATCAAAGCAGGCTAATACAGTTTTAGAAAGAGTTAAAGAGCTAAATGGTGTTAACTCAGGTTGTGGAGAAAGGGCCACACCACAACCACAATAAACAAATCACCTTTCAAACGTTCATGATCCAGCACGGGTACTCTTCACCCTTTCCTCTGTCTTCCTTATGTCAGTCCTTTGCTGTCTCATCCTGTAATGCAACTGTTGGCGACTGGTTGGAAACATAAAAATGAGAGTAAATACAGAAGTTTTCATTTGGAATTGGTGCTTATTGTTGAAACTGTTAATGAATTGCAACATTCACGCAAAATTTGTACATTATATCTTGTAATTGAATTACAAAATGTTTATTTTATTTGTAACTTTGTCTCGCTTGCTTCACATCTAGTCAGATTCTTGCATATTTTTGAACAGTTACAGTGATGTGAAAGTGCAGGCCCGTGGCTCAGGCAAGCACATTAAAAACACTAAGTAATTTTGTTTGCAACTTGTCACCAGTGGTCAGCTTTATGAGACCTTTCTCATGCTTTACTAATCCCACTCAATCTCTTCCCTTTTATTTATTTTCCTCGTTTTTAATCCCTGCCCTTTCTCTGCCCTTCATTTCTCAACTCATTCTCCTCATCCCAATCTCTGATCCCATTCATGCTATTCCTCCTAATCCCTTCATGTTCATCCCAACCCTTATCATCTTCCTCGTCCCCATGTCATCCCACTCCTTTCTCTCGACTTGTCATTAAACTCTTCTCATAAACTTAGTTAAATTAAATTACATTTCTTTACACAATACAAATCCACCAATAAACTCACAACTAAAGTAATCTGAGAGCTTGATACAAAACAAGCCTCACACAAATCTGGTTGTGTACTGACCAGTTTGGTCAAATTCATGTAAATCCAGCCTGGTTACAGCAAATCCATTCACCATAATTCTTGTCCTTCATCCCTTAGCTTATCCCTAGTCATCAGTATTCTACCTGGCCAGGCTATACTCTTTCCGAGGCAGAACCTTCATTCTGAGTCTCCAAGTCCTCATGACTCCCATCCTGACCCATCCAAGCCTTCATCTTTTTTCCTTAACTCTGATTAAACCAGTAGCTGGTGCGTGGCCCGTGTGTGTGTTATACTATTATGGAGGTGTGCTGGCACACAGCTAACCTGTTGGTCACTATTATCCCTAAAGGCCTAATCTGCTCAGTATTCTGCATTTTACTGCTTTCTATGCCATCTACAAGCAGCGGAGATGGGAGTGAATCTTTGTGCCTTATTGCTTTTCCGGTTTAGTCCACAGTCTCGTTCCCTGAAGTTTCTCTGAGTTAACAGTCAAGAGGAACTGCCTCGTGCGGCGCCGGTTGGCCCTCAGCCGCGACGTCTCCGCTGTCCGTGCTCTGGCACGAGAGCTTCTCATCGCGCCTCACCGGTCGGACGATGACGCACGGCCTCACGGGCTCCCCGCTCGCCCCGGCGCGCGCGGGGTTGCGACTGTCGCGCTCGTATTCCTCCTGCGCGCGCTGGATCTTCCTATTTCGAAGCTTCCTCTTGTGGAAGTGGAACGTTGCCAGGGAAACAAGGATGATCCCCACGAGCACGGCCACCAGCACGAGGAGAGCGAGGGTGGAGGAGAACGGCGGGAAGAGGCTGAGATGCTCCGCGCAGGTGCCATTATTGGCTTGGAAACCTCCGTGGCAGCGGTGCAGCGGCACCGACAGCCCAGACGAGGCCTCGGCGGGTCTGGCTGTCATCCGGTCCGCCTGTCTCCGACCACTCGTGTCTCTGTCTGACCCCAATACCCTTCGTGCTCTCCGGGCTCAGCACGGTGACACCGGCCCGCGCATGTGGTTACCTGCACCGAAGAGAAAATACATGTGACCCGCTCAGCCTGCTTCAAAAGAGGCACTGAAATCCAACGTGGTAAACGTGGAGACAGCGCACCTTTTGAGTCATGCTCCATAGACCCCTGCCTTGGCCCAGATTAGAATAAGATTGGGTGGAACTCGGAACAATACATCATCTGTTATAATTAAAGGCCTGTGAGATTAAGCCACCATCTCCGCACGCAGCGCAAAAAGTCAGCTTTTACGCAGAGGATTGTGTCTGCATCAGTGTTATTTAGAGCCTGGAAATTATTAAGAGTTATGAAGATTATGTTGAAAAGCTTAATTATTACCTGACACAACGGTCAATACGGGGACCAGTCCTTTAGTGGAGAGCTGAAATGGGTAAACTGGATCTCGGTGACGCATTTCACACAATGAGATGCTGCTGCTGAGCTCCGATCGTTCGGGATGCTTTGAATTGCCGCAATCCTCTCAGTCTTTTTCCAGGGCAGCACTTCCCCATATGAATATCACAGGTAGCGGGAGAATCCCTCAGCCATGCGTCAAAGTGAGTTTTGTGAAAATGCGATTAGAATAGAGCCGTCTGGTTTCCTCTGGGCAGAGTCCCTCCTCCTCCGGTCATCCGCCGCTCCACTCAGCATCTGAATGAAAAGCTGCAGCTGCATTAAAAGTCCCATAGCCCACCAGTCAGCTGGCAGGGGCGGGTGTTTATTGAAGCCCTCTTTGCACATTAGATTCATTCTAAAATCACTTTATTACCACAAATATCCTGTTTAAATCTGAGACTTTTCTGCAACATTTATGAGGCTGTTGTCAGGCTGAAGCAGTAAATTTGGTGGTTGTTTAAACCTTATGAGAGCTTTAAATATCAAAATCAGCATTTAGAATAAGTTCCGAGTCCCTCCAGAATAAATGTTGTGAAAACGTCAGTAATAATCTCAGATTTACCGCAGAAAATGAAACTGACACACCATAATTTCTCTCTGTTTAGATTCTAATCAATATCTATATCAGATAATGCAGGTCACAATAATAAAGGTGTAGCCCCCAGAGCAGTATATATATATATATATATATATATATATATATATATATATATATATATATATATATATATATATATATATATATATATATATATATATATATATATATATATAAAGGAGTAGACCCATGTCATGATACAGTGTTGGTAGGACCCAAAATGCAGTACCCAGGATGACACGAGGCAGAGATGAAGAATAAGAAAAATCCTTTATTTTAAGGAGAACAAAAGTCCAAAGGCTGGAAGCCCAAAATCCAAAGTCCAGATAACGATCTGGAAATCCAAAAATACTTGAGAAACGAGAAGAACAAGAACACGAGTAATCCAAGACGAGACTGACAGAATTACAAACAATGGACCGACACAAGACAGCGACAAGACAGGGCTTATACACAAGGAGGAGTAATTAGGGAAAATGGCAGCAGGTGTTTGGAGTGAGGGCTGGAGGGAAGACAGGTGAATATGATAATCTAACTGGGAAAACAGAAACAGAGGAGGGCAAATACCTAAACACAAAACTAAACAACAATTATCTAAAGACAGAGGGAAGGGCTCAAACTAGCTGGAGGAGCACACACACACACACACACACACACACACACACACACACACACACACACACACACACACACACACACACACACACACACACACACACACACACACACACACACACACACACACACACACACACACACACACACACACACACACACACACACACACACACACACACACACACACACACACACACACACACACACACACACACACACACACACACACACACACACACACACACACACACACACACACACACACACACACACACACACACACACACACACACACACACACACACACACACACACACACACACACACACACACACACACACACACACACACTGAGCTGGGGACAAAGAGGCTGGAGCTGACCTAGAAGGAATGATTTAAAAGGGTAACAACATAAGACACTTAACTGAGACGCAGACAAAAGACACATGAGGGCGCTATGAGACACAGAAGGGAATCTAGAGAGGGATGGAGAAACATCAGGAGACACATGAAGGAAGACACAGACCATGACAACCCAGTCAGCGGGACACAAGGAGACAGCTATACATATATGTATATATATAAATTTGGCATATATGGAATATAAAATGTTTGTATGGAAAGAGCTTGAATTTTGAATGGGCTGTTGATGGGTGCAATGCACAAAACAAAGCACAGCGAGAGCATGAAACTATAAAAAAAAATAATTTTGAGTTTTTCTGAAGTTTTGTGCTGATATGTGTCTTCTCAGAAATTCTTAATCCTTATGCATTAGCTCTGGTGTCTTCCTTATTCTGTTAAATTGGTAGTCTGTCCTTTTGTTATTTATCCCCCTCTGTTTTTATTGTTTCTTGCCTTAAACGTATTTGATTTCTCAAAAACAGGATTGAGGTTTTAGGTTTTTCCTTATTAGCACTGTTGGAAATTGTCACGTTTAGGAGAGGAGGTTGGACCCAGGATGCAGAAGTACCCAGAACGACTCAAAGGCAGGAGAGGTTTTAAGAAAAACAAGTCCTTTATTTAAGGAGGACGTGCTGAAAAGTCCAAAGCACAAAATAAAACTAATACTCAAAAAAACTTGAAAACTCAAAATTAACTAAGCTCACACATGAGCAGGGACTAGGAGAGACTCGAGAGGGGACCGAACAACACAACACATGTGACAATGACCCAACAAACACTGAAGGACAAGCCAGGCTTTTAACACAGTGGAAAGCAATCAGGGGAACAGGTGACAGGTGAAATCAATTAACTACATGGGAATGGAAAACCAAGCAGAGGGGAAGATAACATAACCTTTAAAACACTAAATAACTAAACCTAGAAACTAAGGGCCAAGATGAACAACTAACGACAAGAGGAGTAAGGGAGACTAATTAACAAGTGGGGAAGGACACAAACACTAAAGGGAACAAATAAAATGAAAAGCTGAACCTATAGAAAATAAAACTACAGAGGGGTGACTGGAGAGACCTGAGAAGCTGGAAAACACCAGGAGGAACATGAGGAGAACACAGAGGACAAACAGGAGGGTGCTGGGGACCAAGGGGACACAGAACATGACAGAAACATGCAAAACTGTCTATTCTGGTTTCATAATTAAAATCCATTTCCTGTCATTTTAAAATAATCTGCTTGTAATCTATAAGAATAAACATAATCTGAATATCTTAAAAGAAGTTGAAACAACAGATATTTTAATAAATGCCCAGAATCCTAAAATTGTAGCATCATTTAACAAAGAATTCCAAATTAGACAAATTCTGCCATAGAAAATATATCTAATTAATGAAGTTATTTTTGTCAACCAGATTATTCTTGTTTTAGAAAGTAAAATCAAATGACCAACTAAGGTCACATGAATTTATCCATAAATGATTCAAATTTGAACAAGCTAAATGTTTCTCAATGTTCACTAAAAGGCTAGAATTTCTCAGAGGAACGTATGTCGGCCATCATCTTTCATGCAAGAGTAATCACAAGAGTAAACCACTCTAAGCCACACCCAACTTTAGGTTATCTGTAAAATAAACTGCATCATACAAACTTTTGTGTTTGCTAACGCCACCTGTGCTGGCCATCTTGGACTGTGTTGACTCCAAAAGTTAACCAGTGATTATTTTCTGGGAGTTTCAATACATTTTTTTTAGATATTTAGCCTAAACATGAACAAACACAGGCTTGCACACTCAAAGCCAGAGGCAAAAACATTAGCTTGCAGTAGCAAGAAATAAAAGTGGTCTCCCTGACAACCCTTCAGTCTCTGGAGCTCTGGCAGTGCACTTGCAGAGTTGTTGTCTACAGTCCATCATCTTCACAGTGACATACTGTACAACATGACATTTGAAAAGCAGTTTTTTTCAGCATTCAGTCACACGCTCAAATTCAGCTGAATCTTATCCTCTGGGATGATTCAGTTTCTGACCGCCTTCACAGCTGTCCAGATATTCTTGTTTGCTTCAGTGGTGTCAGTTTTTGTTCATGAAACAGATTTTATAGCAGCTTTCTCCTCTTTGACACTTCTACCAGAGGATCGGACTGAACCAATCTACCGCTGCATCTTTGATCCTGATTCTTGTTGATTCTGTTGGTGTCAGCTGCTTTGGGTCTGCTGCAACAGCACTTCACAGCACAGAACAAGAACATGACCACAACCAAAGGATCAGTCATTTCAACAGAGAAGAATGCCAACATTAATGACGATGCAAAACCAAAAATTACAATTTGACTTTGCTTCCAAATCTGACAAACTGACACAAATATGTATTTCCAACATAATGGAGCCTTTTGCCTTAAAGGAGACATGCAATGAGTTTAAAAAGATATAATTGTCCTATGGTTGATACAAAACATGTTCATGAAGTTCTTTGCATAAATCCTTCTCACACAAAGGGGTCAGTTTTCTTCTTGTCAGTTTCAGTACCTTCCAGAATGAGTTGTTTCTGAGCTCTGTGACTTTAAGAAAACAAGCTGGAGCTGGCCACACCCAACCCTCCCTCACTCAGACCACTCAGGCTCACCCTTTGTACCTGACATCACACCGCTCACGAGACCGTCCCGTTAGCCATTAGGGATGGTAGACAGACTGTCTACACATGTTGAAATAAGCCCGTTTGTAGCCTTTTATTGCTTTTATTTAGTTAAATTCACAGTAAAATGGTGAAAACAGTTTGCTGCAAACAAACAAAGGTATAACCCAGCTTGTCCTTTTTAATAACTTTGATGAAGACCAAAAACGGGAATGAACTGCAGTGATCAATCAAACGGACTAGCAGCCCTCAGCGTATTTGCAGTGAACGCATTTTACTTGGTAAGATCAACATTCATATGTTTCATGAGGATGACAGGAGCTAACTGTGATCTTCACCCATTACGGCATAAGATGATCCATGAGTCACATAAAAACACAAAACAGCACAACAATGGTGGTGATGTTGAACTTTCTGCTCAGTCGCTGTTTTTTATTAGACTCTGAACCCAGAAACAGTTATGAGGCAGAAAGCTCTGGAGCAACCAGTGACTCCTCCGCCTAGCCAACCAGTGGCCCTAACGCCGTTTTTTTGGCACAGCTCAGTATGCCTGGAGCCACGGCAAAGCAGCTGCTGAAAAGTTAGGGGAAGATACTGACCTATGCTGTTGAAAAATGCTGACCTATTGAGTCAAACCAATTTGAGTCACACTGAGTAGTGCTGTTGGAAAAGGGGCATAAGTGGTACAGGACACAAAATCTAAGTCGGGTCCACGTCAAGGAAACGAAGGAGACTTTGTGGTCAGTCTTCAAGAGCTGGGCAGACAAGCAAAAACCATCAATTCTGATAAACACTGATTATGGAAGAATTAGCTGCCATCAGATTTTGACCAAAAGTCAATTGACAGCATGCCAGGGTGAAGAGTGGAGGTCTTCAGATACAAAAACTACTCTGAAGTTATTGACTCTTTGCATAAATTTAATGTAATTGCCAATAAAAACCTGTGAACCCCATTAAATTCTTCTAATTGTACTTTGTTTGACAAAAT